AGAAACATTTCTTTTAAGAATGGAGATATTTCAAAATAACCAAGGTGTAAATTAGCATTTATTGCAATTTCAAGAAATTTTTCCATCAAAGTTATTTTCTTTTTTACTCTTTTTTTCAACAAATATTTCTGTTCATAGAAGGTTTTGGTGATCAAAGTTTGCTATTTTGGGCCTAAAATTTGTTTTTAAGTTTTGCTACTGTGGAGACCCATTTCAGAATTATAGAAAAATGTTAATAAAGTGCTGTTACTGAAAACACATTTTTTGTACATTGGCCGACTCACGGAAAGCAACTCAATTTTTGTGCATTGACAGGCTCGAATTATTTTGAAGTTTTGTATTCATATATATTAACCAACCAGCAATGTTGTACAAGATGCGTAGTAGTCTTTGAATTAGCAGACAGTAAAATATCTTAGAATTAAATTTTGGTGGCTCAACTTCAGAATATGTTTAACATACTTTTCTTCCATAAAAGCAATATTTAAAAATATACATTAACCAATAAGCTTGCAATTAATAAATCTAAATTATAAATATGATCAATTCTTGTTCACTAACTAGTCTTTCAGTGAACCTTTGACCAGAATGTTTGTTCAATTGTTTGTCACACAAACAAAACTGAAATTCTCACAATTAATTACGCTCATCTTTCGCATAATTATTTGAGTATACAACATTACAAAAATACGGCTTAGTGATAGTTTGTTTACATGCTACAACAGTCCCTTGCCATCATGCGACTGACTGCTGGAATTTCATATACACACAGTGCACACAATGTAAACTTGTAGCATATACATTCGCTCACATGTAGATGCATTTTCTGTTTATTATATACTAACACAATTCATTCAGTTGTACTGTAAAAAAGGATATGCTAAATATTTTATGCGAAGTTGTTTGCAAGGTATCTTTGTTTATGCACACAAATTCCACTGCATATGCATAAAAAAGTCAAGAAACATAGTTGTCAATAATAAGAAATGACTGTCTCTGTCTCAGAGAATGGGGCTATTATATGCATAATATATATATATATATATTGCTGATGATGTTATAGAAGTAAAAAAGGAATGGATTGTCAGAGGTCAGGAATCAATGCAAACCTTAGAATGTTTTATACAACTTATTCAATTTTTTTTTTTAATTCCCTTTTTACATTTAACTGTTATGCAACCTTTTCTAATTGGAAGTGGGAAACATTCAAAGTACATAGCAGAAATCTCCTTAGCACATCAATGAAAATAAACAGATTTGTTTTTTTTTTCTTTTTAGTAAGCTCTAGTATTAATAAACTATTTTCAGTCATGTTTTTATTTCTCACATGGCAAGAGCACAACTAATGTGATTGTCATACCATTGTCTTTTTTTTTCTCTCCCTCTTTTTTTGTCTGATTTTTTTCCCACCCATACATAGACTGAATATTTGATTGCCACTCGCCTGAAGGCAAGATTAGTACACTTCTCTGATTATATGCCAGGCAAAATGGCTGAATGTTTGAAGTCTCTTCCCTGATCCTCCATTTCACTCTCTCTTTTTCTTACACATATAAACATTTTGGCTTAATCTTTTGTCTACTTAACATTTAAAAGACAAAATTAAAAATACAAATATTTTTTTAAAAAATCCAATGAATAGTGGAATGAAAAAGAATTCCTTTTAAAACATGGGGATTATTTACTTTTCATCTTGTTATAAAAACACATTACAAAAGTAAATTTCATTGTTATATATTCATGGCTAATTTTGTTTTATCAAATCCACTTTTAATATTTAACATTGTTGATAAAAATGATTTGAAGAGGTATCACAAAAGGAGAAAATGTTTCCTTTAAACTGGCTGTGGGAGATCAAAGGGTAATACCAGTTCATCTTAACTGTTTACAAAAGGAATATAAAAATGGCTTTGAAGAGCTCTCTTTATTATTCTTTTATTTATACTCATTTATTTTTTTCTGTTGTTTTTTTTTAAGTCTGTGCATAAGCACTTCAAAAATGTCATTTAAAAGTATAGCATTCTTTATAACATTATTTAAAACAAAGCACAACGAGGAGACAATGCCAGATATTGTACCAAAGTCGATGTGTGCAAAATATGGTGTAATAATGCATCATTCATAAGTTGTCAGGTTGCACTTCAATTGAATTATAAAGTGTTATTTGAACAAAGGTAGGAGTGATAAGAAAAGTTTGAAATTCAACAATCATTTTCAGTTTATTATAGTTAAACTCATAACTTGGAGAATCAAGATCTCAAACTATCTTGTTGGAGGATCAATTTTCCAACATATGTCTTATTGGAGAATCAAGATTCGTTTAGTTGTAAAACTTAAGGAAGAGAACATATAAAAATACCTAAATCCAAGGTTTTGTTTAACATGTAGGCATATACAAACATATTAGTAATTAAAAATTCCGGCAGGTCTGCTTGTATAAATGGGAGAAAAATGTATTATTTATGCTACAAATTCACAGGAAGCAATAAAATATAAGAATAGATTTAATAATTTTTTCTTGTTAATTAAACATCTATTGCTTTCATTTATTGACTTTATTGTCTCACCAAAATTTTTTTAAGATGTTATAGTTGAAAACACTTAACATGACACCCACAATTGTGTGATGATGCAACATTCAAAAGTATCCCCTCTCCAAAAAGAATGCAATGCATACCTCTATACACAACCCTATTAACCAATGTTTGTACAAAAATTTCTTTGATAATGGCTTATGAAAAATAAAAGCACTCAGAAGAAATTGGAGAATTTATGTTGAAAATTCTCTCTGAAAACCAGAAAAATAGTTCAGCCAAAGAAAGATTTAGTAAAAAAAAAAAACCTTATACAAAGAATTTCCATTAATATATCAAACCTGTGTTTGTGTGTGTGTGTATATATATATATATATATATATATATATATATATATATATATATAAACAATTTTTTCAACTCTATTACAGTATCCTTACTATTTGTCAGACATAGGGAGCAATTGGCCTTATCCTGCCTGCCATATACTGGCCCTTGATGAATAGGCAAGAAAAGTTTTGATTTTTTTTTTTTTTTTTTTTTTTTTTTTTTTTAAATAATTTCAGGCAATAAGGCCACTAAGATGCAAGGGGTTAATGGAAGTGAAAGAGAATGAGAAGACTTTAGTGAAGAGAAAATACAATAAAAGAACAGGATTCAGAAAGACAGAAGATGGCGATTGATGTTGCATTTAAATTTTTGAGGATTGTATATGGTAGGGAAGTAAGAAACTGGAAGAGAGTTGCACAGGCAAGCTCAGATTTATCCTTCTCCTAGACTTGCTGTTCTGCTGTTTAATCCATAGCATGGAAGAAAAATGGATTCATGGCTTTCCCAATATTGATCTAATTTTTGTGGATTGAACTGAGATATCCCACAGAAATTAGAAGATGTATTTAGTGATACCTTGCTTGTCAAAAGTGTCATTGTTAATTTAATACCTTTTGGTGTTGATTTTTTAAAAAAAGAAATAACCATAAGGGGGTGGATAATTGCTATGCTACTGTTATAAGCCATTGACAATGAACTTGATACTTAAGGTTTCCATAAATGTTAAAAAATGTCAAAACTGTAAATATGTCTTAAAAATTTAATGGGTAATAATATCTACAGAGATTTACTATTTTCTTTTTTGTATGTATCAGGTATTATTAACAGATAAAGGGTAAAAATAACTTTATATTTGTAGGTCATCAATATTTGACAGGAAACAAAAGCGTGGTCTTATTTTGTTAATGGTAATATTAGCCATTTCCTTATAAAGAAACATTTGACAATCATTGACAAACAGCCAGTACCATGGTCAGTTGAAATTCATAAAATCTTTCCCTTAAAACAAATTTTTCAGGAAAATAGGTTTTGCAAGTTCAGTAATTGCTCTTTATAATATTGATGGAGGCTTCCTTCCTAAGTTTGAAGTAGTGTGGAATAATTTTTTCTTCAAGGTACATGTGCTATCCATTTTAGTTGTTGCTGCTGTTGATAGTCCTCAAGTAATGTGGTTTCTGTTATTTGGTACAATTATTTGTTTACTTCAATGTTTATTTCCATGAACCTCACAACTTTAGTTGTAAAAATGACTCTAGGATTATTTATAACATATATCCTTGTAAAATAAAAATTAAACATGAGTGGATTAAAATAAATCTAGCAAGAGATACAAAAGTTTAATGTTAAAATTTAAAATGCTACAGACACAGAAACAACTATTTAGATCCCAAACATACCAGATTATTGGTAAAAGTTTCAACTATTGTCTGTTAACAATTCAGGAGTAGGACAGTAATTTTAATATTACCTGCCACTGTTATTAAATCTGGTTCTCTATTACTTATAGACAGGTATGCATGTGTGTGCACTAATATATCTGTTGAGACTAAAAACTGTATTTGAGTTACTAACAAGTGTCATGAATAATCTAATATTCTTGAGATTATGTGAATGAGTAAAAAACAAACACTTGTAACTTTTATACATTTAATATTGATTACTTACAAGGTGAATTTGACATGTTACTTTGATCTTTTATACCTCAACCTTAAGGTTTGGGTGAGTGTGTGTATATATATATATATATATATATATATGTGTGTGTGTGTGTTTTTTATTAACATTTTTTATTTAGGTACAAGAGAATGCATGCCAGGATTTAATGAGTAACCTAAAGTGTTTAGATCAATCACATTTGGACATCCAATTTAAGAATAAATATTTTTTTTCAGCTTTTAAATTCATCATTGTTAAATTTGTGCATTATTGATGACATAATGTCCAGGGCAACACACAAGCAAAATTCTTCAGAGTTGATCATATCAATTGTTAAATTTATAGATATATTCAGGTGACAGTCTCTTACATCAGCACAAGAATGAGAAGAAATTCTTAATTTTCCTGTTACTGTAATAAATTCTTGAAAACAAAAAATAAACTCTTCTCCATTTGCAAAATGTTTACCACAAATTTGTAATGACTCAATGTTACCTTTCTTTTCAGGGAGACCATGTTTGGCTTGAGCCCAAAATACGAGATGAGTTCAGTGTGGCCATTGGAGCCAGGGTGAAGTTTACAGAATCTGGGAAAGTCCTTGTTGTTGATGATGATGGGAAGGTAAGAAGACCATCTTTTTAAACTTATTTACATCTCTTCATAAATTGCTTTACACAAAACCTTTATTTTATATTTGTGTCTATCGATTTGTATACAGATATTACTATACACAGATTTGAAACAGAAATTTACATGCTTTTCATCTTCTTCTTCTAGAGTTATATAAATGGCTAAGACTGAATTTTATGCATGCATGTGTGTGTGTGTAAATGTTTCTTTTCTAAACTAGTATATGCATGTATTATAATTCTCTATAGATTTTAGTCTACCAACTGGAAGTTATTTGAGATTGACTCATTGTTTCTTTCTGGATTAGATATAGTTTTTTTTTTCTTTTTTTTTTTCTTAAGATAATATTTTGTGGTTTAGTTTTTTGGGTATTTTTTGTGGGGAGAATAGGAAGAGGAGAATGTTCTTGATAATAACTAAAATCCATCCCATCTATTTTTGTCTTTATAACTTCCTATCCATGCACTTAATACAATTAATCAAGTGTATTCACTTTTGTTCTTCTTGAACAAAGCTGAAATTGAATAGTCAAAATTAATACAAAAAGACAAATTGAAACAGTATCTACAAATGAACTAATGAAAAAGAAAATCAGTATATAACTTCAAGGTTCCGATACTTTTTTTTTTATCATACTCTGCTCTTGAGTTCATGCCTCCTCCTTCTTTTCTTTATTGTATAATATGCCATGTACCTTCAAGACATAGATGATTATATCTCTATACAAATTTCTTTTCTTATCTGCAAACTGTTGTAACTTCTTAAAGATACTGGAGTTGTTTCCTCATTTCTTCTCCATGGCTTTGAATTCCGTGTAGCTCTTCTAGACTAGTGGTTCTCAAATGATATAGCGCACCTTATAGGTGTGGTGGAAAAGGATAGCAGGTGAGGCAGAATGATTGAGAGACAAAGATTTAGAAATAGCTTAAAAAAACTCGTATACATATAAATAAATAAATAAATAAATATTTCAAAATTTAAAATATTATCAATTACTTGTAATTGCATGCATGAGTCCTAGTATAAATAGTTATAAATAATTATTGACCAATTTTATCATTGTGATATTTTTACATTATATCAAGTATTAAGAATACAGTAACTAGGGTCTGCAAACTGGGGGAGAACGTTATCAGTGATAATGTTCTGACTTTGAATCTGTGATTATCTCCCTTTAATCATTTCCTTGTTTTTTTTTTTTATTTTAAATGTACTTTTTATCACATAAAATTTGGTGAAATGCAAACAAATTTTCATTTTAAAAATGCAACCCAGAGAAAAAGTTTGGGAACCACTGTTCTAGACAGATTGCCATCCAAGGCTAGAGTACCTTATTTATCCTTCTGTTTAATCTATAACTGGGAGGAGATAGAAGAAATGAATTCCTGCCTTTCCAAAGACATGAGTATGAAAATAAATGCAATGCATGAAGCTGGAATTTGATTCAATTTTCTTTGTCAATAACAGAACAATTTTTTATTTTTTATTTTTATGGTATGTCTCTTCAGGATGTAGGCAATCATGGGCCTCTACATATTATTTTTTTCTTTTAATGTCTGTGAATTTTCATGAATTGACTTGGAAAGGTAGCAGAATGGTTTCCTTCTCTATGGTTTTGAATTTATAGTAGTCCTTCTAGAGTGGTTGCCACTGAAGGCAAGAGCACCAAGTCTACCCTTCTATTTAACCCATAGATGATGAGTAGAAGAGATAGATAACTATTATACGACCCATACATGCTCTCACACAATATGAAATCACACTTTGATAACAAAGTGAATTTCTTTTTTGTATGATACTGGTACAGGTCTTGTATTCCTTTTTTAATCTGATCAAATTTTGAAAAGAATATTTTATTTACATTTAGTGTATGTTTGTGATTAGCTATAAATCTATTCCACAGATGCAATTCTTATGTGATCATTTTATTTAATCTGATCAAAATTTGGTGGAAATGATTTACATATACTGTATATCCATCATATTTTAAGCTTTTAAAATTTTAAGTTTCTACTTATAAAACAGTGAGTCAGAAGTATTTGCTATTGCATAACCTAACTTAATGATCTCTATTTTATGACATCTGATAATCTAACCAGACCACTCTGGCCATTGTACTGTAGGACTTCAGTCTGTAACTGATTTATTATATAAATTGTCATCAAGCTGTGACCTATACGATGATAAGTTTGTAAAAAACTGTCAAAGTCATTGATATCAAAATCAAAACTTTGTACTACTAAATCTCAATCACAACAGGCTGTTTCATTATTTCATAAAATAATTATTTTTGGCTTCTGTGTGATCTATTGAATCATTCATGTTGTTTCTATTAACAATATTTTGTAAAGATTTATTTTGACTATATAAAAAAAATTACCTTTTTTATGTGTGTCAGTGCATAAAGGAGATATTGTCGTAATTATTCCTAGAAAGGTTTATTTTATTGAGAATGAAAGATGATTTGGAGACATACATATTACTCTGTCCACTTTTCATCCCCGAAGCAGCTTTGTAGTTTATGCATCAATGAAATCTATTTTTTTATATATGGTCTTGAAAATAGAATTAACATGGTAAATATCTTAGATGTCTTGGATTAAACCTAATTGCAAGAAGATAAAATGCATGGTTGTCAGCAAAAGGAACAGCCCTACATATAAATTACAAATTGGAGATACCAAAATCAAACAAGTACAATAATTTAAGTATCTGGGAAGTGTTTTAACAGAGGATAGAAAGTGCAACACTGAAAACTAAATATATAGTTGGATAGTGAAAGAAGCCTTCCAAAACCTAAGCAAAGTATTAAGAAACAGGAAAATTTTGTTAGAAACAAAGAAAAGAGTACTGAACTGTTATGTAATATCAGTCCTCCTATATTGCAGTGAATGCTGGACAATGTCCTCAAAGAGACTTGAGGCAACATAAATGTGGTTCATACAGAAGGATTCTAAGAATACCATGGAGTGAACATGTTAACAATGATGAAGTTTTAAAGAAAATGGAAACAAAATGAACACTGATACTTAACATCAGAAACAGAAAGTTGAAATTTCTCAGGCAGATAATGACAAAAGAGGGCTTGGAAAATTTGATACTCCATTGACAAAAACAGAGGCAGGAGGGGCAGGAAAACAATACATAGTCTATCTAACGAACCTGAGTAAATGGATGGTGAACAAGGTTTAAGAGAGATAACAAAAAGACAATTTTATTAAGAACTACATAGGACAGGAAATTGTGGAGAGCCATGATCACCAACATCCTGAAGGAACATGACACATAGAAAATGAGTACTGCACATTTTTGTATTTGTGCCAAACTAAACATGGTCAGCTTACTGTAGATTAGTAAGATACTCTCATAGATTATTACTCCTGTAATAAGTCTGATATTCAGTAGTTTCTCCATACTTGCAAATGAAGCGTATCTTGCATTCACTTTATAGTGTATCCCGTTTATATGACAATTATTATGGGAAATACTGAGATACTCATTTGACATGCAATATTAGCACCAAGAAAATCAATCAAAGATTGATAATAGGGTTGTGTTTTGGTAGGTCAGGAGGCCACAACCAAAAAAGTTTGAGGGCTACTGGTTTAAATGAATTCAGTCCTTTTTTTTTTTTTTTTTTTTTAATATTTTATGAAACTCTTAAAAGAAATAAAAATGTCTCTTTCTTTACTCAATCATACCACTCTGAATTTATTTTTGTGCAATGTGTATTCTTATATTATAAATCAAAATTAGTTTGGGATAATTTTAAATATTATTCTATATCTTTAAAAAAAAAACATGATGGTGAAAGGAAAAGAAAACATTAGTTTGATAAAAATATAAAGTCTATTCAAAATTTGTAAAATATGGCTTAGCTGAGTCCCTGAGGAAATATTTTCAAAATTGGATCTGGAATATTGAATATCTAAGGGCAGAATTTTAATCTAAGGCACACTTTAGCTTAAAAGTTTAAAACTCCTTGCTAATAATGAAGATATTTTCAGTTTCAATTCTGTAAAAGTTGTAAATGACCAAAAGATACATTTTCTTATAAAGAATCTGGATTTTGTATTGAGATTTAAAGATGTTAAGATTTGGGTCATGCTACTCAAACTTTGGTAAAGTTGAATTTTGAATTCAATAATTGTACTGTAAAGGTGTCCATTTCCTTTTAGATAATCTTTCTTTTCTCTCATCTTGTATCCCCCCCCCACATCCCATCAAAAATATCCTCAGAGATGAGTGGAGAATACAATTCATTTCTTTGAGCCAGTATCTTTGCCAGCAGCTATCAGTGAAAGAGAATTAGTTCTTTTTTTCCCCATCATTCTGACCAAAATGAAATTTTTTTTATTAAATTTTTATTTCATCTTACTCTCAAAGTAAATCTCATTTTCTAAAACCTTTTTCTTTTTCTTTGATTATCTGATAAGATGTATTTACACTTCCCTATTTCTTTTGTGGTATTCAAGAATGAAATTATTTCTGTAATGATGTAAAGGAAATAAGAGAAAAAAAGGAAAGAAAAATGGGAAAGAAAAAGATTTTAAATTTCTAAGTTTAATAGGATCCATATTTATTTGTTTGTTTTTTCTCTATAATTGCATTGATCCATAAAAGAACCATTTTCTTTTATACCAGAACTTTTCTTGGAATTATTAATCTCTATCATTGTCCATTGACCTTGGTGCCTAAGAGACAAAATTCTATAATGTTGTTTATCCAAGTTCTTAAATTGTTTATATGCTGGTTTGCTCATATTGACATCATCCTCTTGATTATCTACCCAGTATTTCACTAAACCGTTATGAAGATAACAATCATGATAAGGATAAAAGTCTGAGTAAATCTGTGGATAATTCTTTGTCAAACATTCTGGAAAAAAATCCTTAAATTGATTATACAAGTTCTTAAATTCAGCAGGCATAAAGCTGACTGCCCTGTAAGTTAATTTTGAAACCTAACTGTACACTTTCATAGTTATTTACAAGTTTTACAATCCAAATATTGAAATACACATTTGTGATTTTCTGTTTAGCACTCTATCTCGCACATTTACTCATCCTTCCACAAGAATGAGATGCAACACAGAATATTTTTAATGTATGAACCTCATGTGAAGATGGACAAAAATTACTGTGTTCTCTTAGTACTTGCTATTTAGCACATCACATTCATCCAGCTTTTATTACAATAGGGAAGTATTGCTAGAAGAATGGGTCTCCTGGCGCTGAGCCTTATACATTCCCAGCCACACATGACCAATGTTGTATTGCTATAATTATTAAAATGAGTGGTCTTCTACTTAAATTTTTTTTCATAAGTGCTTTGCAGAGTCCAAGTTCATATCCATTCTTGTATTAAAGGTTTTACAAGTAGCAAATCTAAGAAATTGAAAGTTTTACTTCATCTTGAAGCTTACTTTTTTACAAAATTCTCTTCAACTCAATCTTGGGGTCCCCATGGCATTCAGTCCAGTCATCTACCAGTGACTTTTTCTCTTGCCTTCCTCGTTTTATTTTTATCTCATAGCTCTGACTATATAATGTATACACACACACACACACACACACACACACATATACATGTGGGTGCTGAAATGTTCTTGGCTTTTCCTACTTCCCAAAATCTGATCAATAACCAAACATCAATGATATTCCTGTCAGGGCAAGTACTTTTCAGCATCCTTTCATATAATATATTGTGTGTGAAAGAGAGAGAGAATGCTGCAAGAAGGTGCTGATAAATTCTCAGCCTGACCAAGAAGAGATTACAAAACAATTCTGATATTTGATCATTACATCAGATTTTGAGAATTTTTTTTTAAATGTAAACATTTGAAGCTTCAAATATATTTTGATGTGGTCATTTTGAAGAAGGGAAATATTAACAAAAAGTTCAATGTTACATTTGGTGTAAGCCTTTACATACTGTTTTTATCTAATTGCTTAATATACATGAGGCTTTCAAGCAGATGAAGATGAATCTCTTTAGTTATGGATAAAACGAATTGGCAGTAGGCAGTGGTAAACTATTGCTATTAGGATAATGAATAATATGTATACATGTATTTAAAAATAAAAAGGATAAATATTAATTTCTGGCAAAATTTACTTACCAAGCTTTCATCCTGATAAACAGTCAACTTTGTTGCCAAATCACTGGAGCTGACCCAATAAATTACTGAATGAGAATTTTTGTGTTAATTTTTTTTTTCTTCTAAAAACCATAAGTTTTATTATGATTTTCAAAAGATGTGTGCAAAAAGAGTCATGAGTTATTGTGGTTTTCTTGGATGCAAGTTACAATTAGTTTAAAGTAAAAAATATTTGCTTTCTTTGCAAATTATGGAAATAACTCATTTTCAGAATCAAGAAATCTTCTGCTCAAGGCTTCATCAACAGAAAAGCAATTTACTTGAAATTTTTTTCTTACTTATTTATTGCAATTTTTTAAGATACAACTTTTCTATTAGAAAATGACTTCCAAGCGGGTGGCCCATTTATTAGAAATATGACATGACAATGAATTTACAAATGTTTGAACTTCTTGTCTGTTCATACTTAAGAGAAGAACACTTGTTACAAAATTGTGCCAGTGGCCAGAATCAATCTGTTCTATTTGAGTATTCTGATAATGGCTTTCTGTTAGCATTAATCTATGCAAAAATCTTCATTTCCTTTTGTGTTTATTCAACTAAAGCTTGATGCTCTTTTGGAATGGTGAATGTGTGAAGAGACCATAAGAATTTTTCAATGCCTATCCTACTTAATATTTGTGTATAATTTTATATACAGTACTGTTTAAAAGTCTTCAGTCACTTTAAAATATTTCTAATAATTCCCAACTTATAAGTGGATGTTTCACATTTTATTTTCTACATATTAAACACTGTCTTGGTTGCAGTTATTTCCATATTTTTTTTTTTTTTTTTACTAAATATAGTGAAAATTCTTACTTGGACTTTTACTTCTTACATTCTTTCATTGCTTTGGATCATGGTAAAATTTCCAAAGAAACCTGGATGAAAATGGCCAAGAATATGTTAGCAACTCAGAATTTAGAGTGACACTTTAGAAATCTTGAAGTTTCAAGGAACTGGAAGTATTTCAGATTTACCAAAATGTAGTCTCACAAGAAAATTGAAGTATAGGATAGTACAAAAACTGATGAAAACAGAAAAATAATTTAAAGCAGTCACAAACACAATACTGTATATATTGTGAATGAATGTATATGAGGTCTGTTTGAAAAATATCAAGCCATTTTGAATATCTAGAACATGTTGCATGGCTTGGCCGTACCTTGGTAAACTAACCAGAATGTGCATGCATGAACAGGTAGTCTCTCTTATAATTCATTCATCCATGGAAACTTCTTGTAGGTGCTGTGTCTCTTCAGAACATTGGTGATCATGGTTCTCCACAATTTCCTATCTTTTGTAGCTCTTAATAAATTTTATCTTTTTGTTATCTCTTCTAAACTTTGTTCTGCTATCCATTTACTCAAGTTTCTTAGGTAGGTTATATGTTGTTTTCTGCTGCCCCTCTTACCTTCAATCTGTTCTTCAATCTGAGTATCAAATTTTTCAAGCCTTCTTTCCTCATTGTGTGTCCTAGAAATTTCAACTCTTTCCTTGTGATATTATCAAGGTCTTTTTGTTTCTATTTTCTCTAAAATTTTGTTGCTGCTCACATGTTCAGTCCATAGCGTTCTCAGCCTCCTTCTGTAGAACCACATTTCTGCTGCTTCAAGTCTCTTCTGTATCTGTGAGGAGATTGTCCAGCATTCACTGTCATATAGAAGGATTGATATTACATAACAATTTAGTAGTTTTTCTTTGTTTCTAACAAAATTTTTCTATTTCTTAATACTTAGGTTTTGGAAAGCATCTTTCCCTATCCCAATACACCTTTGGATTTCAGTGTTGCACTTTCCATCCTCTGTTAAAACACTTCTCACAGTTTTTGTGGTTTCATTACTGTATCTGCTATCAACACTGTGTCATCTGCATATCTTATTTTGTTACTTGAATGATTAATGGATTTCAAAGAATGGTTAAAGGCTTTCAAAGAATGATTCAGTGAATGAAGCAGTGATATAAATTTGGTACAAATGCTTCAAATTTGGCTTTGAATCCTTTGAAAGCTATCCACATTTTGCAATAAAAGGAAATTGGGGGTATGACGATAAACTACATCTGCGTCCAGGATAAGATAAACTATGTCCAACAGCAAGGCCTCTGATCAGGATATATATATTGTAAAAATATGTTTCAATACCAGAAATACTTTGTAAAAAAGTTATTACCAGAAATAAATTTTTGAAGAAAAAAAACTTACCAGCAATAAGTTTTTGAAAGAAAAATATTACCAGCAATATGTTTTTGAAAATAATATTACCAGCTATACATTTTTGAGGAAAAAAATATTACCAGAAATAGATTTTTGACAAAACAAAATATTACCAGCAATAAAAATGTTGTCGGTATTAAATAACCCATTGAGGTTGATATGCCGTAAAACAAACCAACTGACTATGTAAAAAGTTAGATCTGGAGATTCCATGGACTATCCAGAAAGTATCCAGACATTTTGAATATCTCAACTGTCTACTTTGATGAAATATCTTTGATCTGCTAGCCTACCATCACCACCCATACAGTCTAGATTTGGCTGTATGTAACTTTTGGCTTTTTCCATGATTAAAATTGCCATTGAGATTGTTTTGTTATTGATTTATTTATTATGGGTTATCAAAATTTTGCAGGTTATTTAAAGCCAGAATATATTTTTAGGTTGTAAGAATTTTTGGGAGATAATAATAAGTTGCTGGCAAAAGTCCTACTAATTAACTCATAACTTGGGAGAAGATGTAGATTCATACCTTTCCCAATGGTATTTGCATGTAATTGAACCTGACTAGAATTGGAACTCAGCCTTTCGAATTCCAATTCCAAGCCATTATCCATTAAACCACCTGCACATCGAAGCTTATAGCACCTGGTGTTCCCAAGTACTCACCCATCTAGGTACTGACCAAGCTTGACGTTATTTAACTCTAGTGATCGTACAAGAATTGGTGTTTCAATGTGATATGGCTGTAAGCCCCATTGAAAGGGAGATATCGAATTATATAGATGGTGCTAAAGGGAACATGAAGCTGTTGGTGATCCCTAAATATGATTTTGAAGATTGTTTTGAAAAGTGGAAGTGGTGCTGAGACAATGGAGTGAAGGCCAAAGTAAGTCTTTTGAAGCGGATGAAGTTGCATTATTCTAAGTAAGCTAATTAATATTAAATGACTGGATCATTTCCAAACAGATGTCATGTATTTACTTGGGTAGATATTTGTGCATCTCTGTTGAGATATGCATGTATGTATCTATACATATTAATAATAATTAAATGCTTTCTCCACAGGAACACTGGATAGATGGGAAAAGACAAATTCGACATATGCACATGTCCTCAATTTCGGGCGTTGAGGATATGATTGGATTGGGCGATTTAAATGAAGCAGGCATTTTGAGAAATCTGTTTATTCGCTATATGGACAATATCATTTATGTAAGTAAACACTTCCACTTTATACTTATTGTTTACATGTACAAGGGGGTGGGGAAGAACAAATAGTTGCAGTAGGTTGACATCACCTATTTGAATTCTTAACAACAATATAAATCTAACAGTCTTTGTACACTGTGCCATAGTTAGCTACCATAATCTTAGGTCTGTCACTGGCATGCCACAGTCATCGCTATAACCCCCTGCCCAAACAATAGCAACAAGATGGCTGCCTTGAGAGATGTAAACTAGACAAGTATCATTTCAGAAAATGATATTGGAAAATAGTTTAGAGTTTTGTCTTGATATCATTTCTGGAGAGATAAATCCAGCTCTCTCTTCTGTAACATGTTCCACCCCACCTGTCATCATGACATGTTTGGAATATCAAAGAGAGAATGAAAGTAAAAAAAAAAAAAAAAATCAATGAATTCATTAAATATCAAAAAATAAAAAATGTAATTTTTTTCAATAACCATTCAATTAATGAAAACTGAGTTTAATAGCTTATTAAGAATAATGGATTCACTTCTACATAAAAATTAAATAATAATTAAATAAATAATTTGTAGCATTAAGACTTTAAAATATTTTCCTGCTAGAAATGAGAAGCTGATATTCAGTTTTGAATTAAATGCATTAACAAGCAAGAAGATAATGTTGGAAACTAAATATTTATTATGCACAATAATTGCTTTTTTCATCATTAGGCAATGAAATTAATGATTTACTGGCATGCAAAAATGTTTATCCATTGTAAGGACAAGTAATATTTTTATAGAACTTAAACAACAAATTGAATTTTTTTTTAAATACAAATACATATTTTATTAAAACCACGATGTGTCTATATTGTAAACTAAAAGCATTTGCTTTATTAAAATGTAAGAAAAGGTTGGAAACATACAATCAATAAAAATCCTTATTTTAATGCAAATAAAATAAATTTGGAATATTATGTAGTTTTAGATTTCTTTATTAGAATGTGGAAAGTTAAAAGCTAAGAAAAAAATGTGAAAATAAAGAATAAATTTTATTTTAAGGATAATTCATTTTTAAAAATCTTTTCCAAATTTGAGGGAAAATGAAAAATTTATTTAAAATTATAAGTTTATCTTGTTGACATAAAAATATCAGTATAGTCAAAAAGGTTTTAAAAGGGATGTGGTATTAAAAAATATGCAGTGTTAAGTGTCAGCCATTACAAAATTACTATTAATTTTTTTAAAAAAATGATAAAAAATATTTTATACAAGAAATAATTACATTTTAACATACTCTTCCTTGTCTCTGCACTTAACACATTTCTTCATTGAGAAGATTATATAATGAAACATTCAGATCAAAATTCAGCTAATAATTGTGTCAGAATATGGATTTATTCTTTTATATACACACTTTTCAGATTTGAAAATGTTCCTCTTGGATGATGGTAGTCTGCTTATGTATTTCACTTGATTAAATTTTAAGAAAACGGCTAATTATTGTGTGTTCTCTTTCTTGTAGACATACACTGGGTCAATTCTAGTGGCAGTCAATCCTTACCAGATTCTTCCCATCTACACAGCTGAACAGATCCAAACTTACAGAGATAAAAAGATTGGGGAATTGAGTCCCCACATCTTTGCCATTGCTGACAACTCTTACTTCAACATGAAAAGATATCAACAGGATCAGTGTGTGATCATCAGGTAAGGCTCAAAGTTTGACTCAACTATTCAATAAAAATTATGTTCAACAAAACAAAAGATTAGTAAAACATTGTTTTAATAAATATGATCATTTAAGTTGTTCAAGAAAGTATTTTCATTGGTAATGATAAGGGTTTATATATATATATATATGAAAAAAAATATACTGAAAAACAAACAAAAATCCTAATATGTGATTATGCTGTTTTAATGTTTAATGTCAACGTCGGACGTTTCAGTCTAATAGACCATCTTCAGGACATATTCATAAAACATAATTAACATAGACCATATACAATTCAACATGAAAAAGATGATGGACATAAAAGCAATACCAATCCAAACAGTCGTTGATATTAAACATTAAAACAGCATAATCGCATATTAGGATTTTTGTTTGTTTTTTCAGTATATTTTTCTTCATACTGTCGGATCTATATCAATATATTTGCTTTTATATATATATATATATATATATATATATTTATTTATGATAGTTGGTACTGACACTTTGCCTCTAATGAAAATTTTATTCAAGATTTCCCAGAAATCAGTTTTTTGTTTTCAACCTTGGCTTGGACTGATTGGGCATAGCTGCTCTTTGCATTTTCTAGAACTCTCTTGCAATGACTGTTGCCAGTTCTGAATGCAGCAAGATTCCTACTACACCATTCTCTGTGGTAGAGATGGCACTAGTAGTTATGGTGGGTTATGGCTGCAGTATGTTCTAGTGTGGACCAAAACTGGCTATTTGCTTTCTGTTAATATTATTTCTGGGAGATAAAACTATTCATTCCCAAGATGATCCATTTAGAAATGAGGAAGGCAGTGCTGGAATTTCTATGGAGCTTCCACAATGTAAGATCGGAAGTTGTTCCAGTCAGCTTTGATGTACTGAAAAATTGTCTGATGAAATGCTACATCAAGGGATACTTTTGGTTTGGTATTAACTTTAACAGTGATCAGCAAATAATCAGAAGTGCCCAGGGGATTTTTCAGGGTAGGATTTGAAAAAAGGGGGTCTAAGGGGTTTGTGTGATGATCCATTGTGTCAGGAACATGTGTGGGCTGATCAACAATTGTTTTACAAAACTGATTTAATAGGCAACTTCATTGTAACAGATATAAAAAAAGAGATTTGAAATTCATTTGCATTGTAGAATTAAATTCTTTACATACATTTTTCTCCACTTGAAGAAATTCTTATTCATAAAGTTTTTAGAAGCTGAAGTTTGGTAACAAAACTATTAGTCTATGATAAATATATATTTTTTTTATTATGATATCTAATTACTTTATATAAAAAAATTATACCAAAGAGTAAAAAATAAAAGCTGAAATAATTTTGGGTTTCATAAAATTATAATTTTACTTATTCATTAAATTTTATTCAAATATTTAAAGGTGTTATTTATGTACATTTTTCTGAATATTGCTTCTAGGTTAATTTTTTTTTTATGTTTGAAATCAGTTAACATAATTATTTTGTTTCTTAAATTTTATAAACTACATATTAACCTTTTTAATGATTTAGCAAATTTTTAAAAAAATAAGAAAAATCAAACTGAATAAGCTAACAGCATGCAGCAGTTTAAAATTTATTATAAATGTCTAAAATTGATAAAAATTCATGTTGAATTGGTATATTTTAAGGAAACTTTATTCAAACGAAAGGGAGATAAACTCTGTCAGTTTCATTTTTCTTAAAGATTCTACAGTTACTATTTAAAACTCTAACATTTTTAGTATTGCTTTTAGCCATATTTATTGAATTGATTTAGGGACTTTTAGATTCTTTCTACTGCTTTTTATTACATAAACTCAGTTCAGAAATGATAAAAAATGTGAAACTAACTGATTTCTTGTTGAATTAGATGTTCCATGCTCAAAAGATTATAGAGTAAGTAAACAGCAGATATAAAATAGATTTTTTAAAGTATTTTAACCTAAGATTAATAGTCAAATAAGTTCAATTTTATTAATTAAAGCTCATTTCTTGGTGGCAGATACCATATAAAAACCTGTGAATTTGATGCATTTTTACAGTTTTAATTCAGAAGCACTCCTTAAAAGTTTCTGTGAAAATGCCGAAAGGTTTCTTGCTTGCATCAAAAGTAAAAGCATTCTTACTTGGAGCAAAACTGGATGATGATTGTATTCCAAGTTCCATTCATTTATTGTGAAAGTCTTTTTTTATTTCTTTGGCAAATTTTCAGTCTGTCATTGTGATCCAAATCTTTTTGAAGAATCCTGATGCTTATAATGAAGCATGGTATCAAGTGTGCAAGAAACTGAAAATATCTGATTTGGCAATATCAGGAACTGTAAAAGATGCTACAGAAAATCAATTAAAAGCTGTTCACAAAATTGCACAAGCAATAAGCCATTAGTGCAAGTACTGAAATTTTTCATGTTGTAAGGCAAGCTAAAACCATGTTTATGCAAATACCACAACAAAGTCAAATACCTGTGGGCAGCGATGATCTTCAAAAAACACCTCAATCTCTAGAATGGGATCTAGACAGATGAAAAGTGTTTCAGTCTTGACAGACTTGCCTACTACAGCATTTTCTTGGTATGATCTATGATGAGAAACACCAAGAAAGGTTTCTCACAATTTTGATAATGAAGGAATTATGATTTGATTGGCTGTTGGCTACACTCTAGTTATTGTTAACAGAACTTTAACAGCTCCCAATTACCAAGAGATGCTAGAACACAGCTTTATTCTAAAGCTACCAATAAATAAAGAAGAAAAAACAGTTGATCTATCAGTAAGAAAATAGAATTTACCATTCAGCAAAGACAACAGTTTCATACCTCAGTGAGAATTTGTCTTCTCAAATTAAATGACCTGTCTTGTTTCTAGACCCCAATTCCATAGAAAATGTTTAAGTATTAATAACAACATCCAATATCCTACTTTTCAGGAGCTGAAACAGGTAATCATGAATACATAGGAAAAAATTCCCCCAATCTGTACTCTTTGAATAAAGTAAACAGTGTGACAAATTGATAGGTAGTGAATTAATGGTTAACTTATCACTAAATAATGTTTTGTTAATAATATATACTTTTTTAATATATAAAAAAATTGTCAAAATGAAGAATAAAAATCCAAATTTACAACTATTCAGGAAATACTTTAAAATAACCTAAAAATTTTTTATAAAAATCTGGTCTCACTTTTAAACTAATTCCACTAAATTTTTTAAAGATAGTTTTTTTTTAAATTTCTGGATGGAATGTATATTTTAAATTAGACTGATAAATAGAAACTGATGTAATATATTTGGATAAAACAAAAGTGATGAATTTATAAATAAAACTGACTATAAAAACAATATATATAAAGTAAAACAAGCCTGCTTGGTGCCTGAGATAGTTGTGTATTTCTTAGCAGTAAAAGCCAAGATTTCAGATACTAATTTTCAAGATAAACAAGCAGGTCCTCACCAATACAATCTTCTTATCTTCAATTTGGCTAAATTAATTTTAGTAAATATCTATCATTTAATATGCTATAAAATATATGAAAATAATTATCTGGTAAGATGTACATCATTTCATCAAGAAATGTATTTCTAAAAATCATAGAAAATTTTTTTAGATGAAGCACTTTTATTATTATTTTATTACTAGTTTTATATCTTATTATTGTTGCTTCTTTTTAAACAATTTTGGCAGATAAACAATTCTCTCTGTATTATATCCAAACAGGTTCTGTCCATGAACCACTGCTTTGTGGAACAGACTCCCAAGAGGATGTTTCTTTAGTCACTACAATCTTAACCTGTTCAAGTTTGGAGTTAACTGTTATCTGTCCCCTCCTATCAATATAAACTGCACCTTAATGTAACCATCTACCACAAGTGGTCCCTGGGCCTTTTACAGGGTAAACTTTACTGCAAAATAAATAAATAAAATAACTACAGAAATTATTTCCATCTTTTTTCTTCTGTTTTATTCACAGGAAAATGGAAAAGTATTAAATGTCTATTAAAATAAATGGCTATGGATAAAAGAATATATTGATTTATGTGAAAAATTACAGTATACTTCAACCATCTGGAGGAATTTTTTTTATTACAGGAAGAATTGTTGAAAGTTTTCAGTCTGGCTCACTCCCCAAAATATAACCACATGACCAGATATAAATATTTTTTTAAATTATTTCTTTGTCATAGAAAGAACTTTTCTGGGTCTCTGCAACTTTTCTTTTGCAGAAAATATCATAAAATTAAATGTTTTCATGGTACAATTTTCTGCTGTGCATTTAAATATTTCCCTACGATTTTATCCAGAAAAATTTTCAGCAAAATTTACATGAAATCAATTTTCTCTTTTTTGCCTAGTGGAGAATCTGGGGCAGGCAAAACAGAAAGCACAAAATTAATTCTTCAGTTTTTGGCAGCAGTTAGTGGGCAACACTCCTGGATTGAACAACAAATCTTAGAAGCCAACCCAATTATGGAAGGTAAGTTCTCTTTTAGCTTTCAATTGGAAATTTAAAATAATAAATAAAGGGTTATTTTCATTGTAATTAATATTTTCATCTTCATTGATTTATAAAGAAGTCATTGTTATTGTGACTGATGATAACCTGAGACTTGAATCTTTTATATTTAACATTATATTTTATTTAATTCTGTTACTTCATCAGTTACTGTCAGCCAATATGTGTGTGTGTATGCAGCTCTGATCCCCTAGTTTGAAAATATGGACCTTACATTCTCATGTGCAATATCTGAGAGAGACTGTTTACTCACCACTCAGGTGAGTGTTTATATAACTATGTAGTACAGTTCTTTCCCATGCTTGTGATCCAGGTGCAGCTGGTCTGGTCATATGAATCTGCACTTGATGATTGGGAGGTTACCTCAGGTCAACTTTTCACCTGAATCCTTTGATGGTATGGTGTGAAATTGAGTGCAAAGTCTATTCTGGCATGATCTGGAGTTAGATGCATACTACTGATTTATTATGACTTTTAAAAGGAATTTATTTTTTTAAATAGACTTTATATCATAAATATTTAGTGGCAGTAATATAAAGAGTTTATAAAATAAATTCATAAAATCTCAAATTAAGAACAGAAAATATTTTTTCTAAATTTTGAATGACTTTCTAACTGAAATAAATTTTTTTTATAATATGAAATTAATTTTGGTGAAAAAAAGAAAAATTACTTAAAATCCAATACAACATTTACTTGAAATAAATGTCTATAAAGACACTAATGCTAATTCTTCATATGCACCACCATTATGTTTTTGACTGGATACTTTTGGAAACTGATGCTATCCTCCAAGAAAATGACTCATTGCACTTTCTCGGGCTGACGTTCTCTGCTGATATAAGGTTGAAAGACTACATTGCATCCATCACTAGATCAGCAGCTAAGAAAGTCATTTCACTGTGTTGGGCAAGACAATTTTTCTCTCCGAAATCTATCTTGCATATCTATAAGTCTACCATTCATCCATGCTTAGAATATTGCCATCATATATGGTCTGGTGCCTCTGTTATTTTCCTGGAGCTCCTTGATAAGATCCAAAGAAGAATCAGCAATATTATTGGTCCTGATCTAGTAGTTTGGCTTCAGTCACTTGTCACCACTTGCCTTTTTTATAAATACTTCCATGGTAATTGTTCAGATGAGCTCTTTGCTATGGTACCTAGACTGTATGAATTTAAATACTAGACTGGTGGCAAGATCTCATCAATTTAGAGTCAAGCTATGTAAATGTAGTCCTAATTTCTATGCTGACAGTTTCTTATCTAGCATTTTTCACTTGTGGAACTCCCTTCTGGCTCCTTTCCAGCGAATTTTAATCTTCAAAAATTTAAATGCAATGTCAATTGCTGTTTGCTCTTTCACCTCATTACTAATGTTTTTGTTTCTAATTCCTCCACACCCTGTGTACTTGTGGTTGTACTGCCTTGCTTGTGGTGATACTGGTTTGGAAATAGCATTAAGTATTAATTAGTTTATAACACAGACACAATGGACCAACATTTCAGAGTGTCATATATATGTATATGTCAACAGTAGGCAATGTAAGTTTTCACAGGACATATTGAAAGCAAGAGACAGAAGGAAACAGCAAATAACTCTACGAACAACTTACCTTGTGTAAATGGTTGGCAGAACAGGAATTAAGAACAATAACAAAAAGACAAAGCTTACTAAGAGCTACAAAAGACAAAAAGTTGTACAGAACCATGACACCAATGTCATGAAAGCATGCAGTACATAGATGGAGGAGGAAGTATTAATTAGAGGAATCATTCTTATTTGTTGCCATTTGGGTTTCTCTAACAGAATGGGTTAATGGAAAATATTTATCATTTTCCCTGTTATCAAAATTTACAGTTAATGTTTTCTTTATTCAATATTTTTGTAAAGCTTACAGAACATATATTTTGTTGAATAATCTAATTTTGCTTCTTAGCACTGATTATTGCAGTAGAGTGAATTAATGTTCTGGGGTTTCTTTAAGAGTTATCTGCTCCTTATCAGATGAGAAGTTCTTAGAAAAAAAAATCTGAAAGTGTTTTTGAAAATTCCAGCAAATCTCATTTGTCTTAATGTCAGCAATGATATTAATGTCAGGGTTGTAACTGCTGATTGTCCCTTGCACCATTCTTTGGAAAAGACATCATGGGCTCTTTATCTAATTTGGAAATCTGTACAAGAAAATGGCAACTTGAAGAATCAAGTGTTCATTTTCAGCAAATCAATATCTCACTGCATTTATCTTTTCAATTCCAAGTGCAGATTTCATAAAGCATTATTTTTTGGGTTTTTTTTTTTTTACCTAAAAATAATCATCTTGAATTAGATATGTCTAAGCAATCGGATATTAAATGTAGAGCAAAAATATTTAGAAAGTAAACTTAAAAGAAAAAATTAAAAATATTCACAGAATTTAATATTGAATGTGCAATATTTTTTGTTTCTTTTCTAAATATTTAAAACATATATATATACAAGTTTTATGGGGTTACGGCTGATCCCGGGGTTACATTATTTCCATTTTTCTTGTTTCTGAAGTTATTGATTTTTCAGTGTTTCACTCATCCATATACATTTGCTTTTTCATTTACTAACTCTACTATAGAATATTTTTATAAATTTGAGTTTTATATTCATTAGAATCAAAATTGCTATCCCACAGATTTTGACATATTAGTTCATTGGATGTTCATGGCAAACAGATATAATTATAAAATAACTTTAATTTCAACTGAGTTCAAGAACCACTTTTGAAAACTGAGTTTTATGACATGTAACATTTTCTTTGATCTTAGAAAGCACTTTATAAAACATGAAATACACATATGTCATATTTTATTAATATATTTAAATTTTGTGATTTCTGTTAGTCCCTCCATCACAATCTCTAAAATAGCCATTCATTGATTGATTGAAAGCAAATTTTGGAGAGAAGTGCAAACAGGTAATTGGGTGCAAAGTACAGTTTTGGGTGCATAGATTAGTACAATAAATTTTCATCAATTTCTTTTTTGAAAAATTAAAAGTTTTATTATTTAACATAAAAAATACTCCCACTACTTTAAAAACAATTTATTCATTAAAATAACAAATACTTGTTTAATAAAAATGCAATATTGTTTTTTATTTAAGTTTTTATATAGATTTCATTCTGGTAAAATATAATGCACAGTAGTAGCACTGTAAATATAAACACAGTAGAGAGAGTAGAGTTTGTAAATCTCAGCAAAAAATGTTAGTGATAACTTCAACAATGCTAAATACTGTGAGAATTTCAACATGCATCAGTGTGTTGCAAAAAAAATTCTAAAAAATTCTAGTACAATAAATCCTACAACAGCCACAGGGATTCCTCCAACAAAACATGATACGAGGGCCACATTACCATTAACCCAAGAATCTTTAGCATATATGTGTGTATGTATATATATATGTGTGTGTGTGTGTGTGTGTGAGTAAGATTTCAGACAGTGTATATCTGTAAAAGGACAATATGAATAAAGACGAAAGAAAAGCTTATCTTAGTTGACATGTTTCATCCTTCGAAAAATGTTAAAAAATTTAAAGAAAATGGTTAAATTAATAACTTCATCTTATTTGAAATGTATAACACATAAATTAATCCCAAACTAAAATAATTTAATTACTAATTTGCATTAAAAAATGTGAACATACCAAAAATAACCTGCCTTCCTAACTGTAATCTTCCAGTGACATATAGTAAATAGTTGAGCTACTCTTCCACCCACGTGGCCTGACAATTGTATCTAAGCAGACTGTCATTATCCAGTGTTGATACCTATGTCCACATTGCTTATATTTACATATGCTCTGTCCTGATATTGAGAACTTTTCTCCTATAGATACAGCATACCTTCAAAACTATCATATTCTATTCTTAGGGGATATTTCATATCCATTAATTATATCTAGTTTATTCTCATGGGAAGTAGGATGGGAGCACTCTATTGCTGTGGATTGAATAATGGGCTTGGTTCAAAATTCTGAGAACTGATACCTGAAGAAGGTCAGAGGGTACATTGACTGAAACACTGTAAATATAACAACCATGATGAGCATGCTAGTCTGACTAGAAATTCATATAATAATGATAGTTCTTCATTTTTATTTTTTTTAACTCCCAACTCTATGAAGAAAAGAGCAGAATTTATTCCTCATTCCTGCTAAAATTTTAGAAGCCTACTTATCACTATTTTTGTCTTTTGCTGTTATATATAAATTTCCAGCATGTCTCCATCTTCTAATAAGGCAAGTTAAAAACATATTTGGTGCCTGATCATCAGTAATCCTTTCTCCAGTCATCACCTTCTCATTCCATTAAGAAAGGTAGGATCAATACCAAACCCTGATATCTCCAGTAATGGCTAAGGGAATTGGGCAACTTCTAGATGATTTACCATAAAATGTTGTTCAGTACCATATCCCCTGAGTATACATATTTTATCCCGCAATAAAAAGTGACCATGTGTAAAATTTTGCCACTATGGTGTAACAAATATCAATGTTACAGTATCATAATATTTTATGTTTGAATTCCCACACATTGTTTAATATTTATACATTTCTTTGAAATTTTTACTTTAGCAGTTTTTGAATAGTATTGATATCAAGTCTAGGTTTGAACAAATATGACTGTGGTATCTAAATTTATGCTGTAGATAAATAACAAAACATGTAACATTTTCATTTTTATTAAAACATTTGTTTTATTCCCACATATAATTCAACTTTGTTTTTAAAAAATATATATGTATTTTTTATTTTTATTTCAGCTTTTGGAAACGCAAAAACTATACGAAATGATAATTCTAGTCGCTTTGGGAAATATATTGATATACATTTTAATGAAAGTGGCTCAATTGAAGGGGCTCGAATTGACCAGTATTTGTTAGAGAAGTCCAGAATTGTGAATCAGGTAAAAAAAAATTTTATTATAAAAAAAAAAAAAAAAAAAATTATACACATCTTCAACTTAAAATAACAAAAAATTATTTGATAAAGAACAGTCTTGTTGCAGCACCAGAGATGACTGCATAACTGAATCACGTGTTTCTCATCCATATTGGCCAGTGTGTCCATGATAGTGGCTTTCAGTGAGTTCTCCATAATGTGGAGCTACTGGTTGGTCTCCCGCTTAATGATAACCCTCCCACTCACATAGAACTTTACCTAGTAACACAATCTACATCACTTGAAGACTTCCTACAGTAGCAACAACTAAAATGGATAGCACATATAACTAGAAAGTAATATTCTGATGTAATCAGATGTTGACTTTCCATACTACCTTAAACAAAAGGTTAGGAAGGAAAGTCCCATCAATACTAGAAAGAGTGATAACAGTGAATATGAGAAACCTATTTTCCTGAAAAACAGTTTTAAGAGAAATATTTTGTGAATTTCAAATGTTAACTGTTCGGTCAATGAATGCCAAATGTTTCCTGGAATTGGCTATTCTTATCATTACCAAATCTAGTAGTTTAGGACAATCACATTAAATGATAAGAGGTTGCAACATCTTAGAGATGACATTATTTTGAAAATTCTCAGCCATGTGGGAGAGCAAAGTCCTTCTTTCTATTTAGACATGGATGACATATCCCTATCAGAGGGCCCTAACTTTTTCTGAACCTTGAGCACAAAAGATTTGGCCACTTTCAAGAACTGGCTGAGGTTGGTGGCTAATGCCATTAGCATGGTACAAGTTCCAGATTGGAAGCTGCCAGGTTAAAACTTAATGTTAAAATTTGGCACATACCAATTAAAATTACATTAGTTTTCCATTTAGGGCCTGTTCTCAAATACCTGGTGCATCTTGTTCAGTCTGATTAATGGAGAAGTGTTAAGTGCATTGACAAGGAAAGAGATTATGTTGAAATATATTTGTTGTGTACAATAAATGTTTTTTTTTTTTTTCATCATTATGCTATGGACTTATTGATGTGCCTACATATTTTTTTCAATATTTGAATTTTTGTAAACTCCATTTTTCTATTCAATGTTTCAGGCTCATGATGAAAGAAATTATCACATTTTTTACTGCATGTTGGCTGGAATGAGTGCAAGTGACAAAGCACAACTGGAGCTGACTGATATTAAGCATTATCATTATTTGACACAGGTAAGTTTGTAAAGATTTTTAAAAATGAATAATAGTCAAGAAAATTTTTTTTTTTAAATAATAGAACAATACTTTGATTTATTGAGGAAAATGAATCTTCCTTGAGGTGTTATTTGTGGAATAGCTTGTGAGAACATTGTTGATATATATCAAAAATTGAGCTATGACTAACAGATATAGAAGCACTCCAAACTTACGTCCTTGTGCCAAACTTAAGCTTAGTAATTACCTGTGCACCTTGACATGAAACAATCATCCCTTCCTTAATGTGTTTAATCCATATTGATGCCTTGTTCCATATTAAGGTTACTAAATCAGGCATGTCCAAAGTTCAGCTCTCTTTGCAATTACAACCTGCAGCCTAATTTCATATGGCCCCCATCCTCTGTCATAGAATGTATCACTTACTGTTTGCCAGTATTGTCAATTGGGGCATGTAAAGTACACACCTAAGAAATAAAATTTCATGTTTTACCAAAAGATGGCAGCAACACTGTGTGGTCGTCCTCCAACAGTGTAACCTTGGCCTTTTCCAACCAATTTCTAAAATCTCTGCCTTTGTTCACATTAGTGCAGGCAAGTTATTTGTTATGGTCATCTAAGATGAATAAATTCTAAAATCTTAATGAATTAAATTTTTGTGTTGGTCAAAATCAGTTATAAATATATTTGGACACATGGACTTGTGTCACTTTGTTTTCTACTTCTTAATAAGATGAATATTGGTGTTATGTTCCTATTCATATGTTTTTAACTTAAAAGTGAACAGACAACATTAATTACCAATAATATGTAATGTTTAAGATTAACCTGAGATATAGCTTCCAGGAAGTTTTTTTTTTTTTGGGTGACATATTTTTACTTCATCTTATATGGGCTTCAGATATGACAGGCTGTGTGATTTTGGTAAGACCTGTTTCAATTTATTTGTCATTCATGTGAAGAAATGAAAATATGCCATTTACAATAAGATTTTCATAAGATAGTTCATTTGCATTTAATTTTAATGGTTCAAAGAATGCCAAGCAGAGTGGTTGGCCTTCACGCATATTCACCTCATCTGGCCCTCTTTGAAAAAAATTTTCACACCTCTGATCTAAATAGTGTAATGTATCTACAGCTTAATTAATTTGAATTAGTTTCCTCATTTATGCACTTGAATAAATCACTGTATAATAGTAACACTTCATCTCAGAATTTAAGATAAAAAAATGATTGCTTTCTTTATATTATGGATTAACCCAAACCTCTTTCAATATTTGTTTATTATATTTAGGCTTACTAATTTGTGTGTGCTGTCAAAAAATGATGGCAGTATTTAAGTTTATAATATTTTATAATTACAATGCAATAGAAAAATTAATATCCATTTATCTGTAAGTTATAATAATTAGAGATATAAATAAATTATGGAGAGTAATTTGTCAATTTTAAAAATTCTATTTTTATTACATCATCAGACCAGTCCACTACACAAAAGTCTAAGTTCCCCAAGCTCTTTGGTGATTTTGTTCTTAGTCATTCTCTGTGACATCTCAATTATCTTTATACTCTTCTCATTATGAAATTTAAATCAAAAACTTTAAGAGTCTAGTTTATCTAATCTGTGTTTGGTCCTTTTAACATGAGAAATCTGCATGTATATCTTAATTTGTGAAGATATTTATCACAAGCAGTGGGGATGTCAAGTGGCTTATAACTTTTATATACCTTATTTTAAGAATCATCAGGTATCTATACCTTTATTTCCCCTAATACTGTGTCCTTGTGAAAGTGACAACTTGCATGACAGTCTTGTATGATCACAAATACTGCTCCTGAAAATATATTGTTGAACAGCTTCTAAATGAAAATTAAACAATTTTCTTTTTTTTAGCAAAGTGGCTAATTTCTTTTGCTTGCCACTGTACAAGATAAACTATTTGATCTGCAATAACTATTCAAGAAAAAAGTTTTTATGTACTTTGATATCTACTGCCTCCATCCAATAATAGTTGTTACATTTTAATGTATGTAATATGTATTTGAATGTAACAATTATTATAAATCAGAGGTAGTAATATTTATTGCAAATTGCAGACTTTAGCATCACATTAAGACCTGTGATTTTAAGTGTATCTTATATCTGATCAAATACAACCTATTAAGACAATGTATTACATGTCAGTATTGCATTAAATGGTCTGATACAAATGTAAGTGACTGCTCAATAATAGCAAGAAAAAGTCTGGAATGTTTCATCATCATTTATATAAATAGTTTTATTGTTCTTTTTGAAAATAATATCTAAAGAACAAATGGCATTAGAAAGATAAAAATTGTTTTCTTTATTCCTTGAAGTAAATTAGATTTTTTTTCCTTGGCATAATTTTTAGAAATGTTCTTGCTTTAAACTGAAAGTCACCAGAGGTCACAGGCATGCTGTAAATACAGATAACATGCATCAACTTTGTCATGTAATGTGAAAAAAAAATGATTGAAAATTTTTTATTTATTTTTCTCTTCAAAATATTCAGGTTTGTTCATGTAAACACTTGATATTTTTACAGTAAACTGGCAAGTGCTATACTTTCATTAAGAACAAGCTAGAACTGCTGGGCAGTGCCATTTAACCCATGAGGAATTTTAGCCACTTAATTCTTCAGTAAACCAGAATCAAATATCATAAAATAATAGTTTATTTTTGTATTATTAAGACAGCTTCAAACAGTGTTTATAAAAGGTAAAAATTCAGTAATAATATTTCTGGAGATCCCTTTATTCATCTCTCTTTCTCTCCAGGGTGATTTTGTTTGAATGTAATTATTAAACTTAATTTATTTCTCATTTGTTGTCTTATCCTAGGGTGGTTCAGTGAAATGTGAAGGTCGGGATGATGCCAAAGAATTTGCCAATATTCGTTCAGCTATGAAAGTCCTAATGTTCCATGAGAGTGAAGTGATGGAAATCATGAAAATCCTATCAGCTCTTTTACACCTGGGCAACATTACATACAATGGTAAGTTATGAGGTTAACAAAATGATCATCATTCAAGACAGGTATTTCATTAAACCTGAATGGGTCGTTATTAAATTTTAGGTTTTCTTACTCTTATCCACAGTATTGCATGCAAGATATCATGGAATAATGCATTTGATGGCATATAAAACCCATAGGCATATAAGATTCCTCCTCACATTTCAGTAGAGAATATTAAGAAAAATATTATCGGATGATACAACAAATTCCTTGCAGTGTATTTTAACAGTTGAAGAATGAATCAGCAAAAAAAAAAAAAAAAAACGCAAGAAAGCCTGGAAAATAGGAAGAGATGAAACTTATTAACCTGATTTATCTACTGCAACATGGTTGAAGTTGAATGGATTGCATTTAAGTTTGATTACATATATACAGAAATAGAAAGCCTCGAGTTTTAATTATGTTTTATTCTCTTTTTTTTTTTTTTTTTTAGATCTAAAAAACCATTAAATTTGTCTGGAACTATCACCTTTGCCAGCACTGAGATTTAAAGTAATATTTTTTACTTATGAATTTTGTAAGAGTATGTTTTATATATTTTAAGTTTTAAAGATTTAAAAAATATTTTTCTTTTTGTCTGTAGCCATTCAAGTGGACAATATTGATGCTAGTGAAATCTTAGACATTGCTTACGTTCGAAAAGCAGCACAACTTCTGGGGGTGAGTTTAATTTTTGTTTTATGAAAAAATAGTATAACAAAAATTTAAAGAATTTTAGAATGTTAGTTCTGTTGTCTATAAAGAAAATAGAACCAACATTCTAAAACATTTTATTTTTTTCATTTCATATATGTATATTTACTTTTTGCCTGGAAAAAATTATAGTGAAAAGTAAATTTGAAAGGTGAATGATGGTAATGGTAATATTATCCATTTCCTTATAAGGAAACATTTAGAATTCATTGACTGAGCAGCCAGTATTGCTGTCCATCAAAATTTATAAAATCTTCCCCTTAATTTTTCAGAAAAATAGGTTTTTCAAGTCACTGTTATCACTTTTTCCAATAGTGACTGAGTTTTCCTTCCTCATGTTTCATTTGAAGTAGTGTGGAATGTCAACATCTTGATTAGGTCATTATTTTCTTATCATGTAACATGTGCTATCCATTTTAGTTGTTGCTGCTGTTAGTAGACCTCAAGTGATGTGGTTTCTATTATTTGGTACAATTCTTTGTGATTCAGTAGCACCAGTCTACAATGTTTAAAGGATTATCTTTTCCAAGAACCTCAGCTTCACTTACTCGAAGACTTTTTAACCACTGATCTTAGAAAGTAGTTGTATACAGCTGATAGTTTAGATATTTCTGAACGGGTTTGGCATCATGCATGACATCCATATGAAATTCTTGATCTGACAAGGTTATTTAAGAACATGAGTTGAGTTTTCAGGTTGATGTTTTGTAGCAATTTGTGGTATTGGGCAAAAGTACCTCTGGCACATGTTCAATTTCCTTTTCTCCTATACTAGATTTGTTATAACTGATTCATATTCTGAGGTATTTGAAGTGTTTGGTAGATACTAAATTTATATCCTAAATTTTTATGATGGATTCAAGGTAGGTGCCATCACTGTTTTCATTCCATTTCTAGATCATAGTTTCTGTTTTGGAAAGGTTTATCTTGAGTCCTATTTCTTGGAACATTTGATAGAGGATGTTGATAGAGTAAAGAATAATTTAATGCATTCAGTTTCTTTTGTCCTTCATCAGAAACTATCTACAAGTTGTTACTATTGAAGAATCTGTAAGATTTGAAGGAGGAAGGGAAGATGACTGACGCTTGATTGAATGTTAAATGAGGATGTGCGGCTGGTGTAATGGTTAGTGATTCAGAAAGAGAAATTGGTAAACTGAGTTCAAATTCTGACAAAGTTTGTTAGATTCACTTTTGCATAAATACTCTTGGGAAAGATACAGAGCTGTTTCTTCTCCTCCCAGCTATAGGTTAAATAGCAGGGCTGACTGTGCTCTCTTGCCTTGAAGTGGTAACCAGTCTAGGAAAAGGCTAAAGAATGATGGACTCTCCCATGCTATCTTTTGCCCTAGACATACCCCTGCTGCTATGGCTGCAGTACATGTGGTTCCCCCATGATCCTAACGAGTTAGGGAACTTGTGATATGACAAAATGTGTAATGACAAATATTTGATGAAATATGTCTGTTGAATAAATGTTTTTTTTCTAAATTTCATTTAAAAAAGGAAATTAAAGAAAATAATAGTAAGCATAATTTCAGCATTTTTATATAAACCAGAAAAATATCTCCTCTTTAATTAGTTTTACTTATTTTCATATAAAAATAAAGTATCTGTCTACATTTCTGAGTTGAGGTATTGTAACTATTTACATTATTTACATTGTTTGGACTTTGTCATATTCACAATGTTTTGGTTCAGTGGATAAAAGCGTTGGTTGAAGTAATCCAGTGACTTGACGAAAAGAATTGTGAGTTCAGTACCTGGCCACAGCAGAAATAAAGAAAAACTTGGAGAGTTGCGTTACTAAAGGGAAATAACTGAAACTGAGATATCCAGAAAAGGCATGGCTTGTGGAACTAGAACAATCTACCCTGGTGGACAAAATAAATGATTCAGTTCAAGATTCCAACATATATCTCATGAAGAAAGCCAGAGCATACAATGGCCAAAATATGGATATGACAATAAAAATAGTCTAAACAATGTAAATAGTGTAAATAAAAATAAAGTAAATTTAATAATCACTAGTGACTGTTAGAATTTCAATAAACAAATCTGATTATTTACTGTTGGACTAATGTCCTCCTCTTTGTTATGATCAAAACGTTTCGGCTATTCTGATCTTGAGCTTTCTTCAAGTATCTGCCAATCTGGTTAACCTTCAAAGAATTTGAAATTGTTTTCAGTCTGCTGTACATTTCTAGGGTTATCCTGTCTTGGTTAATTGTTCATATTGTTAGTCGTGTTTCCATTGTATATCTGTACTATCTGGCCTAAGTATTGACCTCCTAATTACTATATCACTAAATTCACTCACCAATGCTTTAAAATTCTCAGCTATGTAACTCCTCATCCCAGAATTTCAAACAAAAATAAATAAGTACTCACAATTTACATACGTCCTAAGTATTAAGATGTTCATATTTACGAACCTTTAATGACTTGTTGATAACATATTGATGCAAAAATTCTTAAAGGTTTCATTATCATAATAAAAATAAAATTCTTGGATTTTTTTCTTTTCTTTTTTTAGGTTCAACCACAGAATCTAATTGATGCTTTGACAACTCGTACCATTTTTACACGAGGGGACAGTGTTACTTCTACAATGGGTATTGCTGCTTCTGTTGATGTCAGGGATGCTTTTGTCAAAGGCATCTATGGACGTATGTTTGTCTGGATTGTTGACAAAATAAACAAAGCTATTTATACACCCAAAATCTCCCCAGATCATTATAGAACAAGCATTGGAGTTTTGGATATTTTTGGTTTTGAAAATTTCGATCATAACAGGTAAGAGAAAGCATTTTCAGAAAATTGTACATTGTCTGAGTTACAATACCAAGCGCATGATTTTTAATATCAAAAAATTTTGGTGGCACAGCGGTTAATTCATTTTGTATAATGTCTTTCGGTTGTTCCATATGTTCTTCAATCATTCGAATGCATGCACGACTATGACACTTTCCATGCACGCACAAAACACGACGAAGGATGACAAAACCATCATTAATGATGATGCCAATCATCTACAAGGCAAAAATGGCAACGAGCAGTAGAAAGGAAATGAATATTGAGCAAGCAGTGAAAGTTAATGCAAATGCAAGAAAAACCAAAGAAAATACATGCATAAGCGATAATTCTGTGCCTAGGTGCCCTTTGGCATACCTTTGGTATACCACGATGCTGACCAACCAAAGCTCGAACCTCTAACATAGTAATCATTGAATCCATTTCATGGAACAACTTTTGTTTTTTTTTCTACAATTTCATACCAGTCAATATGGAAACCACTCAAAAATGTTAAAAACAATATCAAAACAATAATCAATAGGTTTGTTGTTGTCATCGTCATGCCAAATTGATATGTGTTGTAGTTTTCTTTTTATAGCACCAATCCAAATACTTTATGTAGTTTTTAACTATAGATGAAATTTTTGTGTGTATATATTCTAAATACAGATATAATTCTTGTAAATATATATTTTTGAAATATACATATCATTTTTTTAAAGTGATCTCTTCCATGTTTTCCATGAAAAGTTATTCTTTTTCAAAGGATACTTGGTAACAACATGCATCCAGGAAATACTAAATTAATGCATCAGCTAAAACAGCAAGTCAAATCAAAACAATAAAGATAAGGATAGTAATCCAAATAATTGCAAGACTAATGACAATTTTATCTTGTTACTTGAGACAAAAATGCCTGCTATTTTAACTTTCAGATTACACTATATCAGATTTATAATGTGAGTTAATGTTTTCACAACAGCCAAATAATATTGATAAAATTTTCAAATTATGCATATATGGACAATATATTGTACAAGTTTCAATTTATAATATCTATCCAGGTTAAAAATATTGTTATAATTTGTTATGGAAGCATCATTTTTTTTTTATTATACAAAGAAACTAAGTGCCACATAAATTTTTAAATCCAAAAAATTTAGGCCATAGAAACATTTGCTATATATCTGAATAAATTATTATTTTATTATCTGATATGTTAATATGGACTCCTTGATATTTCATAATGTTCATTAGTTTCTCATCTATTGATTTTAAGATTCTCAATACAAAGATATGTCTATGGGGAGGGACAATTCTTGTAGTGGATGCTCTGGGTGGGGTTTTATTCTTTCATTTCCTACACGATAGCCAAGAATATTAATGGGAGATACTGATTTTACTGTTTTTGCATAATTAAAGGTCACCACCACCTTTTGGTACAAATGTCCAAAAACCTTTAAACATTTGTCATGCTCAGTGATCATAATGTTATCTAAGTAGGGGAAAGTATTCTCCACCTTTTCATTGTGTACTAGTTTATCCATTAATCCGTGGGAGGCAACAATGCCATTTGTGACACTGAATGGCATTTGGCAAAAACAATAGTCTTCAAAGACTGTAGGCTGTTTATCAGACTTCATGTTTGGCATCTGATGATGATAGGCACATTTTAAGTCAAATGTTGAAAAGACACTATATTTAGCAAGATTATTAACTATACCATTTGTTATCATAGGTAGGCATTCAGTATACTGATTGTCTGAGAATAGTTCAGTCTTTTTTTGTGTCTGTTTATAGGGTCTTTCACAACAACAACCTGGGCAAAACCAAGGAGATGAACTCTCTTCTATAATGCCTTCTATCAACCACTCTGATATTTTCTGCCTTATCCTCTATATTAACATTGATTTTGTTCTAATCAGTTTACAGTTAGTTTAAACTCAGCGGAAAAGTGTTGGTTTATATAGTAAAACCATTGAAAGTACTCAACACAAATAGAATCATTACCTTTAACTGTATATTCGGGTCTGCCACATCCATACTTAAACACTTGCGTTATCTCTGGAAATCCTATCCCAGAAATCCTTTAAAATTCCAAAAGTGGTAGAAGGATAATTTTATTCATTCACTTCTAATGTAATGCTAGTTTTTCCTCAAGTATTAACTTTTAAAGATTTTGAGGCTAAAACAATTTTTTTGCTATTTTGGTGAACCTTCATATCTAACTTTTAGATTCACTGATGAAGCCACAGGAGTCTACTATCATATTTAATTTGTATTAAATCATTAACAAATGATGAATTTCTTTGAGATTTATGAAAACTGAGTAAGGATTGCAATGTAAAAGCAGTTTTGGCAGAACAATATCATGAACAATTGATCTGTGATGCTTTTATCAATGGTATAACTTCTCCCCTAATATGCCAATGCCATTTGGAGTGCAAGATGCTAGATTTATAAACTACCTACAATGAGGCTTATTCCTTGGACGTAACTGAACATAATGCTAACTCTTACTTATTGGCCAATGCTCAGGCTGTTCCAATAGTGACAGCTGAAAATAATGATAATGATTCTCATGATGGTCAGTAACAAAAGGGTGCCATAAGTGCTATATCATGTGCAACAAAGAAAAAAATCCCTTTCTACAATGGAAATTTTTATGTCAGAAATAAGTTCCCAGTCTGTAATATAACCAGCTATACATGGAGAAAAGGGGACATTTTTCCAAATGCAAATTACAATTGATTCATCTTGAAATTCAACAACCACAAAATGGAGTTTGGGAACCAATATTAATTTTTAAATAAGATTGAAAATGAAGGGCACATAACTCTTATACAACAATTAGCATATCACAAGTGGTGATTTCCCTTAATCATTTTAATAATCTATGCAAATAAAATCTTTATTTAAACATAATTAGTTCCCAAGCAAAATAAACCATTTAATTAATCCATCTCTTTACTACTACATTTCTTAGACTGCAGTGTTATTTGTTCAAGTCTTTCTTGTGAGGCAGTCATATACCTTTGTCTAGTAAGTTATTGTCTTCTTTCAACTTGGTCTTGAAATAGGCTTTGTTGTCAACAGCTTTGTCATTCTCTTAGTAATCTTTTTTCTTTTCAGATGTGTTTCCGTTTTGAGTCCCTGTAATATTAAACATTAAATTTTTTACATGAAAAAATATTGAGCAAAAAGAGATTTATATAATGCTAATTAATGAGATACCATTGACTGTCTAAAAAAAAAAGATTTAAAGAAAATGAATCAATTAAATTTGCCTCTATTTTAGTTGTGTATTCTGGATCTCTACTTTGAGTCTCAATTCATTGTTACAAAACTTTTTATTGTCTCTTGATATTAAAACTTTGTAACAATTGATGCCATTTTTGACAGCACAAGTTCACTATTGTACTTAATATTCTGAATATAGAATATCTATTTTCACTTTTTACATTTGCAAGATGAATTTCTTCAAAGCTTTTTTTTTTTTTTTTTTTTTGTTGCTCAATCCACTTGTTTATTACTCTTAATTTTTAAAAAGTTTTTAGCATTCTTAAACATATTTTTTCTTTCTTTACAATGTTTTCAATTTCTTTTTTGGTCTTTTATCTCTTCAATTTCAATGTTGTCTTCCTGTCACTCAACATCTTTACAATATCGTGTTTTTTGCTTTTCAGGTTCTGTTTTTCTTATGAGCCATGACAATCTTTAAATATCTGAAAATAGATCGCAACATTTATTAGAGAGATGAAATTTAAATTTTTAGTATTGAATTATTCCAAAATTTTAATACATCAGCAGATAGATATTAACTGAGCACAAATAGTTATGAATTAAAATTTAGTAATTAATGTATAATATTATCCATAACTACATGTACAAGAATTTTGTTTTTGATAAAAGTTAAAAAAAAAATAACCATAAATACATAAAAAATGCATATATTGTTGAAAATTCCTTTTTCCACAATATAGCTATTTGTGCTATGTTATAATGCTTATTACTTAAACAATAATAATACTGAATACATTTTTTAAAAAAATTAAAGTATATTTAATTACATCTCCCTAATAGCTGTCACGATCTATAAAAAAACTAAATATTAATAATTATACTATTTATTTTACAATATAAGCTGAACTTCACATGGAGTATTTTTTGTCAACATTAGTTGGTTAATGCCAGTTATATTGTTGAAACATTGATTTACATAATAAAATCTGATATATTGTATGGCAATATTTTTTTAAGGCAGCAAAGCCACTAAGACACAAGGGTTACTGAGTGTGAAGGAATAAGAAAAAAGAGAAATATTGTTAAGGGGAAAGAACAATAGCAGAGTAATCAAGAAGACACTAGATAATGATTGACATTGCATTTAAATTTTTAAAGATCAAAGTTGGCAGGAAAGCAAGAATCAAAAAGAGTTTCACAAATGAGAATTGCAAGAAAAACTGTTAGCATAGAATTTATGGTTACATCTAGCCAGCTCAACTATAAAATGATGAGCCTTTGCTATCAATCTAGTACTGCAATTAAATTCATGAAGTCTAGATACCATAGCAAAGAGTTTATCAGAATAATTACCATAAAAGTATTTAGAGAAAATGCAAAGGGAAGCTAGGATAAGTTTTATTTTATTTTTCAAAATAAAGTAAAATTGTATATAAAAATGACATTAAAATAAAAAAAAACAAATGAAAATAATCTCTGGTGAACTGATAACTTGTTTTAACATTTATGTTAAAACAAGTTATCAGTTTACCAGAGATTATTTTCTCTCACATTTTGTCTACAGATATTGTAACAAAATTTAAAAAATCAGAAATTAATATTTTTTTTAATTTTAAATTTCAGCTTTGAACAGCTGTGCATCAACTATGCAAATGAAAATCTTCAGCAATTCTTTGTGCGGCACATTTTCAAATTGGAACAGGCAAGTTGGAAATAATTTATTTCATGATTTAAAAACCTATCCTGTAGCATACAATCCCTTTCTGAGTAGCAGAAATGATAAAGAAAGTACTCAGCAACTATAAGTCAAAGAGTTCTTGTGTAATTGTAAATGACCAACAAATAGAATTGACAAAGTTTCAAGTAAACAATATCAAAAGGAAAAAAAAAGAACAGGACAAAACAATACAATACTAAAACAATATATATGCAAGACAAAACTAGGCAAACAATATATATGCAAGACAAAACTAGGCAAACAATATATATGCAAGACAAAACTAGGCAAACAATATATATGCAAGACAAAACTAGGCAAACAATATATATGCAAGACAAAACTAGGCAAACAATATATATGCAAGACAAAAGTAGGCAAACAATATATATGCAAGACAAAACTAGGCAAACAATATATATGCAAGACAAAACTAGGCAAACAATATATATGCAAGACAAAAGTAGGCAAAAAGTTCACAGAGTAAGAATGGTGTTAACACACAAAAGGGATACAAACAAGTAATTGCAGCATTCTGACTTCAAGACAAGAAAGAACAACAATAATACAGATGAGACCATGAAGTGGTCCATTTTATTGGTTAGGAAGCAATCTTAGCATGCATCTGTGTGATTTGACAATAAATTTGTGGAAGGGGGTGGTTTTGCAGTCATTTCTTTTGCATTGGAACCAAGTTCCGTTGTGTGCTTTTAGAAGAGTTTATAACTAGAAGTCAATTACTTCAATGTATTTGAAGCTGAATAGAGTCTGTTTTCATATCTGATGAAGACTAGAACATTTCTAGAGTAAAGATAGGTGTGATTGTATGAAAATAACATTGAGATTTTTACTTTTGAAAGATCTCTCTTGTTTTTATTTCATTTAAATTTTATTTTACAAAATAATTAAAAATAAGATCAGAATAACTTCACTTACAGATTAATTTTGAATGCCAATTTCAAGCAGTTGTAAGGTATTATAAGATAATTGTCTGACATGAGTATCTTGACTCAAATCAGTAAATATCACAGCCATTTGAAGTTTCCTTTATCTAAATATTCTTTTGTCTCTAAGTAAGGGAGATTAAATTCCTTTACACAGTTCTATGATTACCACTTTAGATTTGGTATGTAATTTATAGGAGAAAAAATAATTTAAGGTCTTTGATTACTCCCCATTTCCTTTTTATTCTGGCTTTGATTATTGTTGTAATGTTTTTTTTTGTTTTTATTTATTTATTTAGGAAGAGTACAATAGTGAAGGCATTAACTGGCAGCACATTGAATTTGTTGACAACCAAGATGCTCTTGATTTGATTGCAGTCAAACCCATGAATCTCATTTCACTCATTGATGAAGAAAGTAAATTTCCCAAGGTGAATCTTTAAAAAAAAATCTTTACCAAAATAAATACAAATTTTTTCTAATAAATAAGACTTGTATCAGTGGTTTGTCCAGAAAGGATCTAACCAGTTAATATTAACCAAAAAATTAGCCCACTTAGGGCAAATATACCTTAGACACTTTCAAAGAACCCCTGTGATAAATGTCTGAAGCTTTGCATGTAAATGGCCATTTACAATGCAGGAAGTGTGCATGTGCAAGAGCAATCCTTATAATACCATCAGATGATAAATATTCATGAGTTCGACATATATATAAGGGCTCACTTGAAAAGGCAGACATTTTGCTACCAGTTTTTCTGAGAAGCTTGCAAGTGGTTACGATCTATGTGGAACTGTGTCCCACAATTTACTGCGTTGGAGTGAGTTATTCTCTCTCTCTCTCTCTCTCATATATATATATAACTAAGCCCAGCATCCATTCCAATGTTTAAAACAATCTTCAAAGTTCACTTTGAGGATCAGCTGTCTCTTCACATTCTACTTAATCTTTTCTACAGCTTGAAATCTCCTCCCTTCCAACAGTGGGGAAATATTGAACTTTTACTGAACCAAATCTGGATTTTCTGTAAAGTTGCATGAGGATGTGGTTGTTACATAATACACATGCTCACTCAGTGGTATCTCACTGCTGACTGAGTAACCCCATGTGTGTGTATCTGTTCAAACATATGCAGTAAGGTTAACCATGATTGGATGCCACTGAGATGCAAGGGATTACTGAGTGTTAGAGAATATAAGAAAAAAATACTATTAAAGAGATAGAACAATAAAAGAACAGGAATTAAGAAGACAGTAGATAATGATTGACATTGTATTTAAATTTTTGAAGATCAAAGTTTACTGGGAAGCAAGAAGCCAGAAGAGAGTTCTGCAAGCAAGAAGTGCAATAGAAGAACTTGTGGTTGTGTCTTGAAGACAACTACCATAAAAACTGATCTGAAGTCTGGTACACAATGACTTTTTGACACTAGAATTACAATACAGTTATTGAGACCATATAAAATTGCTATTGAAAAGAAAAAATTAATATGTATCTGATGAATAAATTATAGAAATTAGTTACATGTGCTTCATTATTTTTTAATTCTCATGATCTGTATAAAAGAGCAAACATGTTTTTTTGCTTGATATAAAATATTTTTGGAATATTTTTAGGTCTCTTTGCAATTATCTCAAAGTTTTAAAAGTAAATGAACTAAATGTAAATATCTTTAGATTTTTATTTTAAAATGTGAATCCAATTACAAAGTATATTTTCATTTTTCTGAAATAAATACCTGGATAGTTTTTTTGTCATCCAGTAAGAAAATGTAAGTAAAATAATATCAACCAAATACTAATAAATGCACTTAAATGACCTTTCTTTTTTGATTTCCTTACAATTTTGCATTTTAGCTGCAGGTTCTTTGAAATTTATAAACTTTATAAAAATAACCTATTTTTAACAATATGATGCGCACACAACAAAATTCAAGTAGAATTTTTATTATTTTTTTCTCTTTTCCGCCATTATGTCAATTTTATGGAGCTGCATGAGACACAAATATTGATATTCTACATTGTCTAGGTTTACATTAGGTTACAAGATACATCAAATTTGCACATAAGATCCACAAAATTGTTATGGATATGAGAGAGTGAATGTTATTTATGCCATTATATCTGGTTATATTTCATCGGTTTATAGATGTTTGTTTTCTGGTCTAAGATTGTCCATAAAACTTAATCAATAGATGCATGTAGATCTTAATTAAAATCATACTAGGAAGCTTATTGAAGAAATATACAAATAAGCACATTTAAAAAAACAATTATTTTTCTCTCTGATTTCATTATTTAAAGCCAAAATCCTTGGTGTTTCTTGTTTTAAAAATGCAGGGCACAGACCAAACATTGCTGAGTAAACTGCACCAACAACATGGAAGTAACTCTAACTATCTCCGAGCCAAGTCAGAGATCAGCATGGTGTTTGGCCTCAACCACTTTGCAGGAGTCGTATTTTATGATGCCAGGGGTAAGTTTACACACACTACCATATTGTCTATATAGCACAATATTGATTATCTTAAAAACTGACATTTCTTTGAGGCTTTCATTTGCATACCTATCAAACTAATCTCCTAAATTATAGTTTATATAGTAAGTAATTACTGGTTGCTTCATGGTTGTGATTCTGAGGCAAGCTATGGTTACTTAATATCTATTCTGTAGTAGACATTAACTAATATATACTACCAAATATAGTAACTGAAAAGATACCAAGTGCTAATCAGAGTCTACAAAAGGGTTCTCTGTGTGAACCAATAAAATACAGTATCTCATCAGAAAGGCTTTTACTCTGTCAAATTTTCAAATGTCAATTTTACACAAATGTTTACTTTTTCTTCAATTGCAGGTTTCTTGGAAAAGAATCGAGACACTTTCAGTGTTGATTTGATCCATTTAGTGCAGTCATCCAACAACAAATATTTGACAAACCTCTTCACCGCTGATGTTGGCATGGTAATTGGATATAATGTATGTTTCATAGAGAATCCTTCTATAATCAGCACATGCATTCTAATATAAGGCAGTTCACCATTTTTTATGGGTTTTCTTCTATTGTGCCTCTATTTTTCTTGTGTTCATTTACTCCTGTCCTAAAAAAAAATTAAGAAGAAAATTGGTCTTTAATTTTCTTTAGTAAATGTCATATACTTTGGGAAAGTTAACAGAATCATTTCTCAATATAACAGGATCAAAAATTGCTATGATATAAAAACTATTAAAAGTTTAAATAAAATCAGCAAGAAAACAAAGATATCAATATTGTCTATAAATTTGAGATGAGTTATTCCAAATTTTGTCAGCCATATCAAGAGGATGAAGTTTAATTCCTTTACCAAATTTCAGAAAGGTACCAGTTTTGTGAGATGTAATGTTACCATATCCTTTTAGGAAATAGATAATTATGGTTTTCCACAGACCCTTCTTTTTTTTTCATCCATAAATTGCTTTAATTTCTTTGAAAAGTCATTTCTCATTGCCTTCTACACAGTTTTGAATTTAGAGCTGTCTTGCTTAATTGAAATCTAGTCTCTGTGCTATTTAACACACAGTTGAGGGGTGAAGAAATGGAATCATACATTTCCCTAGGGCATTAGTACTAAAGTGAATGCAACTGACTAGGCTGAAACTTGAACTCAACTCCTCAATTCCACTTTATGTACAACATTACATTACACACACATCCCCAAAATGTAAAATAACCAATAACAAGTAAGTAGCAAAAATCTTTTTCTCTGCTACCTTGACAAATGATGTACTAGACTAAATTGAGTGTACTGGTTCCAAATCAGTACTCAGAATTGTTTTACAAGTACTGCTTTTGAGATATGTGCATAACAAATAACAAAAGGAAAATATTATATTGATAGTATATTAACATAATATATAGTATACTTCTGTTCAAGGCAAATAGTATACTAAAGAATAACATTCATGTTCAAGAAAAATTTAGATGATGATGAGAAATGATTAAATACAAAATAAAATCATTTTACTTCTGATTTACTTTAGTATTTGTGAATTGAGGTGGTCTCCAATTGTAGGAACAAAATGTAACCAACCATAATTATCTCAGATATGTTTTAATGAAACTTCACCATGCTTATCACTTACATCACTCAAATGCATTGTGGAGGGGGGGGGGGGGATCTAAATGATGTGTAGCAGCCAACACACCCTTTTTGGCCACATGTGCTAAAAACCATATTGGCAGCAGCTAACCCTTTTTAGCTTTTAGGCATGCATAAAAAACTGGGAGCATACATAGCACAAATTCCAAGAGGGTAGCTCTCTTTCTTACCATGACACAAATGAGGTAAGATGCAAATCTAAGTGCTCCCAGAGTGCACGCATGACTTAAACACAACACCTCACTGTTTCACTGTTTCACTCACCAACAGAGTTCAATCACATTCATTTTCTTCTTTTTACAGGAACTATTGTAAGAACGTCCCTTAAATTTACACACTCTTTCAGGAACTATATGTGAAATACTCTCTATACTAAAAGTTCCCAACAGAATAAAAGTTTTTATCTCATTTTATTCATTCTTTCATTTGTCTATTTCTTTCCACCAATTCACCTTGTGTGATTTTTGTTCATCAACACGCAATTCCTTCTTAACCTAAAAGCCTACCACAAAAACAACAAAAATACATCTTGTGACATTCAACATTTTATTCTTTGAAACATTTTTAGCATGTTTTTTTATTAAACAAGTATAATTTTTAACTTTATGAGACATAAAATAGTTCTGGATAATAAATGAATCCCTTACCAGCAGCTCCAGTGAATATTGTTAACTATTCTGACACTTGTGGTTCTACCTAGGATTGAACTCTCCATCTCTGAAGATATTAGACTCCTACTCTTCAGCTTAATGGATGTGTTCTAACTAGTAGCAGTAGTTTGTCTCCCTTTCTGCCAAAGTGGATTTAACCTTTAGGCATTATTTAAGTTTATTGAAATTTCTCCTCCGTAAATATTTTTTTATTGTTTGGTGAAGTGCTGTCACTCAGTTTATTAATCAAGATTCTATTTTAACAGTTGTTGTTAACCTTATAGACACCCCCACTATGTAGCTGACAGCCTCCCTCACACAAGATGTTGCTGATGTTGGTTTCCATGGCAAGTAGGTTTTTATAGGGGGTGTTGATAGCCCCAAACTTAACCAGTTGTTCTTCTCTTAGATTGGTTGCCAACCAACCAACACTAAAGAGTCTGAATAGCTATTAAACCCTAGCGGTATTTTTTTACACATTTGTAATTTGCAATGAAGTATGTGAAACCTCTTAAAGACAGTGGTGGCATCCTATCAGTTCATGCAAACTGATTCTTAAAATTGTAAAAGCTTAACAAACTAGTTGTTAGATTATCCAAAATTAATCTTATATATTAATAGCCAATATATAATAGCTAAAAATATAATTAATACCATTGCTATAAGTTCTGTGGAAGTTGAAAGAGCATTTTCTGTGATGAACCTAATTTATTGACAAAAGAAATTATCTTGAAGTTAAAAATGTGGCAAATCTTCTAGTCATAAATTTGATAGTTCTTCCATTGGATCTTTGAGGCTGCAGTGATTCAGTTTGAATGTAGCTCAGAAATAACACAGCTGATGATGCTAGAGTCAGAAAACATCATCCTTCTGAACAGAAATATGATCTGAAGAGAATTTCAATCTGGAAATATCTTTAATAAATAAATGTTTTCTATTAAATTATTAAAATGGTTTTAATTCTTTTTCAAACTATAAAGTGATTTGTTTCCATTCTCAGATTGAAAAGAAAATAAGCAAAATAGGTTTCTAAAGATTACCTTCCTTTATAGAACCGATTCCCAGAAATTTGGGATGCCATTATTGTTTAAAGAGTTGAATTTCCTAACTATGCACTGTTGTATGATACTTGGGATAAGTTTTTGTGTAAGCATTTAATTGTATGATATTAATTGTATGATAGCAAGAGAAAGAAATAACGAGTATTAGAGTGAAACAACGTTTATTGTTGGTAGAGAGTACAGGAATAGCGACCAGGTGTACGCATAGTGTCGGGAGTTGAACCATTTCTCATACCAGTGTGGCCAAGGTCATGGGATACTGCTGGTGCGTGTTTAGTTGATGGAGGTCATGGTTGTAGGTCATCTTGTTGGTTAGTCAACCTGTTGTGTTGAAACTGGGTGACGTTGGATTGGTGTGGTCTTGGTAGCCCTGTTCTGTGAATGGAGGCTGCTGATGTTGACTGAAGGGAATGACTTGTAAACGAGTCAAGGTAGACCTGTAAAGCTCTGCTGGGTGGAGTTGAGATTGAAAAATTGCGGTCATGTTGAGGAGTGGCAGTGACAGTGGCAGTAGTAATAGTGCTACGCATGACGGCCGCTCCACAACTCTGTTGCCATTGTGATGAGGTCCTGGTGATGGTGGCAGCAGAAGCACCCTGCATGACAGCTGGTTGCCACACTGTGCTGCAACTGTGTTCTGGTCATCCTCCAAACTTGCTTTTAAATGGGTTTGGTGGTCCTCAGAGGCGTCTCTTTTACTGATGGGAACATTTGCGATTGGCCACCGCTGGAGCTCACTTTGTATACTGAATGTGGTGCATGGAGCCTAATATGCAGAAAACGACTTTTGTTATTTCATTTTCTGTCTTTGAGGCGTTTACATCTGGTCATTGTACAGAATGAATCAGAATGAGATCTGAGACAAAGTATAACATTGTCAAGATTTCAGCAATCCAAAACCTTGCATATATGAGTTAGCTTATATCTTGAATCCTATATTTTGATAACAGCTACTTTATATGGGTGAGATTTCTTGGTTGAGTTCAAATTTGTCTGTTGGAAGACATCCAATATGGTATAACCAAAGTTAGCTTTTGAAGACAAAATATGATGATATTTAAAATAGTTTAATAACGGTTTTAAAGTTATTTTTATTACTAATTTGTTTTCTTTAGAACTAAAATTAAAATGCTTAGAAGATATTTAAATTTTATTTTTGCAACATATTTTAAAACATAAAAATGTCAGTGATTGTTGCTAATATTTTGTAAAGTTTTTGGTACCATCCACATCAAAATATAAATCCTACTAGTTTATCTTCATCTCTTTTGGAGCTATGCATGCAAAATATGAAAGGTGTATATCTGGTTTACACTCTCTGATATGATCAAATATACAGCTGACGTGTTTTGTGCTTTATAAAGCAACTGACATCAAAATAATGGACCCTCCTCAGATTTTGATTTAAGAGATGTCCTTCTCCTAGACTGATTGCCAATCAGGGCTCTAGGCCCCAGTCTCTTGGGTGGGGGTAAAAGAGGTGTATTCATACCTTTCCCAAAGGAGGGTAATTTGAGACTTTGTTGTACATTATATGCACCACTTCTCTGTATTTAGCTCTTCCAAAAAGTGTGGTTGGTTCTGCACAAGCTTTCACCACTATAATCAAATGATATGTAAAGGGAGTCTGGCTGTTTGGTTCTAAGAACTGAGCTGCTGCATTCTAGTGATGTGCAAAGGTTTTGTGATACCTGGGGCCAACTCCTTGATGTATGCCCCTAAGATTCAAGTAGTGGGGGGCTATAGGGCCTACTACTGAGAAATATGATAAAGGAAGATATTTTAAATGTGTAAAAACAGGATGAAACATGAAAGAAACATTTTGTTCAAATTAAACATAAAGTAAATTTTTATTTCACACTTATACCTGAGGCCATTGCACCCTCTTCCCCCTACTACTGGACCCTCATAAATCAAAAGTAATGAGAAAGTTCAGTATATATATATATATATATAGGCACATAGCCAAGTGGTTAAGACATTCGCTTTCTATGAAACCCATGTTTGACTCTCACCATGGTTGATTTGTCAGGAAGGAAACTTTCTGATGTTATGGGTCTGGAGGAGTCGATCCCAGCGTGCGGCACCTTTGGAAAGTGCCTAAAAACCATACTACGGGTTGACCCAAGCCTTGTGAGTGAAATGGGGTAGACAGAACTTGGGGGGGGGGCATCAAGAGCTGTGCTAGCACGAAGTCACAAATTGTGACTGAGGTTTTGAGTTCGTTGGCCTTGTTAAGATTGTTGATCACGCTAAATAACACACTCTCTCCCAGCTATTATATAATGTGTGTGTGTGTGTGTGTGTGTGTGTGTGTGCTATTGACAAAATAAAGTTAACTTATAGGTGATGTTTTGCTCTGAGAAAGAATCTTATATATAAAATGGGTGAAGTTGCAAAAAAAACTGTTGCAGTTTACATTGATTGTTAAGGATCTAGAGATGCTCTGTTTTTAAATATAACATTTGACAGCTAGTGTTTAGCTTAATTTCATTCAGCTTATTGCTTTTATTTTTATCATTATTCTCTTTAATTATCTTATATCGTATCAGCTGTAGATTCTGAAATTTTTTTTTTCTAAATTATTTTTTCTTTTAATCAGAACTTAGTCATTCCTTATATATGATTATATATGTATAGTTTAAACCTTGTAGACTTTCATGGAACATAGGGTGGTGTTGCTATTGTTTCAGAAGTAAGTTTTATGAATGGAATTGCTAGTGTCATGCCCAACTTGTTTGAATTCTGAGTTTTTCTTCTCTTATAGTGGTTGCCATCCAAGATTAGAGAGTCCAATCAACCATGCTATTTTAAACATAGCTGTGTGGGTGGGGAGGGAGAAATTGAATCATTATTTTTCCCAAGAGCATTATGGTGAAGTGACCCTAACAGACTCATTTGGAATTTGACCTTACTGGTTCCATTTTCTATGCTGGCAACCAATATACTACCTGCACATTGCAATATAAAAGAAGATACATAAATACACACACACACATGCTGATAATGTATGCTTTACTGTGTAAGATAAAATTTAATTGCTAAACTACTCAGAAAACTCAAGTATTTCTAAATGATTACAACATTAAAAACTAAAATTTTGCATCCTGTTATATAAGTATTAAAGAGATTTATCCTGATTCTATAAACTTCACTTATGTATATGCATTATGTTTTGAATCTCCCCACCTATGAAAAGGTTTAAGATTGTTCCAAATTTGTAAAGTTAATGATGCTGATTATATAGGAAGTTTTTCTCTAACCTAGAAGATAGATTAATTCAAATAAGTCAAGGCTTTCTTTATAGTTAAGTGCACACTTTTTTGTTATTGATGTTGAATAGTTTTTCTAATGATTTCTTTTCAATTCTGCAGGGATCAGAAACAAGGAAAAGAACTCCCACTTTGGGAGCTCAGTTTAAGAAATCTTTAGATTCTCTGATGAGAACTCTTGGAAATTGTCAACCATTCTTTGTGCGTTGCATTAAACCAAATGATTTCAAAAAGCCACTGGTAAGTATATTTATTACAGTTTTTACACTGTAGTCTGACAAAAAACCAATACAGCAGTTGGTTGAGCACTATTGATTTTTTTAACTAGCTTTTTATGTGACTCATTCTTTCTATAATAGTCCTGTCATGTTATAAAACTTTTCCATCTATTGACAACTTAGCACTCACCAAAATGTTTTCTCTCTATTAAAAACACAAGATGAGGCTACATACCAGTTTTATGATTGGGGTAGTGGAAATCAACTTGAGCATTCTTGTGTATACAATTGCATAAACAGAAAAGAGGTGTAGATTAGAATGAGGAATACCTTTTTCTATCATCTACTGTTTTCTTGAGAATGTTAAGAGATCTTCTCAAAAGCAAACTTTTTTGAATTATTATTAATTTCTGTCTAGTATTTCATTTATCTTGTTTTCAGTTGCCTTCTTTCAAAACTCTCAGATTATCCTTCTTTGGTCATTAGTAAGCACATGGATTGGAAATAAATGTACGTTTCTGCTGAGATTAAAATAGATATTCCTTATCATTGGGAGCCTTTCTTATTCAAGGCAGCTGCCTTATCAACTAGGCTACTAAGACCAACTAAATACATTAAATCAAATCTAACTATATAGCTTTCATTTGTTATTTTGTCTGAAAGTCTGATACACTGCCATTTTCTTTTACGTACACTTGTAGTATTAGTTATATTATTCAAGTTTCTAATATTAAGCATTGTCAATTATTATTAATATTAATATTTATTTCATCTTAAATTCAGTTACTTAACATCATTTAACAATTGTTCATGAGTAGATTAGATATAAAGAATAAATAAGATACTTTTATTGTCCCTTACATTTTCTGATCTGGGAGTAGCAATAAAAAGCAACTGAAAATAAAATGAAAGAAATACTTGTCAAAAATTAACAATAAGAAATTTGAATAATGCCATTTTTTTTTTTTTTTGCTTTATCAAGTCAGTAGCAGTTGGAATTACTAAATTTTATGATTTGTATTTTTAAATACATTTACTTTGGGGAAAAAAGTTTGAATCAGTAAATATTCAAACCTACATAAAAAGCCAAGATCTTAATAATTGGCATTTTTGACAACCAGGTCTTCTTTACTTGAAATATTAGTACACCATCTGCATATCTTTATTTGTCCTTGTACCATAAGCTTAGTAAATAATCTGACCATTAATAAATAATAGTTTTGTTTACAGACCAATACTGCACATCCGTTACTGTTTCTTTTTAACTCTTCAGATGTTTGACCGAAACTTGTGTTGCCGCCAATTGAGATATTCTGGTATGATGGAAACTATTCGTATCCGACGAGCTGGATATCCAATTCGACACAACTTTGAAGATTTTGTGGATAGATACCGCCTCCTTGCTGTGGGCATTTTGCCTTCTCAAAAGGAAAACTGTAGAGTAGCCTCAACTAAAATCTTACAGACTGTTCTCAAAGATGCTGACTATCAACTTGGAAAAACAAAAGTCTTTTTAAAAGTGAGTATGGCTTATCATAATCTTCTTGGTAAATTTGGTTTAAATCTGTAACACTCTTGGTTTGAGTTTTCACATTTTTGTTTTGCATTTTGACATTTTTTTTTTATGATACCCATAAACTCTTTTTTAGACTACACATGACATCCAAATACGTTAATTGAATAGTGTAATATGATGGTTAATTATATTGACTAAAAGTATATTAATTACACTGTATGCAGCTTTATTGATAGTTACTAAACTTAGCTTTGTATAAAAGTTGGATTACAGTGACAGTGGTTAGTAAGACTAATCACCATTCCCTTGTAAGGTTCTCCTAACTGCCACCCAAAAAATACAATTTGCCAATTTCATCACATTTCCTGTTTATTTCATTCACATTCCAAAAGGAAAAACATTCCTTAGATATGTTAGCTAATATTTCTTTTTTTTATCTGTTTTCTCAATGTATTATGTCATTTTTCCACTAGTATACATTTACTGACTCTTGACAGATCTTTATAAGTAGCTAGATTAAAAGGATTTGGAAAGATGTGAAATGATTTGAAAAGATGTGCATAATTTTCTTCCTGCCACCCTGTTGATCATTATAAAGGATGTAAGAATTTCCCCCAAAAAGTTGGAAAAAATCAAACCACAATTTGCATTCCACTTTCGCAAGCCATTAATAATAAGTTCTATATCCTTAAAGAGAAAGGATATAGAACTCATATACTGATTTATTTTAGTGTAATGATATATTATCATCAAGCTTTACAAATGAAATCACTAGCACCAAAATGTAATGTCATTGTGCTGACCAATGGCAACAGAACTTATTTAACATTACATTTTATTCAACTCCTGACTTTGTCAATCCTTCTCAGCCAGTGTGTGTGCATGTGACCCTGGACTGATCATGTGGGTCTATACTTAGCAACTAAAAGGCCATCTTAGGTGAACCCTCCCCTTAGCTTCTACATTATATATGTGACTGATATTGTCCTAAATGATTAGCTAGTTGGCTATGATGAAACAGTTTTGGGGCATCAAGCTGGGTTCTTATATCTTTAGCATCCAGTTTTTTTATAGTAATTCAGTAAGCTAAAAGAATTTGGCATTTCCCATATCCTCTCCAAATATCATGCAGTAGGTTGTACTGGATGACATAGTGGCAGTTATGAATTTCTGATCTGATTAAACAAAACAGGTCATTATAGGTGAGTGGATCACATATATGCCACCATCTTGGCAAACCAGAAAGAAAATTGCAGGAAATCCTAGACAAAGTATTTAAGGAAAGTGAGAAGAAAGGACTAACCATCAATTTTAAGAAGAAAGTCTAAGATGTAATCTATGAATTGGTGATATCATAATCAAGCAAGCATAGAAATTTCATTGTATACAATCGCACTCTCATATCAATGGTTAAAAATGGTTTCAAGCAAATGAAACCTGTAGGTCTTAGTGAGGACCACTCTTTCATTTTTTTAACCTTGTGAACTGGCACTACAAAATCACAAACATAGAACTGTACCATATAACAGAAACCATATCATTTAAGGAATTTCAAAAGCAGTAACAATTAAAATGTATAGTATATATAACTCAAAGAGAAAATAATGACATAATCAAGATGTTAACATTCCACGCTACTTCAAGCAAAAGGTAAGGAAGGAATCCCCCATCAGTACTGGAAAGAGCAATAACAATAACTGGACTTGAGAAGCCTGATTTGTTTTAAAAAGAAATATTTTATAAATTTCAACCAAAAGAAGTAGTAAATGAATGCCAAATGTTTCTTTATAAGGAAACAACTAATATTACCATTGTAGAATTAGTAACTAAACCATAGTCAACTTGAATGACAATTGGATGAAATGCAGGTAGAATTGGATTTATGCCTTTCACAAGTATGAAAGTGATACAAGTAGTTTTAGTAAGAATTATAACAATTAGGCCACTGTACACTACTACAAAGTTGATTAACTTTTCTAAAATAAATCAAATGAATATTTTAGACTTTAAGATTTGTTTTTGATTTGGATGCTGAAAATTTTCATTTTTTTGGTTGTTTTAGTTCTGTGAGTGGATCGTGAATTTGTATCTTCGTCACTTTATATTTCAGGATGCACAAGACGTTTTCTTGGAACAGCAACGCGAACTTGTGATGACCAAGAAGATTCTAATAATTCAGAAAACTGTCCGAAGTTGGCATGTGAGACGCAAATTTGTAATGATGAGGCATGGTGTCATTGCAATCCAGCGGGCTTGGAGAGCACATGAAACCAAGAGGCGCTTCATGAAGGTGACCCTACCAGACATTTTCTTTTTTTTTCTTTTCATCTTTGTTTTTCTATCTCTTTTTCTTTCCTTTCTTTTATTTTCTACCTACAGGACTGTTTTTGGTGTTTTTATTTTTCTATATCTTTTGATTTAGTATTAAATTATTAGTTTTATCATCAACAACGAATAAACATGTTTCTTCTATCCTCTGAGAATAACTTAGAATCATCTCAAGTGTGATATTTAGAGATAACAGCAATTATGCTGCTACTGCCTGGGCAGATAATGGATTCATAGGAGAGTGGTTCAGCCAAGTCTTTACTCATCCACACTGTATTAATCAATTGAATCAAACATATCTTTTTCACAAAATAACTGAGATAATGCAAGGTGAAGTAGATTCCTCCCTTTCTCAAGTTTATTAGGCTAAAGTGAATAAAAACAGTCTCAACTAGAGACTTGGCTTTGTTTATTGCTTTTTCTGAGAAGTGTTGCAGTATATCATAACAGATTCTCAAATGAAGATTTGGAAGAGTTTTTCACCTCTGTTACAGACTCTCAGGTGGCTTTTATGGCCTACATGGAGAGGCAAGTTTTTTCCCTAACAACTACAGGAGTGTGTACCAGCCAGATTGTGCTCTTTTTCTGCAGCATAATTTTATAAAAGAGCTTGCCTGATAGACCCTGTCTGCTGCCTCTGTTACAAAAAGATGGTGGTTGAATCCACAGGCGATTGTCCTTTTCTAGGTCTTTGTATCACTACAGTAGAAAGCCAGTTCTCTGTCACTAAAAGCTGAGTTGTCTGAAGAGGAGAGTTTTTGCAAGATGACACTTCCACTGATCTGGACATACTTGTACATCTTTATTAAACTTACATTGTCTGCTGTCAACAAATATATACATTTTCATGCTGTACTTATATGTGTTTATGAAGTTTACATTACATGCTTTTGACATATCTGTATGTTTTAGGATGCCATGCAATGTCAGTTTGCTAGCATTTGTGTCATTAACTAACTCTTAGTCTTATTTTTAAACTAGTGTAGGAAATATGACTAGTTTTATGATATACTTTTATTGTATATTAAAAGTTGTGTTTAGCTTAGTCTGGATTTGAGAGTATCTAATTAAAACCAAAATGACAGTGTCCAAAAGAAGTGTCTTTATAGTCATTTATTTCCAGTAAATGGCAATTTCCTATTTTTTTCTCAAAATGGGCCAGAACAGCTAGGCAACAATAGTAATACAATGCTGCAGTGAAAGTGTGATAGTCCTCCATCTTTACCACATTGCCACCTTACTGCAGTTCAGTCTTTTATCGCTTAGCTTTGTTTGAGTCTTGGGCCTCACTGTTAGTGATGAAATCATTCCAGTGTGTTTTTAGAATGGTGCAGAATCCACACTGATGAAAGAACTCTGATAGGTGTAGGGATATTTTTCCACATTCCCTCTCAAATGGAAGGTGACACAAGATTAAGTTTAAAGTGAGAGTTCTATGTCTACAATGGTCAAAAATTGCTCAAATCCCCTCAGCTATGCTCCATTAAGAAGTGTTAGATGCCAGGGACCAAACCCAGCTCCTCCTTTAAGAAATGCATTGCTCAGGAGAGACTTCAGGGTTTTAGGCACATTATAATACACTTTAACCCTACTGGCTAAAAATATTTTGAATATAACTGATCCAGAAACAGTTGCATTCGGTTTAAGATAAATGAATATTTCCTGCTAAGCACAGTTAAAGACCAGGGTCTTGAATGCTGGTTTTAAATGCAGATATGCTTTCCTCATCTGGAAGAATGGTGCAGCACAATCTTTCTACTTCATTTTCATCTCATCTGGCCTTGTATTATTTAAAGTTAAGCATCAAAAATGTTAGATATAAGATTGACAGCTAAAGGACATGGTTGATATGAAACTTGGAAAATGATATGTTTACTCTGACCTGCAATATGATAAACATTAAAAATAACAGTGTATAATATCAATTAATTACAAGTGTTAATATTAGTTCATTATGCTAATTTCCTATTGATTATTACTATTAAGTATTGCATGTTGTTATAATTCTTTTATTTTTCTGCAGATGCGGTATGGCTATATGAGACTGCAAGCCCTTTCTCGCTCAAGAATTCTTGCCTACCATTATTCTTCGTTACGCTCACGTATTATAAGTTTCCAGCGCTACGCCCGAGGGCATTTGGTGCGGCAGGCCATGCTTAAACGCAAGGAAGCTATCATCAAAATACAGTCAGGCGTTCGCGCAATGATTGCCAGAAAACGCTTTAGAAGACTCAGAATTGAGGTAGGCATCATAAACTACCATTTTCAGAGATTCTTTTTGTTCTTTCTTCCTTGTTAAGAAGCCTGTGAAAGTTTAAAGGTTAATTCTACCTTAAAGTAAATTTTTCGCAGTCATTTTAAGTTCATTTATTGAAAGCAGTGATTTTTAATTTTTTATATATGTAATGGGAGTTTGGTTAGTCTATTTTTTTTTTAACCTCAAAGATTTTTATAACTATTGTCTTTAATTTTTACATTCTGTAAAAAACATGTCATTGACTTCAGTTATTTACACAAAATAGAAGTAGTTTCCTTAATTTTGGAAGCCTGTTTGGTGGCTGAGATAGTTGCATTTTTACCATTGGCACCAACTCAGTTTTTGAATTCGCATGGAAATTTAACTAGCTCAATAACACAATTTTCCAGTTGTAGTATTTATTTCAGCTTTTTTAATAACCAGTAATGCCAAAATGGTATAAAGAGTAGAACTCTATGCCCTTGCAATATCAATGCAAACACAGTGGTTCTAGAAAGATGTAATTTGTTAAAGACCCAATGAATGTAAAACAAAATTTATGCATTTAAAATGTAGACACTATCACTTCATGAGAAATCATGTAAGAGCATTAAAATGAATGCAAAGTTGTTGATAAAAATCCAAGATTTGCTTATATTCAAGACAGGTTCTAACCAATAAAAACACTGACACAATGTAATCTATCAATGTGGTACTTTTTAAAAACAACAGTTAAAAAGCAAAAGCAGTAGGAAGCTGAATCATACTCTGATGAGTTTGTGCATGTAGACACAAGTTAACTGTGCCTGCATCTTCAAAATTTCTTTTGATGCATAATTATGACCAACTACTTCATTTATACTTCATTCCCTTCCATCAATAAAAACATCATTTAGTCTAAAGAAATCCATTTGAAGAAAGAAACACATCACACAGGAATTTTTCCATTGTCATTCTATTACCTATCATTAGTCTGATATATAAAGTTTATATATCATTCTTCTGCTGTCAGAAGGGCCCAACTTGCACAGTCATGTCCGCTACTCACACTCCTCTATGACTCCTGTTCACAACTCTTCAGGAGTAGGCTAGGCCTTCACAGCCATCTCCATCACTGCCACCAGGTAGCAGAAATGGAATAGGGAGAGAGATGACAATCCCAATGCTCATATGTAAACAGGTGCTGACAACGACAACAAATCATATTCAAGATAATTTCTATTCTCCCCATTTTGACCAAATGCCAGATTAAACTAAATTTGGTAAATGAGGTTAATGTTTATAAATTGTATGCAGAAATTTTAATGCAAAATGCATTTGAGATAAAGAATATATTGATCAAAGCTTTGTGTTAAAAGCAACAAAGATGACAACTATAGCATACAAACATATATACATTTTGAATTGAAATATTCCATAATTCTTTGTATTCATACAGAGCAAGTAACTTTTATTGCTTATGTACATATGCATACCCTGAGGATATGACAGATTTTAAAAGTATATGAATGTATGAAACTGTGAGAAAAACTTCTTTTTCAAAGATGTATACTCTCCATATCTGTAGAAATATGCTTAAAGAACCAATCTCTAAAAAGAAGTCAACCATTCTGATAACCCCACTCATGTATATTGGAACTTTTAATTAATGATGAAAGTGAGTATTCTATACTTTTTTTTTCTCTTTTTTTATGAAATTATGAATATATAATCCCTTGGTATTTTTGTTTCTTCAAAAAGCATCAAAAGAAAATGGAAGCAGAACAGTTGCGATTGGAAGAAGAAGAAAAATTGCGCAAAAAGATGAATGACAAGAAAGCCAGACAGGAAGCTGAAAAACATCATCAGGTAGGTTTAATTTACTTTTTAATTAATTCAATGAATTAAAATAAGACTAACATAATTAATGATCAATCCAGAGAGCCAGCAGTGTCATAATTTAATATTTTGAAAAATTATGGAAATTATTTTTTTTAATCAGAAATCTGATTCAAGATTTTTTAACATTTGTTCAAACAAAATCCATTAAAATTCAGTCACAGAAATCTTTTACTGACATTCTTGAATAACCCAATTTTAAAGTATTTTTTATTCTCTGCTGCAAGAACTTTTCAGAACCTCATTTTAATATTCTCATCCTTGTAAAAAATGAATAATTGTGGTATTTGTGTGTGTGTGTGTATATATATATATATATATATATATATATATACACACACACACACACACACAACAATTTCTTTTTTCACACTCTTTCTCTCTCTCTCACTTTCTTGCGTTAATTATTTTTTAAAAATTGTATAGTTATTTTTTTATTTTTTCCCTTTTTTATTATTATTTTTTCCTTTTTCTTCTTTCTTGTTTTTCCTCTCTCCCTTTTTTCACCTTTTCTCCTTTTTATCCTAGTATATTTGTATGGATTGATTCCGTGTATATATATATATATATATAATATACAGTAGCAAGCATAAAGATCAGAACGATGTTAAGAAAAAGTGTAAATGTGAAATAACTTTTTATTTTAAAGCTTCATAGAATATTTTATCAAGGAAAAATAAGAAGATAAAGGTAAATTATATAATTCCAAAATATAAAGCTTAAACTTATTTTGATAAACTTATAAGAATAATTATACATTCTTTTTATAGATACAAATATTTAAGTAAATGCTCTGTTTATAATAAACAGTATTAAACAACATTTACTGGCCTGAATGTCCGAGAAATTTTCACAGGCTGGTAAATGTTGTTTAATACTGTTTATTATTGTTTTCGTTTTCATTTTTGGAAGTGTTATCTGATGATCCAGTGTCCCTTAAAAGAGCTCTGGTGAAATAAATTATTATAATGAAATCTTAAAATGGTCTGTTTTCCTTTAAAATATATATATATATATACACACACACATACAGTTATACAAATATAATAGGAGTAAGTGAAAATAATACAAAAAAATTTTACAAAATTGAACATCTTAAATTTAATATTGGATTTATCTTATCTGCAGAAACCAAATATACACATATAAACACACACACACACCCATATATATATATATATATATATATATATATATATATATATATATATAAAATCACATACATATATATCCATATATATAAAAAACACATACTAATATAAATACAAAATCGCAATTAATTTACATAAACAACATACATACATATTCAAACCAATATATTCATACAAAATAAATACACACACACACACACACGATAATGAAGAAAACAAGTACTTTAAAAGACCATGGTGATATTTATTTTGTTAAAATTGAAATTTTGATTTCAACTCTTTAGACTGGAACATTACACAAATAAATGGATAAATATTTTACCAGGCTTAAAAAAATAATCTGAACATAAAGATATTATTTAAAATGAATAAAAATAGAATAAAATACAAAAAATATAAGGATAAAAATGTATTAAATAATACTCATACTACTAATAATAATAAAAATATAAATATGTTACAAAGTAAACTGTGATTATATACCTACATGTAAATGGTAAATGTTTTAGTTTTTTTTTTTAGTATATAATTGCATAGTTTACAATTTTAATGAAATAAATATCACCATGGTCTTTTAAAGTACTCATTTTCTTCATTATCATATATATATATATATATATATATATATATATATAATATATATATATAAAAAGCCCATAAAGTATTCACACATATATGACGGCTTCTAACACCCTGAAAATAGATTTTCTAGATCAGACAACTTGACCTTCTGTTACCTTTTCCTGTTATTATTCATTCTTTCTTTTTTTTAAATTTTTTTTTTTTTGTCTGAATAATTTAAACTGTTTGTAAATTTATAACATTTACATCTTCCGTCTGATGAGACATACTGGTCAAAATAAATCATGATCCATTACCGTATTTTTGTGATGTGTAAAGCTTTTTTTTTATGTATATCATATTGCTCTGTAGTCTATACACTGAGCTCTCCATCTTTTTAATATTTTATATTAAAAAAAACAACACTTGGATTATCCTTTCCACTTACAGATTTTATATATATATATATATATATATATATATCTCCATCCAGGCAAGATGAGAATGAATAGAGTACGCATCCAACATTCATAACATTTAATTTAAGAGGGCTCAATACAAAGTAGAGCAATCTTCTTTTAGGATATTATATCAAAAACATGTAAAAAATTGCTAAACAATTACAGTCTTCTTTCAATGTACATCAGCACATCTCATCAGGCAATCCTGATCCTGCAATTGTGTAGCATTTTTGACATGTTTTCAACATAATATCCTAAAATAAAGTATAGCAAATTGGAAAAGAGTTTTTATGCAATGTGCTTCATATTTTACAACTTCATCAGACTAAATTTCTTTTCTTGGTGTAATTACACATCCACATGAATGAAAAGTACTTGAAGTTTTATGTATGCGTGTATAGAGTTATATAAAATGGTGTATGTATGTATGTTTGTGTGTGTGTATATAATATTTAATAGTAATGATATTCTGCCATTTATGCTGATATTCATTTGTGATCCTTAATAATCGTTTTCTTCTTGCCTTTCAATTTATAAATTGTTATAAATTGAGTGCTGAATCTTGCTCAAACAAATTTCAAGTTAAAAATATGTTTGTGCATTCATCTTCCCCCAAACATGTGTATTGGCTGAATATGGATTTCTAAATTATCTTCAAAATAGGCATATAAAAATGATATCTATACTGAAAATGTTGATCTGATTATTTTTCATGTTTCTTGGGTCTTTTTTTTTTTCCAGCAAAGACTGGCTTCCATACAACAAGCACGTGAAGATGAAGAGAGAAAAGACAGAGAAGAAGCTGGAAAGAAATGGAAAGAAATTGAAAAAGCAGAGAAGAAACGGAATGATGAAATTAATTATGAAAAAATGGTATTCAGTTATTGTTTCTTTTTGCTGTTTCTTTACCAAATATGCTTCAATTCATTGCCAGCCATTCTTTCACAGACTTTGTGTGTCACAGTGACTTACAAGCTGCAATGTCACTGAAAGGAGAATGTCATCTCATGTAGACATTTTTCCTCAAGTGATGAAAGAAGAATTTTTTTAAATATTTTATTGATGGAGCTGTGGTTTTATCTCTTCTCAATGCTTATTATTATTGAATCTGAGAGCTTGCCTAGTAGCTAAGATAGTTTTATCTCTACTCAGTATATTTATTATTATTATTATTATTATTGAATCTGAAAGCTTGCTTGGTAGCTGAGATAGTTGCATTTTGAATGCTAATTTTCAAGACATACAAGCAGGAGCTCATAGTGGAAGATTAGCACAACACAGTCTTACAACTTTAGATTTGAAATATGGCTGCCTTAAAATTGCTTTATAAGTAAATGATTTGGAAACCTATTAAAAAAATCATGTCCTGTAAGATTTGAAAGAATATTTTACAATAAACATTTGTATATATTTTTGATTAACTCTTTCATTGCTTAAATCAATTAACCAATAGTTCAAAAGAAAAAATCTTGGTATGAAATTTCTCAGTTTGGTGATTACCATGTTTCTCTATCCCATATTTCATTCTGGAATTGACTAATGACTATTCTGCTGAATAGTGTGAGAGTACTATTTACACCAAATGATGACCTGTCTGGTAAAAATGTGCTGAATGATTTTTGAATCAGTATGATGTTAGAATTTTCTAAAAAATTAAAGATATATTGCAATAATTTCAGTATCTTCTTTGAAGTTTGAATTACAAGAAAATGTCATAAATTTCATAATAAAAAAAATTTAATTTTGTGTATTTAACTATGCAAAATAATTTTTCATTTTTTTACACATTAAAATTGAACTTGAAACATCAAAGAATATATTTAAATTATTGCAGTTAATCTTAAAATATTTATAAAATGTAGCCATATCTGTGTGAAGCAGACTGCTTTAGCAGAAAAAAAATAAGCACATTATATGGTGAGAAATACAATGAATTTAAATATCTTTCCAAGAAAGTAATTAAAATCAATTCAAAATTCTGCTTTTAGTTTGGCTGCAATTGTTTAGAGAAAATGAGGATTTTAATTTAATGATTGTTTTTTAGATGTTATGTTTTATGCCCAACAACATTACTCACTGGATTATACAGAAAGGATATATTGTTTTCTTTAAATGTTTTGGAATGAGTATCTAATTAAAAATGATTGGATGGCAAAGACAAGTGCTTCTAAGAAGAACTATGAAGCAATGATTTCCTTTTCTGATATTCAATAATTTGCAAGTGAATGAAAGGTTTATAAAGACTAAAATATAAGTATGAAAGGTTTATAAATACTAAAATATATATTTAGATTTTAGATTTTCTTTGCAAAGAATCTAGACTCTGTTGTTTAATGAGTTTGAGTTATGCATTTCCCACTTATAGAAATGAATTCAGCTATATGATATATGACATGGTAGGTAAAGAGATATTGTAGCTGTGGCAACCATGAGATGGAATTAACTGTTTGACTGCAGCATGTTTGTTAAACCAGATAGATGGAGTATTCTGTCTCTGAGATGGCAACTGCTCTAGGTTTTTCCTGGAAAATAGTAGCAAATAAACCAGGAATATTTTTGAATTTTTATATATGAAAACTGAGGGTGTCCACAAGTGATGCAAATATGGCTGATAAGAATGGCAGCCACTCAGTGAAAGAGAACATTGCATTAGCTCACATCCCAATTCAGTACTGGTGTCATTCAACCCACCAATCAATGCACTATACTATGTATACGGAATCCCATGGGTTTTTTGTAGTTATCAACTAAGAGGGGTACCCTTATTGATTCATTGGCATCAATTACTGCACCTCAACTGGACCTAACAAGCTTACCATTGAACTGTAGATGACTAGTACTATGTTACCTGAATAGACAAGTTATGTTTTCAATTTTATCAGCCAAATGGTTCAGTTTATATGGAGAGGAAACTGAATGACTCTATGGATATTACCCTGTCAGCAGTATGGTGATTCTGTAATGTATTCTGTTAGAGATCACAAGGACCACTAGTGAAACTGGAGTCTTGACAAGTGTGATACATACATATCTTATTTGCAAACCATTCACACTCTGTTATGCTTGTCATATTTCCCAGTGGCAATCATTTGTTCAAGCAAGACAAGGTAACTTCTGTGCTATGTGCAGGTGGCATAAATGTTATTCCAGAGACTTGACTGACTTTCAGGTACACCATTGTTCTCATCAATGTTCTTATTAGATTTGAACTCTATTGAGCATATAAAGAAATTACTAAATCCCTGAAGCTACAACCAACAAGCATAATTCTGTTATGGATAGTCCTGAAATATGTCTAGATAGCTGCAATGACTCTGGAAACTCATAGACTCTATTCCATATTGCATAACAACCATTATTCAAGTAAAAGTGAGGAGCTACATGTTATTAGGTAGCTATCTAATTTTTTCGCACTTCTGTTAATCTGTTTCCAAACATATTTCTTTCTCTTTTTTTTTTTTTTTTTAAATATTTCTTTAATCCTTGGATGTTTCTACAGTTGTGTTTCTCAGTTTATTTTGGTAACTGCCTTTCATGTCTTAATTATCTTACAAAAATAATACTGTGTGGACACTTGTTCAACAATCCAAATTAACAGTTTCTAGAATGGGATTCAAATCTGGATCAACTGTAGTGAATAACAACCCTTGAAAATAGCAGAATGCACAACTGCATTTTCAAAACTGAAATCACTGCTGAGTCTCCAAACTACAAAGATGAATAATAGTACTTTTAGGTTATAACTTTGAAATCCAACAGAATCAGTGCCTTTATTCCATTTTATCAATTGCCAAAATATTCAATATGGGGATGTCATAATTGTCCATATGTACTACAAAGATGAAATGCAAAAAAAAAGGAATACAGTAGTAGCAATCATTCTTCAGATGACCTTTTAATCAGATTCTGTTTTTTTTGGGGGTGGGTCCCTTTGTATTCCAATTAACTTCATTAATAAAAATAATTTTCTTGCTTTTTGTTTAAGTCCTCCTCATCTTTATTGATTTTTGACATAATCCAGTACATTGAAAACTTGACATTATTTTCTTTTTAAGGTGGGAGACATGTTTGACCAAATATACACACCAGAATCACAATACAGTGATCTGCCTCCATCACAGTTTAAGGTGAGTTTGATTATATTTTCAAGCAAATTCAGTACATCTGGTCAGGAGCTTTAGCCAAATAACAAAAGCTACATCACTCAAAGATATCCAGCAGAAGCAATAACTAACTTAGGCAACATATATAACTAGAAGTGAAGATGTTGACTTAATTACCTTAAAGAAAATTTTAGATAAGAAGCTTCCATCAATACTAGAAAGAATGATAACAGTGGACTTAAGAAGCCTATTTTCCTAAAAAAAAAAAAGTTTTAAGAGAAAGATTTTAACTGACAGTAATTCTGTCTGGTCAATGAATGCCAAATATTTTCAAATTCATTGGAAAGTATTTTTATCTGCTAACCTTTTCTCCTTGTTCTAGTTACATGTGTTACCCATAAAGACAAGCATTAACTCTGAAAAACATATTTGCAGGTAATTTATATTTAATAAAAACAAATTATCATTGATTTTGTTAAGGTTTTCAGATAATGACTTGAACAGACATCAAAATAATTGTGCTGCAAAAAGTTTAATTTAATTTTCCTAAGAATTATCATTTGTCTTTCTTTTTTTTTTTTTTGTTTCAAATAAATATTTATCTTTTACTTTTATGATTATTCTTTAAGGACATTGACTCTGGAAAAGATGCTGCTATTGCCGAGGTGGATGGTGAATTTAAAATGACTAATATACCTGATGACAAAGAGCTGCTCATGGAATACAAATTCTCCAAGTTTGCATCAATGTACTTTCAAAATAATACAACCCACACTTATATACGAAGAACTCTCAATGAACCCCTGCTGCCCTTACAGAATCCTGGGGATCAAATGGTAAGAATGATTCTTTTATAAATCAGTTTAAAACAAAAAACTCATGTGACTTAGTAGTCACACACTTGGTAGTTGGTAGACTTTAAAAAGTGAAGTCATCAAAAACCTTATCACTACAAGAAAATATTTTAAAACATAAGTAATAATCTATTATAAAAAGGTAGAAAAATTTAACAAAACATGACAAAATTTCCGCTTGATTTTTATTAGTTAAATTACTTACAATCAGATTAATATTCTCATCTTTGCTGTTGTCATCATGTTTCAGTTGTTGTGCACCCCAGCCTTCTTCAGATGTATATTGATCCTAGTAACCTACATTGAATTTCAAACTGAACCCTTTATTCAATCTACAGAGGTAGACTGTTCTCGTTCCACTGCCCATGTTTAGGAATATTTGATCTAGTTCTTATTTTCAATACTGCTTAGTTATTGCTCACTATGTTTTCACTGGTTCCAGGTACATACTATGCAGCCCAGGGATTAAACTGACAATTACTATATCACCAAATTCTCGAACCAACACTTTAATCTCTGTGGAGAACTTGGAGTCTTAAACCTAATCTATCTGCTGATGAGTGCTGCTGCTTGTCATGCACTCACTGAAGCTTTTATCTTTTACTCTTGAGACTTGCTGCCAGTTATCTTTTTTTTTATTTGGGCTCTCATGTCATGTTTGTTTCTATGTCGGGCCTATTAATGTGCTGATTCTTTTATTGAACCCTTTATTGAAAAATTTTGAAATTCCCTGATGGTTAGCTAGGTCAACAGACACCTGAAGGAGTTCGGAGGGCACAACATCCCAAACATTATGGTAACAACAATAAAGATGAGGATATTAGTCCAAATGTAAATAATGTAAATAACTCCTCATCCAAGAAATTCAAACAGAAATTATCAGTTTTTAATGTTAGATATGTGCAGGTAGTGTAATGGTTAATGGCTTGGAATGGGAGATCGGTGAACTGAATTCAAATTCCAGTCGTGTTCTTTATATTCATTTTGTGCAAATACCCTTGGGAAAGGTATGGATCCATCTCTTCTTCCCCCAACTATAGGTTAAATAGCAGGATAGACTGGGTTCTCTAGCTGTGGTTGGCAACCAGTCTAGAAGGGCAGCTCTAACTTCAAAACTCAGCCACCAGAAGTTTTACAAACTTTTTTGATACAAGGTGCAGAAACCATATCTGTAAAACAAAAACAAAAAACAAATTTCAACAGAATTCTGGATAATCTCACTTGAAAGTAATTATCCAGAATGCTGTTGACATCAACAGGCATTGGGTTCAAGGAAGATGTCATGTTAGGAAAAACAGAAAAGAAAGGAAAATTTCTGCTGCTTTTATGTTCAATTATCAAATATGAGTTGGAACAGAGTCCATGACACATGGACTGGATATTGTGTGGAGTATTATTGTATGATAAGGTTGAAAGGCCCAGAAGACTCAAACTTAAGATGAAAATAATAAATATTTACTGTATTAATCATTGAACTTAGTGTATTATTTTTCCATTCTCCAGTGAATTGGAAATCATATACTTTTAATATTTAATAATTAACCCATATAATTTTAGTCAGAGTAGACACTTGCCTACTTTGTCTATCCACACAATACATCTCTTGTATAAAATTAGATTTAGAGATATCAAGTAGTTTGATAGAGAAAAAAAAAACATACTTAACAAAAGGTGATTTATTTCAGTATTTATTCACATTATCTGCAGAACATTATGAATGAAAGTGACAGCCTGTTTTGTTGCATTAATTCAAGAGTCCTGTAACCCATTAGGGTTATAGTGGCACCACACATGCTCTAGCAGCAGCGGTGTCTCCTTGAGCCAGATAGCCTGACAGAGTCTACTCCTCTTCAGGTTTTTAAATTTTCTTTCTCAAAGACTGGTTGCCACCTCAAGGCAAGTGAGACCAGTCTGCCCAGCTATTTAATCCATTAACCCGTAGCTGAAGGAAGATTAATGCCTTTTTTCTTTTTAAATAATTTGACCCCAAGCAAGGTAATAAAGCCACTAAGATGCAAGGGGTTACTGAGTGTGAGAGAATATGAGTAAAAAAAACACTACTAAGGAGAGACAGCATAAAAGAACAAGAATTAAGAGGACAGAAGTTAACGATTGACATTGCATTTAAATTTTTGAAGATCAAAATTGACTGGAAAGCAAGAAGACAGAAGAGAGTTCCACAAGAGAGAAGAAACACCTTAGCATAGATCTTATGGTTACATCTAGCTGTTTCAACTATAAAATGATGAGACCTTTCCTCCGGTCTAGTACTGCACTTAAATTCATAAAGTCTAGGTACCGTAGAACAATTATCATGAAAGTATTTATAGAAAAGGCACAGGGAAGCTATGTTATACCAGTGAGGAAAGTGACTGAGGTGCCAGTTCATCATCAAAATCTTTTCCAAATGTATTAGCATTAATGAAGGAATGACCAGGATTTGAACTTGGTTTGGAAATGTTACTTTCCCTGCTGATAACTGTTATAGGATCTGCACATCCAACTGGAGGCACAGTGAAGTAATGGATAGCAGCTTGGATTGAGGAATCAGAGAGCAGAGTTCAAATTCCAGTCGAACACATTACATTCACTTATGGGAAAAGTACATATCGCTTGGGAAAGGTATGAATCCTCTTCTTCTCCTCCCAGCTATGGGTAAATAGCAAGACAGAGCAGGTTCTATAGCCTTGGATGGCAATTGGTCTACTACAGAAAGAAATGGCAACCTACTGTGGGAAAAAATCTGCCTCATCAGTCATCTATCAAAAGATACATGATCGCCTAAGCATGTATCATACATGGCACATAACCGACTGACATCCAACTGCCCTTTTTATATGCATTCAGAAATAAATTAAATGTTTACCACAACATAAGGCAAGGAAGTTTTTAACCTCAATCTTTGACCATGAACAGTATATAGTTATTATATAACTATAATGTAATGAAATAAGTAATGTGAACATCTCTGTTTTTTATTCTGTTGTCAGTCATCTTTGTCTTCTCAATGATGCACTAAAGAAAGTAAGTTGAGGGTGATGCGAAAGTTTTCTACTCTGTCGCCTGAAATAAGGAATGTTTACAATCCTTCAAGTTCAGAAACAAGTTTCCACTCTGTATAGCTATTTTAAAAACTAATTACCAACAGGATGCTTTTAAAAAAAAAAGATTAGGACAGCATATTGTTTTTGTTGTCTGAAAGTGCAAATAAAAGGAAAAAATAAACTGTGCCCCCATGACTAAAAAATATCCTTTATTTCCTCCTATTTTTTTTTTTTTTTTTTTTTTTTTTTACCATTGTGAACAGCTATTTTATTTTTCCTCACTTTTTCTATTTTTTCTCCTTTTTTAAATAATTATTTCTTTTTCAAATTGCCATTTATGCTAATTATATTTTTTCTCCCTGTCCAGTTTTCCTTTCTTTTTAAATAAATGTCTGTTTTTATAGCATTACTTAAATATTTCTCTGAAATTATCAATAATAAATAATATTTATCATTAAGAAAATTTAAGGAAAACATGAAAAGCTTTTATTTCTATTCAACACTATTTGTATTTATTTGTGATATTTAATTTCAAGTACATGAAGAAATGTATAGATTACATAAAGCTCAGAATGAGAATCACCAAATTATGCAAATGCCCTTGGGAAAAGTATAAATCCATCACTTCTCCCTCCAGCTATGTGTTAAATAGAAGAGCTGACTCAGCTTTCTAGCCATGGTTGGCAACCAGTTTAGGAGAAGGACAACTCTGAATTTCAAAACTAGCGCTGGTGAAACATATATTATGCAGCCAGTGAAACGAACATGGAGTTCACAATGATTTATTTTGATCTTGCTTTATGATAAAGAAATTTTTTTTTTCTTTTAATTTGCTTTATTCTATTCTTGAATTTCTGATTTCCATATTTTCCTTTCCTCTTCCAGGCCGCCCTTGCTGTGTGGATTACCATATTGAGATTCATGGGTGACCTTCCCGAACCAAAGTACCACACCTCTCTGGCAGATGCTCGGGTAAGGATGTAAAAATTAGTTACTGTCGCAGTAGGTCAGAAAGATAAAGCTTTTTTTTTTTTAAATAACTTTTGGCTCATTTTAATGCCCTGTCTACTTCAGACAGATTCATTTCAGGATGTCCAATTGTTAAAATTAAGGAGTATAACTCAGGCTAGCAACATGTTTCAAACTGTCATTCTTCCTCTGACTTAGGAATAGCTGGCAACAGGTTCTCCACAAGGAGAAGCTGTTGCCAGCTATTCATTCATTACAACAAAACAGGCTTGTAAAATATGAGGTTAAGTATTATTCAACTCTGAATTGGAGCTGATTTGCAAATGTTATGTATACTTGTAAATATCAAAACAAATTTGGCAATTAATGCATTCAGATAAGTGAACAATATATTTAACTTTGTCAATAAAAGCAGTTAAAATTAATGCATTTATAGGAGTGAATAATATCTTTAACTTTGTCAATTAAATAAAGCATTTACACATAAATGCATGCAAATAAGTGTATCATCTCTTCTTTAAAAGTCAATAAAATAAAACATTTCTCTTTCTAGAAAGAAGACTATTGCTAAAACTCAGAGTGATTTTATTCAAATAGCCCTTTGAAGTGAAAAGATGTTACAATCTTAAATTTCTGTAATTTGTCTGTTTCAGGTCTGATCAACATAAAACAACAATTAAGAACATCAAAATTACTTAATACATATTTTTTAAAAAACACAGAAAGAGATGGGGATAAAAATTCATCCCTTATTATCAAGCTAGTAAAAGAACAATCTCAAGTGATTGAAAATATTTAAAGAAATTTTTTTCTTTTTCCAGCAAGATACAACCCCAGTAATGACCAAAATTTACTCAACTTTGGGTCGAAAATTCAACAAAAAGGATTTGGATGAAGCCAGACAAATGGGTGCTGAATTGGTAAGCTCCCAAGTCTTTAAACAAAAATTTTTTCCAAATAAGTTCAAAAAGATATTTTAGTAATTATAAATTTTCAGTTTTAGTGATAAATATGTTTTTATAGAATTACTGTAGAAAGGAATCGAATTATATAATTTTTTTATCAAGTGTCAATTTTTGCAAGTTTAGATTTGTGAATTGTTTTTATAGGAATGATAAAAATTAAAAAGAACAAAAAATAGATAAGTTATTTTGATCAAAATTTCTTAATATTTGGGAGACAGCATATAACATAATAAGTCCAAAAAGATCACTGGCAATAATGTTCAAAACAATAAAAATGAGGATACTACTATTATACAATGATTCTTTCAAATCTTTTTCCTCAACATTATTACAATGTTTTTGCCAGTCTACCAAAGATGTTTGCTGTAAATATTGACTGGGATAAAAGTGTACTATTTTCAAACCTTTACTTATCAGGAAAAGAGTTCTCTCTTGGGCATTTCAGAACTAGTAGTAACAAGTTATTTCTTATGGATCAATTCTTTCTTATTACAACCATCAATTCTTTCATGTGTACATCATTGAAATTCAACTCACAAACTTAGGAGAACCAGATGTTTTATCCAGGTATTTTATCCATTAGGATGTTTCATAGAATATATAAGCAGTGTTGTTGTTTTTTTTCAGAGGCTTCTGTTTGGTGTTCATATCTATGCTCAGCCAGCTGATTGGATTATTTGAAATTAGCATGTACAAATGTTAATCTAAATAACAAAAGAAAACCAACTCTTGATTTTTACTTAAAAGTTTTAATATTCTCAACCACCATTGCTATAAAAGTTTTTGATGTGGTTGTAACTTGGTGGGGCGGGGAAGCTTCCATTTTACTAAGATAGAGGGCAGTAAATTACCACTTTTCCAGGAATATGGGAGTAGTATCATTTGATAAAATGGTTTATTTGGAATATATCTTAGTGGAAACCCTGTTAGGTGTTTACTGGTAAATAATATTATAGCCTTTATATGGAAACAAAGCTGATGTTACATAAAGCTGTATCAATGTAAATTATTTGTTCATTCAGGATAGGTGGCAAAAATGACATGTTTGCCTCCAACCCCAGCAGACAACCATGATCACTGCTATTTACAATCATTTACATTCTATATTGATCAGGAAGAATAATCCAATTGGTATCAAAGAAAGAGATTTTAGAGATGTATTTAGAGATAAATGTCAAAGGCATGTTTCAGAGATAAGCATTACATTTTGTTGCTAACATTATAAACAAGTTTGATTTTTGCCTTCAGTGTTTTTAGTACCATAAAATAGATCTGGAAATAATTTTGACAGTGGGACAATCAATTCCTCTGCTGCATTGTGTATTAAATTCCTTACAATGAAACTTGGTATACAACATCTGCTTTTGAAAAGACAACATTTTTGGTTTGAAGAATAAAAAGAAATATTAGCCCAAAATCTGAAATTAATTACTTTCAAAAGATTCTCACTGTAAAATATTCATCATTATCAGTGCCATGAATGGGTGTGGTTTAGGGTGACTATGCAGCTGAATATCTGACTTCTTCTTTCCACATATCTGGGCTGAAAGCTAGAGAGGTATTGATTCATGAATAGCATGTCTTGGACAATCAGACCTGGTCAAACTACAGCTCCAGTTTGAAGGTTCATCTTGGCCATGAACACAAGGCCTTTTGATTCCAGTGAGGATTTCCCACTACCAAAGCCACTGACTTCAATCTACTACATTGTGCTAGATGATTGTTGATCCTACAACATTACCAAAATTACCAAAGTTGATTTTTAAAATATTACCACTTGGAGATTTCAGAATTTAATTTTTAGCAGTTGTCTGACCATGTTCCTATGATTAAATGTTCTTTTTACTTTACAAAAATATTTGCTTATAATACAGTTTATGGGTGGGGAGAAATATTCTTAATCTTGGATATCATTCTAAATTGCATATTTCTAGAAATTCCATTTGGTCTCATTTGAAAAATTCAATGTTTGTCAATTTTAAACCAGAAATATTATTTTTTTAGTTTCTTTTAGTGAATAAACTGGACATTGATTTGATGTTAGATATTTCTTTGAACTTTTATTGGTTAAATTTGTCTACAGGAAAAAGAACCAATGATTCCAATAAAACAAGGGAAGAAGAGTATGAGAAGAAAATTGGTCTCATTGACCCTAAAAAGAAAGTCAAAACTTACTGAAGAAGTTACTCGTAAGATGGAAATCAACAAAAAGTCTGCAGATTTTGAAAGTGGAGGTGCTGGGAATGCCCTTTTAGATGACCGACCAACATCAAATTTGGAGAAACTTCATTTCATTATTGGAAATGGAATCCTCAGACCTGAGCTAAGGTAGATTTTATGAATTTTATCTTAATATTTGACTTGTCAGACAATTTCCAAATATCCTTCAATGAATTACTATTCTTTCTGTGAGTCTTTCATTTCTTTTTGGTTTATTTTACCATATCTAATTGTAACTAGCTAATACTAAAATTCTTTATATAATAACTGCACTCACCACTTGTGTTTATACTGTTCAAAATATCATACAAATAAATACCAAAGTATCAATAAAATCAACTACATTCATTTGTTCATAAATCAATTAATATCATGCCACACTATGAATCCTATAATCTGTTAGGTCATAGGCACTGAAACTATAGCAGCAATGGTGTGGCTAAGATAAGATATCTTGATGGGCCCAGCTTTCTTCAGTTACCCATAAAAATGTGCTATTAAACATAATATTTCTTGACCATTTTCATATCAGTGCCAGTAATCAATCTCTTAACCACTTGATTACAGCTGAAAAATATCACCAGAATTCTCAAATTATCCTAGGTTTTCTTATTCTGACAGCTATATAGGAATTCAAGAAAAATTTGTGATATATAGAGATTCAAGACAAATTGGTGATAAAAATCATGAAAGCAATGATTGTCCTGAAGTAGTTGACAAAATATTTCAAGTCTGAAGTGGTTAATAAACCATCCTTTCTTTACACTGTGATTAAAAACCATTTGGTGGTTTGTTTATGCCAATTCATAGAATATGAACAAATATAATTTTATTTGATATCATAACCATTTAAAGGGAATCATTTAGCTACTATCTTAAGCTTTTAAATAAAATTTTACAATTTTAAAAAACAGCTTATCTTTCTCATATCTTTTTGTATATTGTAAACTTAGTTTTCCCCAAAAGAAAAAAAGTATCCTTATTTATTTATTCATTTATTTTATCTAAAACTTAAAAGCACCTGTTTTATTAATTGCATCAAGAAAAAATTAAATCTAACAGTGGCAAAAAGCAACAGCAATGTCATTTAAAAAAAAATGGTTCTACACAGATGTTTGTGGTGATTAATTAAATAACTTCAAATTCTTATTACTGTCTCTTTTTTTCTGTCAGTTCTTCCACCAACTGTAAATGCCTTAGGTTGAATATTATAAAATTTGTAAATCAAATCATATAAATGATCTCATACAATGTAATGAATGCATCCAATGGCTTCATTTTGATTGTTTTTTTTATTCTTTGCTGTTTGATTATAAGTAAGAGCTTACCACTTTCACAAGTAATGTTTCTCATTAGTAATCATTTCTTGTTGCTTCAGATATTTTAATACAATTTGAATAAATCTGTCCAGTTTTCCATATTTATTCAGTGGGTCACAGTAAATGAATTATTTTACTTGTAATTTATTTCTAATGTTGTTTATTCTCGTTATGTAACATGAGTCAGTGTATAAGGATTTATTGATAGGGGAGGCTGTTTACATAACAGTTGAATGTTTTGAATATTTTAATTGGTGTCTTTATTAGAGTAATACAGAACAATCAATCAAAACCTTTTATGAAGTTCATATAATCCTAACAATGTACTTAGCTCGATTTTACATATGCATATTTTTCTTCATTTTTTTTTTCTTAATAAAAAAGAAAAATTAGCCAATCACTGACTACAATTGTCTAGATATGATTATTTTTTTATCTCTTCAGAAAACAGCATGTCAACTTTTTCATTTGTTTCTCTAGTTTTTATGATTTGTATATTGTTAAAGATTTAATTTTTAATATGTTAAAATAAAAATGCTACCTATTGCCAGCACTTTGGATAATTTTATTTCTGATTGAATAATATTAGTGGGGAAGAAGTATGACAAAGTTAAAAAAAAAAATTTTTATGTGACTCATTTCATCCTTTAGGACTTCACTGGACTAAATTTATGTTTAGGCTGACACAATTACACATGTGCATGAATGATGATTCTAAGAAATCATGTGCATAGATTGTGATGGGATGTTCTTGATATTTTATATGTGCATCATAGGATGACTTTTTCTTTAATGCATTTCAGTAAGAAATGTTTTCAGTTTCTAAATATATCAAAATTTTTATATACTTTTATTGTTTGGTATTTTTCCATGTAGACAGCATGAGATAACGATATATAAATATTTTATATATGAAGAACAATTTCAGGGGAAATGTTATGCTAATCTATTCAGATGAAGGTTCTTATTTTGGTTGTTATAGTCAACCAAAATAAAGATATAAACCTGACTAGATTATTGTATAATAATGATAACACCTCAGAAATTCAGATAAATTATCTTAAATTTTTTCATTAGCTTTTTTTTTTTTAATTTTTTTGTTAAAAATCTATATTTGTATTTATTGATCTATGCTAAAAAATCTTCTTTTTTTTTTTTTTTCCTTTTTCCAGAGATGAAATCTATTGCCAGATCTGTAAGCAGTTAACACAGAATCCCTCAAAGAGTAGCCATGCACGTGGGTGGATTCTGCTTTCTTTGTGTGTCGGATGCTTTGCACCTTCAGAAAATGTAAGTTACATATGTTTCTGAAAGTTACTATAAACAGTAGCGATAGATAGGTTTGCCTATCACTTGGTTCACACTTCCTCTCCATTTATTGAACGGGAATAGAGGTTTATCCCATGTTTCCTGTTTAGGATTGGGTTTCCAGTTCTTTCTAATGGTTTCTCATTCTCTTTCACTGCATTAGTGACATTATCACCTTGCTTGCCTTGAAATGATTACCCCCCAAAAAAAAAAACAGCTCTCATCAAAAATTGAACAAAGGAAAACTTAATGTCCTTTTTTTTTTTTTTTTTTTATTCTGTTTTAACAAAATGTGCAAAGTTGTTTTTTTCCATATGTTTGTGTAATGCTATTATTTGAATATGAAAGTATTTTGATCTGTGTATGATTTCTGGATGTAAATAAATACACTTTCAGGATTATTAATTATGGCAGACCAGTTTTTTGCTTGTTTTTTTTTTAGTCAGAAAATACTGATTATTTGAGAAGTGTTCTCCACAAATATTTTCACTTTTATATGTATAGATTCCTATTTCTAATCTGAAAAATCATGAGAGAGTAAAAAGAGTTAAGTCACATAGGTAACATATTGTTGCCGTATGCCAAACTAAGCTAAACTGAGTAAATATCCATAGTGTATATGTACGTATACATATATAGATGGGCGCATGCACACACATGCATTTACAAAAATACATGCATATATGCATATACATATAAGTATATACACAAATATATTCATACATATATATTTATGAGAAGGTGCTGAAAATTTCTCAACCTGATCCATTTCCAAAAATCTGACCAAATGACCAAGCATCAGAATTTATTTAGGAATCTCTTAGTTAAGCTGAGAAACTTTCAGCACCCCCTCTTATATTTTACAAATTTAAATTAAAATGAATTCAGCTAAAGTTTTTGGTTCCTCTGTAATGAAACATGAAGACTAGATTTTAATGAAATTTAAGAAAATTTTCTGGTACAAGAATCTCAATTAGATTTTAGGATCTAAAAATCCAATTCAAGAATTCTTTCTATTATAGATGCAGAAAAAAAACTCATTTTTTATGATTTTGATTTTTCTAGCTACTACTGTTATTTTTATTCAAACACAATAAATAAAATATGATAATATATCAGTACACTGTTTTCTTCTGAAAAATAGGAATAAATTTCTTGAAATTGATAGAAGTTTGTTTTTAATATATTTTTTAATTTTTTTTCTACCTGTATCATTTTTATTTATTTTTTTAGTAACTAGAATGTCAGTTTGTTACAGAAAATTCCATGCATTAAGATAATGCAAAAGTCTGCATCATGCAGGGACACACTTATGTAGTTCTGCTACTATTACAGCAGTTGCAGGAAACAAAATAATATGGATTAAAATACGAAGATGTTTGTGGAAGATATAGGAGGCTGAAATAAATTTCTGCAAGCAGTGTTACATCAAGAGTTAAAACTATATAAACATTCTTATATGAAATGGAACTTGTTTTTGAAACTATCTTCTAAGTTTAAATTACATCTGATGCTGTGTTTTGTTCTGAATATTCATAATTGTACAAAATTTTTCTCTTTATTTTTTAGTTCATTTACTACCTTCGATCATTTATTACTGAAGGTCCAACTGGCTATGCTCCATATTGTGGAGAACGCCTCTGGAGAACATTTGTCAATGGCACCCGGAATCAACCTCCTAGCTGGTTGGAGTTACAAGTAAGGATCACTTCACCTTTTCAATGATTACATCTTTTAGGAAATATTATAAGGCAGTGTTTAATATCTTTTGTGAATGAATTTCATTTTCAATGTAGAATCTGTTTTGAATTAGATAAGTTTACTTTAGGAAGAGGAATTTTTTTTTTTTTTACAATAATGTTTACCCTGTACCAGGCCCAAGAGTAAGAGGTAAGAGACACAGTTTATGAAGAAGATAATGGTTAACCCTAAGTCCTTTCTTCCTGCTTTCCTTTACTGCTTGTCTCAGAGTTCCTGCAGTTTTCTGTATTTGTCTTCAACAAGGTGTTATCTGAGGCCTGCCAGTAATAAATCCTAGTAAGACTTCTAGTCCTCTTAAGATTGCCTCAGTGTAAAGATTAAATCCACTGAGGTGGTGCATTACGCCATTTCTATTTTTGTGTATTTGCTCAATTCAACTCGACCAGAAATTAAATTCTAATCTCACCCGTTCTCACATTTATGCTAACACAAGACCTTAACACACGGTCCTGTAATTCTCTTACAATGTTTTGTTTTTACAATAATGTTTACCCCATACCAGGTTCAAGATCCACTCGAGGTGGAGGGTTACATACCAAGAGGTAAGAGGCATAGTTTACAAGGATATGTGTAGAAGATAACGGTTAACCCTCAACTTGAACAAGTTAAGATAGTAGTGACTGGAGACACTCTTGAGCAACAGTTCATGGGAAGAAGCTGTTAGAGTGAAAATTATATCTCACCAATGGAATACGAAAAGAATGAGGGAAATTCATTAAAATGTGCATAGCATGGCAGGTCTTAGCTGAGAAGGTTAGAATTGGTGGAACTAAGGAATGTAATTTGTTAGACCATTTGTCATGGAAATAGCGATAGAGTAGCAATATTTTTTTCTGTGGGAAAGGGGCTGCAAGGTGCAAAAAATTCATCACCCATTTTTAACTCTATTGAGATTGGAAAGTGAAGACTGGGCAGCTGCTGAACATATATAGCAGCAGTACTCCATTGGTGACCAATTTTTCTAGTAAAGATAGTACTTGACTCCTGCTATGCTTTATCTGGAGCAGTACAAGGAACCGACAATTTTCCAGCATCTTTAGCAAAGGATTTTATGTATACGTTCTACTTGAGGTCTGGAGTAAGCTCAGGGCATGGGGCCTCCTTGAGAGGACACCCATTCATCGCAATAGATGGTGACGATGTAATGTCACAAGTTTAGTTTTTGTAGCATTGAATGTGATCAGCCTGCCCCCACTGTGCTGTTAGAGGTAGGTCAGAGGAGAGATCAGCTGTCAAGCTCTGGTCATCTAAAGTTTTAGAGGTGCATCCATATATCATTGTATCATCAGCATAGATATTGACAAATGATCAGAGTATACTCTTAAGCAGATCATTTATGTAAAGTAGAAAGAGTGTTGTACAATGCAAGCAAGCCTTGGGAATTGAATGTAACAGCCAGTGAGCTTTTAGAGTTTGGCCAGAGGTGAGATCTGTTACCAAGTTCTGGTCATCTAAAGTTTTAGAGGTGCATCCATATATCATTGTATCATCAGCATAGATATCCACAAAAGGTCAGAGCATACTTTTCAAAAGATCATTTAAGTAGAGCATTGAACTGAAAAGTGAGCCTTGGGTGATACGTGCTTTGATCACGTGGGCATCAGAGGATTGGCTGTTCACAACTACCATCAGGGACCTACCTGTTAGGAAGGACTTGATAATTTAGAAAACTCTTCCAGTGATTTCATAGTTGAAGTGTTTGTGCAGTAACCTTCTATGCCACACCTTGTCAAAGGCTTTTGAAATATGTAATGCAATCATCCTTGAGATGTATTTATTGTCTAGTACTACATTGATTCTCTGAGTAATGACAGTTAAGATATTATATATATGTTTATACACTGAAATAAAGAGTGGTTTGGCCTAAGTGCTACTATTTTTTTTTTAGCCAATCATTATGTCATGCTAGGGATAATATATTTTGTTAAGATATCTGGTATTATAGAATAGAGAAGAATAAATTCATGTCTTTCCCAAGGGCATTAGTGCCATGTAAACACAAACAGCCTCAGCTGAAATTGAAACTTAGTTTGTTTCATTTTCTATGCTGATACCCACTACACTGTCTTGTACCTCCTTTCTGGGTGAACAAGAAAATAAAAATGTGATTATTGAATATGCAGGACAGTGTTTAAATCGGATTTGAAAAATACACATCAGGGCAATGTTGTTGCAAACATGATTCAAAACAAGACAACAAATGGTGAAATGCAGGAATAAGAAATCCAACAAGAAAAGAAAAATGAAAAAGGAATTTTCTCTACAAAGAATTTGAGAAGAAAAGAAAGCATAGATAGACAGTGATGCAGAAATACAACTGAAAAAAGAAACAGAATTATTGCAGCTCAGAAATAATGTATCAGGACTAATTATATTAAAGTGAAAATAGAAGACAAAATCTATAAAAATAAGTCAAAAAATAAGTAAATTTCATTTTTAAGAAAAATCTCCATGTAGCAAGAAAATATAAAAATTCAGTGATAAACTGAAAACTGTGCAAATGACTTGGGTAAGTCATATAAACAAGTGGTATTAACACAAACCAAAAGTTGTCTAAGAAAATGAAATGGTATTATCAGATACAGATTGACCATTCCATCCAAGTGAACAGATCAGATAAGAGAGAAACTTTTAGATTGTTATCCACAAATAAAATGAAAATTTATTAAGTTCTCTGGTAATACCAATCACCATTTTCCGTCTTGACTCTCCTGTTATTGTTATTCTCTTATATCCTTGCTAAAGTTTTCTCATTATCTTTCACTCCCAGTAATTCTTTGTGTCTTAGCGACATTATTGCCTTAGTTGGGATGAAATGATTAAAAAAAATATTACATCAGTTTTCTGTTGGAAACTATTGTTTTATCTGTTATTTAGATGCTGAAATTTATTTTAAAGAAAAAAAAAACGAGTGAATTTAAAAGATTAATTACAAAAAATTAATTACTGCTTCAATTCTTTTGCACTTCATTTAACAGATTTATTTTTGATTTCTTTGTTTTGTTGGTAATGATCTTGTATAATCCTTAAAACCATTTTCTCTACAGTCTACAAAATCCAAGAAACCCCTATTATTGCCAATCACGTTTATGGATGGAACCACAAAAACCCTTCTTGCCGACTCTGCCACAACTGCCAAAGAATTATGCCAACAACTCTCGGAAAAAGTTCGTCTCAGTGACCAATTTGGATTCTCTCTTTACATTGCCCTTTATGACAAGGTAAGCCTAATTGATTATTCTGAAGAGTCACATGGGTTTTAACAATGCACATCTTTCATAAAACAATGGATTGTCATCTTCCCACATTATGTCTATAGTAGAACTTTTGTCTTAACCTTATAACTAGACCTTTTCAAGGTTGACAATAGGTGTATCAGCTTTATAACTACTGCCCGGCCTGGTAATACAGTTATAAGAGATTGGTTTATCAATATGCTTATTTATTCACTCCTGTCTCCATCAGCCATCATAGTGATAAGTTCTTTTGTAACTATATTTGGTAATGGAACAGAGCACAGTCAGAAGTGGGTTCATGCCTTTTCCAAGTGCATTAGAGTGAAGTGAACACAGGTTTTGTTTACTATGCTGGTAATCATTATATTATATCATTTCACATTTCAGATTTTCAAACTTTTGAGTTTTAGAATTTATTTAGAAAATACCTGATACAATTCCAAGTACCATTTCATTTATTTTATATTTTATAAGTGAACACTGAAGTCAACACCAAGCAGTGACAGTCTTTCATGCTTGAACACAATCTTCCGGCCATGTTGGTCTGTTTATCAGATTTGATTAGGTAATTTAACTTATTGCCCCTCTTCTTCTCAAAAATTCCAATACATTTTCCTTACATACAGTTTTGTCTTTCATTCTGACCTAAAGATGCCAAACCTAATGCACGTTGATGAAACACATTATTAAAAAACTTTACCACTTTTTCCTGTCATCTCCACTATTAGTGTATATAAATAAAGATTGGCAGTGCATCAGACATTCAGAGAAAATGAATAGCTGTATGGTTAGATTTCAGCTGTTTCTGAAGAAAGGGATATAAGCTTATCTAGCCAGAGGCTTATTACTTTCCCGAGCCTAATGAGATTTCTGCTTGATAATCAGTTAATTTTTGTCATATTTGATTTTTAATTCCTTGCAAAAATGAAAATGCAAATCAGTCTCACATATCAGCCTTTTCTGAAACATTCATGATCAGTCATTTAGTGAACAACTTCTTATTGTTTGCCTATACAATATGGTGTTTGTATAGGTTTTTCACTATGCCTTCTCTCATCTCATCTTTACTACACTTTCTCTTATCAATACTGAAAAACTTTCAATTAAGTTTTGAATTCAACAACTTAAATTCATTGTTTGATAATTTATTCTGTCTTGACGAAATAAATTGATTGTTAATCTAACGATAATCTTTGTTTACAAATTCTATATCTGAAAACTTTTCCATTATTGACATTTTCAAACTAACACAGAAAATACTTTTCGACAAACTTGAAACTGCATTTTCCATATTGCAAATGTTTTAGAGTCACAAAGCAGATAAGTTTTACTATCTCAACTTTCTTAGTCGTCGTTAAATTTAGTGCATTTAAATTTAGTTGTTATATTTGCATATATATTTGTATTCAAATATAACTTTTATGGGACAAAGGTAAAATTTAAATAAAAAAATCTTACATTAAAGCTATTTATAAGAAAAGCTTTAACCTTCAAAATGGGTGGTTAACAGAGTCAAACACCTTATTGGTCCACTTACTTCATATCTCATCAATGTGAAATTTTGGTTCACATATTCAAAATTGACTTAGTCCAACAAATATAATTTTTAGTTCATTCAGAAGGAATAAATATTTAAATATCTTATCATAAATCCTTTTCAACACATTTCAAAATAGTATATATGCTTTTGTTCTTTTTAACTTAATATGTTGACTAATGTTTCATCTATTACTCCACAGTATATTGCATCCCATCTTCTTGCCCAGTATTTGATAATTTAATGACAGGACTTGAGTAACATTAGAGAAAAGCTAAAGATCATATCAGCTAAAATTTTGGGTTAAAATAAAGGAGGAAGGCAGAAGAATACATTGGCTGGAATATTGTGTTAAAAGCAACAAAAATGAAGGGAATCATTTGAAAATATATTGAATAATTAAACTCTCAGCTGAAATGTTATGTTAAGAAGTAACAAAGATACTAAACTAAAAACATGTGGGGGTGTAAAATAATACAAGAATTTAATCTCAGAACTTAAGACAACAATCATAAACACTAGTTTTGATTTCCCTTTCTCTCCTTTTCAGGTGTCTTCTTTGGGTAGTGGCGGTGATCACGTGATGGATGCTATTTCGCAGTGTGAGCAATATGCCAAAGAACAGGGGGCACAGGAAAGAAATGCTCCCTGGCGATTATTTTTTAGAAAAGAAATTTTTGCTCCTTGGCATGACCCAACTGAAGATGCAATTGCTACACATTTGATTTACCAACAAGTTGTCCGAGGAATTCAGTTTGGAGAATATAGGTGTGATAAGGTAAGTGAAATATTGGGCTTAAATTGTTCCAAAATGTTTTTTCTGCAAATAAATTGGTTGAATATCTGGAAATGCAGCCAAGAATCTATTTCACTTTGTTTCCTCAGTCAGTTGTTGCATTAAGGTTTATTATTCAATTATTTACAGGTACAGCATGAATCTGTATCACTCAGATTTGAAGTGGTGATACTTTGTAAAAAAAATGGTATGTAAAAAAACAAAACAAAAAAAAGAAATAAATCCAGTAAAAGAAATATATCTTATATATAAAGTACAGTGTGTGTGTTTGTGCATGTTTGTGTGCCCAAGCAACTCCTCCACCTCCACTGGTCTGATTTCAATGATTCATAGCTCATTTAAAAGCCCTAGGTACAGGGAATGATTTTCATTGAGCTCAGATTCAGGGTTGCCAAATTATGCAACGTTAAAAATATATATTGATATATTATACTAGCCATTATCATTGCTTTCATGGTTCAAGGGGAGTAACTCTTATTTTCCTTTTGTATCCAAAATTGCAGCTAGCTTAAAATTTTAAGCTAGCTTAAAAGCTGCCCTATTGGGTGGCATTTAAGCTAACTCATGTGGAGGACTTTTGGTTTGACCTTCATCACAATAGCTAGGGAAGAGTAGATGCAATTGGCATCAATAAACTACAGAAGAACTCAAAATTGATTGCTTCATTTAAATATTGAATTAATGTTTAAGCTTATCTTTTAAAATTTCAATGATAATTCTTCTGCTGCCACTTAATTTAGAGGCAATTTGATGTATGTAGATCCTTATTTTCCTTACAAACAATTATTTTTATTTCATGGGTGACAGAACATGGGAAAACAGAATTAATTCTACATTCAACATTTGAAGAAGAGTTAGAGAAACATAAAAGCTAATTAAGTAAAACCTATATTATGGAATATATATGAAATGTGAAATTGGAGCTCAATTCTCCCATGAATTCTGAGATGAGAAAGCCCCAGCTCTACTTTATAGTAATTTGTATTTACTCCCCCCCCCCACGAGGTCAGGTTGTGATACAAGGTTGGTTTAATGTGGGGAGCCTGCACTTGGAACAAAAATTCCCCAAGCTCCTGCAACCATCAGTTACGCTGGCCTTGGTGTGAGCATCGATCCTTCTCTCTGGTGCAGCGAGAGGGCACTGCCTTGGACAGCTGTTCTCCAGGGCTGGGCACCTCTCAGTATAATTTTCCTCTGTTGTGACTCTGTCCTTTGACGGAACCACTCCTGAGCACACTCTGCCCAAAGACAGATGCAACTGAGAGATAATAAGTAATGTGTTACAAATCACTCGAGAGAGCAATTTACACACTAGGTATTTATTCTGTCTCCCAACTAAGATGAGTTGTGACACAAGGTCAGATTTTAAGGTGGGGATCCGAGCATGTACACCTGGGCAGAGAACAAAAATTGGCCACTTCCCCTGCAACTGTCAATTACGCTGGCCCCGGTGTAAGCACCGATCCCTCTCTCTGGTGCTATGAGAGTGTGCAGCCTCAGGCAGCTGTTCTCCAGGCCTGGCCATCTCTCAGTACAATTTTCCTCAGTTGCTACTCTGTCCTTTGAAAGAGTTACTCCTGAGAGCACTCTGCCCAAGGACAGACGCAACTGGGACAAAATAAAGTGTTACAAACCACTCAAGAAAGCAATTTACACTGTATTTACTTGACAATTTACACTGTATTTGTCTTTGTAATTCACCTGTGAGAATGATCTTGGAAGAGATTGAAAGTACTATGTTGCCTTCCTTGATGGATTTCATCTTAACATTAAGAAACTGGATTGAGAACTAGAAAAGATTGTTATAGAAATAAATAGACATAATGTGTCTATAGTATTCAATGAAACATGTTTGAATATTATATATATATATATATATATTATAATTATAAGAAAGAGCAGTAAGATATATAATCTGGTGTTCTTATTGATATTTTTATTTTTACACACACATATATATATATATATATATATATATATATATATATATATATATAATCAACAGAATGATGTTCAAAAATCATCCTTAAAAATTTTCAAAATGTATGTGTGAAAATAAGTTTTTTTTTAAAAAAATACAATTTCAGAAATTATTGTTTACCAATAACTCTAATCTGCTCACCCTGAACAAACAGTTCTTTCTTCTACAGAACAAGTAGTCAATAGGCATTGAATATAAATAACATGAGTAGTTTTGATTGTCATGTACTTTGTGAAAAGAACGTATAGCTCCATTTATTCTGTAATAAAAATATTCCGTCCTTTTTGCAAACCACTGAAAATATAAGCATCGGAATATAATGACCCCTGTCAATAATAAAAGAATGACATTCTCCTCATTTTCATTCTATGTTGTTCATTGATGTTTAAATGTGGGCTATTGGTGTGTCTGTTTCCAACCTTTGCCTTGTTACTGTGCTTATAGCCTAATTGATCCATTTTTCCCAATCTATTGCATTAATGGACTGACCATGCTGGCACCCAAGGACAGTTCTGAGTGGTCAGTAGTCAGGCAGCTGCTGCTTTCTTCAAGTAGCTACTCAGTGCAAGAACTTGCCAAAGTGGTGTTTTTTTATAGAAACTGAATGATTCTTGGAAATAGACAGCCTTTTAGATTGAATCAAATAGCAATCTTTCCTGCTCTTTATGCAAGAGTTATAGTAGCAGCCATTGTTTGCTCCTATGTCTGCACAAACATTCGGTCATTGCTGTTTTTATTGCTTTCCAGTTTTGTAATAACTACATTATGATTTGGTTTTGCTGTATCTGCTTAAAATTTAGCAGATAAATATAAAATTGAAAAAATAAGTATATCATAATAGAGATGGCTTAATTTGAATTATACAATATAAAATACTTTTTTTTTTTTTTTTTGCTCTTGACAGGAATTTGCATTGCAAGTTTTCCATATGACGGTCTTTTTTTATTCAACTTCAGTCAAGATCATGGTGTACAATTCTACAGTTAATTATGAATTCCACAATCTTTTAAATGACTGTATAGTATTCACTTAGCCAGGGCTACATCTTTATTTTGAATTCAGAGATTTCCTTCTTCTAGACTGGTTGCAAATCATGACTAGAGAGTTCAGTCTTCCCTGCTATTAAACTATTTATTTATAGCTGGCAGGAGAAATGACAGATTAATTTCTGTCCTAAAGGTATTTGTGCAAAAGTTAATAAAACAAACTTGCTCAGAATTTGAACTTTGCTCACCAATTTCTCTTTCCAAGATACTGTTACACCACCTGAGCACCCATGACAGTCTTAAGTATTTTAATTCTGAAATTAAGTATTTTCATTATTTTTTTGACTAATTTTCTGTATTTTGTTACTTTTTATCACAATGTTCTAGGTTGATATTTCTTTCTTCTGATTTTAATTTAATGAGGGAGAAGATATAACTCCCAAAAAGATTTGAACTCTTATCTCTGATCTTGCTGAGCTCATATTACATGGACAGAGCTTTTAAGAATTTATCGAGTAAAGCTGCATAGTTATGAAAAAAATTAAATCTTTATAACAAGTGTGTGTGTATGTGTGTGTGTGTGTGTATATATATACACACACACACACACACACACACACACCTAAGTCTTTCACTCCAACACTACAAATATCTCCTGATACAGTTAAGTCATATATAATAATAATATCAATAATAGAATTAAACCACTATATACCCATACACCTCCAATTTCCACAATACACTATTTTTTCCTCAACCATAGAATTTGACCCAACATTAATAATCTACATCTAACCAACAGTCAACACGTGAATTGACACTACCAACGCCTGCAAAACCAATTAAAAAATTTGATATGCACATACAACCATGCCTTCTCATCTTCCTCTCAATATCCTCTTCAAGAATTAAACACACAGACACAAAAATGCTCACTAGAATCCAAACACACATTCACTATTACCAGAATACATAAACATATGAGGTCTACCTGACCAATGATAAACAACACAGAACTCAAATGTACTGGAACATACACTTCCAAAGCACATTTACAAAAATTTCTGATGAAGCTTAAATAAAAGTGAAACCTGTTAAATTTATAAACATTTCCTATTTGTTCCTTATTCTCTCATTGTCAGATTTTAATCCATATTGTATTCCAATTTATATATATAAATAATCAAGGACAAGGAATATCAAGAACAATTTTATGAATTTAATATATCACTATTTAGCTTTGTTAATTTTGGGGGAGTGAGATAATGCACAGTTATCAATTTTAAAATTCTATGTTTTGTTTTCATTGGTTGTGTGGGCATGAACTCTTATCTCTGATCTTATAACATTTGTGTGTATGTATTTAATTTTTGAAATATCAGTATAATTTACATGTGTATTACAAATTGGGTATATTAGCATGTTCATTTCTGATGAAACTACATAAATAGCAAAACCTGTTAAATTTATAAAGATTTCCCTGCTTGCTCCTTATTGTCAAGGTTTAATCCATATTTTTAGGTCAAAAAAATCTTTATATTTCAATTATGTTCTTTCAATCATTGATGCTACTTAGTAGTAGTTTTAAGTTCATGCAAGACAAATTCTCAAGATATGAGTTTAAATCTAAGTTATTTCTTTTTTCTGATTCTCCACTGGACAATGTCAAATTAGAAAACTGATAAAAAGTAAGAAAATCAGTCAAAAGTTATGGAGTTTCAATATGGAGTTTGGAAAGGTATTATGATTTCAAAATGGATACAGGAATTGAGAATTTTATTTTACACAAAATAAGAAACTCTTACTTGCCCTTGCTTCACTTTTTTTCTTTCTATTCTATCTTGAATCCATTGCCTTAAATAATTCATGTCATCTCAATGATTTTACATCACCAAAAATAAATTACTTCTACTTTTATCCCATAATAGTTGATACATTCTCATACAGTAAATGTAACAACAATTATGCAACTGAAATGTATATCTGTTCACAATTCAGTTAACATTCAAAATGTATCTCAACATAAAAATTTTTCATGTAAAAATATAACAAAATGCAAGTTTTTACTTAATTATTATAATTAAGACTCCTGTTTTAATAGTAAGTTCAATCAGCTCAATAAAGTAAAATTGGCAGCCGATGTCAAAAACAGCTTTCAGTCTAATGTTAACCAGGGCAAAGGATAGCTTGTTAATTTTAATGCCTCCAAAACTAAACTGCTCTCTATTAATAATCTGAGAGACTCCTTTCTTCTTTCCATCTGCATGGCTGTATGTTCAGGAGAGCGACTCATTGGACTTTCTTAGGCTAATGTTCTCAGCCGACATGAAGTGGAAAGACAATATTGAATCTACTCCTAGGTCAGCTGCTATAAGTTTACCATTCGCCCATGCTTAAAATATTGCTGCCACATATGGTTCAGTGCTCCTGCTATATATTTAGAGATCTTTGATAAAATCCAAACAAGAATTAGCAATATTATTGGTCCTGATTTTGTATTTGGGTTTCAGGCATGTTCCAACAACCATAAAGTTGCCTCCCTGTGCCTTTTCTATAAATACCTTCATAGTGATTGTTTGGATGAGCTCTTCACTATAGTACCTAAACTTTATGAATTTAAGCACAGTACTAGACTGGCAACAAGGCCTCATTGACATAACAGTTGAACCAGCTAGATGTAACCATAAGTTCTATGCTAACAGTTTCTTTTTTTTTTTTTTTGCACTTCTCACTTCTGGAACACCCTTCTGGCTCCATACTTTCCAGCCAACTTTAATCTTCAAACATTTAAATGCAATATCAATTGATATCTACTGTTGTTCTGATTACTCTTCTTTTGTTCTCGCTCCTTAGTAATGTTTCTGTTTTCTCATTTTTCCACACCCAATAACCCCTTGTGTCTTAGTGGCTTGCTTAGGGTGAACTTGACTAAAAAAAAAAAAAAAAAAAATTATATGCTTGCTATAGATAAATAAATGTGGGAAAGGTTGAGTTTGAGGTGCACAAAATAATCCCACAAAGATTGTTCTAACAGTTTAAGTACTGATTGTGCCAGGTAAGCATTTCTCTACTATAATAAAATTGTTCCAATGCCATGCATAAAATTCCATCGGATGTTTTAGCTTATTTACTGTGTACACAGTCTTGAAGGTAGAACAAAATGGTTGACTAAAGTGGACAAAGTCTAATTGACTAAAACACTAATGTATTCATATCACAATATTTTGACAAGTATACCATATATACCATTGAATAATTGGATCCCCATAATTGAACTATTGTTACTGGACTACTTTATCTACCATTAATTGCAATTGGGTTGAATTTGATTGCTTACTGAAGGTGGATCTAGCAAAATTAATAGACACAGTTATCTTATTTAAATTATTAGTTATTATTCTTGGGTTTTCACTGAATTCATTCTTTGCCACTGTAATGTACGTGTTGTACCACTGGGCTTAGGGTGGAAAGATAAGTTATATGAGACTGTCTGCTGAAAAGTCGAAGCAACACAAAGACAACACAATTTATTTATTCAAACTGCCTGCTCAATCTGTGTTGATCCCAGCATTCCCTAGTGGGTCCAGAAGTGCTTACAATCTTTATAATAATCAACATTATTGTTATAACACGTATGTTTATCAATTCCAGTTAGCTGTTTTATTCAATTTGTTGTCTTTTCTCAGGATTGTAGGACTGATAAATGAAAATCAAGCCTTTTTTTTTTTTCTTTTTTTTAATGTTTTTTTGTTTGTTTTTTTTTCTGAGAAACTTTCCTTCTTAAATTGCTTCTGCCACTTTCTTTTTTACAGGATGATGACTTGGCAATGATTGCTGCTCAGCAATATTTTATAGGTTATAGCACCAATATAAACAATGAACGCCTAAATAGTTTGCTACAGACATACATTCCAGAGAACAGACTCAACGCCAAAGGTCTTCCAAACTGGGTGAACCTAGTGATAACTAAGTTGAAGTCGGCCTACTTTGCAAATGTGAATAATCAGAAGCCCATCAAAGTGAAAGAAGACATTGTCAGTTATGCAAAATACAAGTGGCCACTGCTGTTTTCTCGTTTCTATGAAGCCTACAAGTTTGCAGGGCCGAGTTTGCCCAAGAATGATGTGATCATTGCAGTTAATTGGACTGGTGTCTATGTTGTAGATGATCAAGAACAAGTATTGCTAGAATTGTCTTTTCCTGAAATTACTGCTGTATCTAGTAGTCGGTGAGTGACATGCATATTTTATTACTAATTTGAATATTAATCAGAAAATTTAGTCTTAAAATAAGGGGCATAACTCCTGTTCTTTCTACTGTTCCTTCCTTTTCTAATCCATTTTCATTCCACTAATTTTGATGCCTTATGAGACAAAAGTGGCAAATCTTTATTAATAAATGTAAAAAAATTCAGTGCATTTTCTTCTTGAAAGTGAATGTTTTTTTATTTTTTATTCAAATAAAAAAAATGTTATGTAAACTTGTAAGAAATCCCTACTCAATTAGTAACAGTTGTTGGTAATTTTGATGTTTGCTCTCATAGACACAATGTTCAAATCTCTGTATTTAAATATTGAAATCTTATCAAATTCATTTATTTATTCATCAGATATTGGTTACTTATAAAGCATCTTTTTTTTTTAATTATCTTCATTCTCAAATTTTTTGTCTTGAATTTTTTATCTGTGCACATGTATTAAATCCAAAGTTTTTCTGTCTTTCAATTTTTCCATTGATATTTTTCAGAACCCGTAAACTCCATGGGCAGAGTTTTACATTGGCTACTATTAAAGGTGAAGAATACACATTTACTTCACCGAATTCTGAGGACATAAAGGATTTGATTGTTACATTTTTAGAAGGTTTGAAAAAACGTTCTCGATTTGTTATTGCAATCCATGACTACAATCCACCTCCAGGTAAGTGAAAACAATCTTGGCATTTTATTTTTAAATGCTTTCAAATAGACTTTTCATTGTGATTCCACTACATGACAATTATGTACAAGTCTTTGCCATGTATTACTAGCAAACTTCTTTATCACATCTCTCCCTCTTTTGTATGTTTTTTTTCCTACTTTATTTGATACCCATTGGTCACCAGTCAACAAACCTTTTGCTTCGTCTATTATTATTTCTTCCTGCTATATATTCTGACCACCTATATTTTTGTTACTACCTCACTTCTATAGCACTTACCTAGATCTGTTTTCAGTTCCCTTTTCTATCTCACTAGTTATTGCTAGCATTGTTCTTTCTAGTGATCTTTATGCATGTCTAAGTTTGTATTTGGTTCAAAATCAGCTCCATTGGGTGGGTCACATGTCTAGAATGCATCCCACTCAAATCTCACATAACATCCTGTTTGGAGAACTCGCCCAAAACAACATTTCAAGGACCAATTGAAGACATCTCTGACACAGGCCAACGTTGACTGTTACTGCATATCAGCCTACCTGGCATAAGACTATCTGACAGGGGACTGAGATTTTCAAGTCAACATGAAGAGGATCTGTGATGTGCTGTCAGGAGGGCCCAACTTACACAGCTGTATCCACTACCCACACTCCTTTGTGACTCCTGCTTATGACTCTTCAAGAGTAGGCTGGTCTTTCACAGCCATCTCTGCCACCATCATCAGAGGGTAGAAAGGGAATAAGGAGAAAGGGTGACAACTAGACTAGACAACTAAAATATTTTGGGCAGTAATTCCTCATTTATACAGGTTTCATTGAAGATGACTGACAAGGCAGTGTGATTAAGCTTTTTATTATATTCTTCTATTTGTAAAAATGATTTCATTTTTGGACATCTTACGAAAAAATCGAAATGCGTAAAGTGTGCTTTAAAGGAAGATAGGACCTTGCTTGATTAGGCACCATAAGCCAATGCCTTGAAGTAGCTAATGTTGGCCTTAGAATATGCTCTAATACCCATTTCATATGGCCTCAAAATTCCCCTGTAATTGGTCTAACTTAAAAATTTGCCTGAACCACCAGCTATATGGGTTCATTTTGCTTACCAGAATCTACTTATAGCCTACATTTGGGCAGTTGGTTCTCAAATCTATTGTTGCTGGTCATGAAGAGGCCCCTATATCTGATTGAACTTCAAGGTCCCAAAAATGTAGGTCTGCCATTGCTTCCAATCAGTGGTTAATTGGGCAAGGAGTCACTTTTAAATTTTAACACATTCAAAACAAAACTGCTTTAATTTAATCACCACAGAGAACTGCCTGCCATGAGCATGGTTGATACTAAACTCCAGGAGAGCAACACTTTGCACCTTCTTGGTCTCATGTTTTCCATTGACATGAAGTGGAATGAGAATATTGAATCAATTGCTGGGTATGCTGGTTCATTGTGTCATGTCAAACAGTTCTTCTCATCAGAATCCTTCTTGCACATTTATAAATCTACCAATTGCCTGTGCATTGAATACTGCTGTTGTATCTGGTCTACCATATATCTCAGGCTTCTTGACAAAATTTAAGGCAGGGTCTGTAATGTAATTAATCCTGATCTGGCATTTCGACTTCCGTTACTTTCTCGCTTTTTATGGCAAATGTTCTGGTGAGCTGTTCTCCTAAGTGTCTTGACTACATGAATTTAAGCACTTCTAGATTGGCAACTAGGTTTCACTGTTTTTACTAGCTAGATACAATCATTAGTTCTTTTCTAATAATTTATTTTCTTGCTTTCCTGCTACCTACAATCTTCAAAGATTTAAATGCAACATCAGTTGCCATCTTCTGTCTTCCTAAATCCTCTTCCTTTATTTTCCTTTTCCTCATTTCTCTTCATTAAAGTCAACTCATTCTATTTCACTCCCTGGGTCCTAGTGGCATTATCATCTTGCTTGGGGTGAAATTATCAAAAGACAAAAAAAAAGCAAAACTGATCAAAAATCCATATGAAGGTCTTTCTGTTGTCCTTGTCTTTCAACTGAAATATACAATGTCATAATTTGAAAGAGACCAATTATAGAAAAGTAAAGAAAAGCTTTTTGTTCAAGTAGATCCCATGACATTTAAATTTATTTTCAGAGCACTTACCTCTTAAACATTTAGTATATAATGGGATATAAAAATGTCTTATCACTGTTTATTGTGATGATATTCCTGTTTGGACTTTACAAAATTTAAACTATGTTATATCTGCCAAGAGTTTTAAGTAAAAATAATAACATTTATTTTAATCTTTCCCACAGGTGACAGTACATCTTTCTTGACATTCCAGAAAGGTGATCTCATTACTCTTGAGCAACAGACTGGAGAGCAAGTTCTCAATTCTGGCTGGTCTTATGGCCAGTGTCTACGCACAAGACGCAGCGGTGACTTCCCGGCAGAATGTGTTTATGTTCTTCCCACAATCACTAAGCCACCAGAGGAAATTGTCGTAAGTATTTGCATGAAAACATCTAATAAAATGGAATCTCTTCTCCCAATTTTTTTTTTAACAATGATGTTCATCCTGTACAAGGCCCAAGAGCCACTCGAAGTAGAGAGTTACAGAGTAAGAGGCACAATTTATGCAGAAATGTGGTGGAGATATGGAAGCTGTCTGGAAAATCTGATCCTTGCAATTAAAAGCAAAAGAAATAAGATGAAATACTACTAAAAAATATTTATGTATAGAAAAGACAGTGTACAATGTTTTGTGATGCACAAAACATGCTATGCTATGTTTTAAAATTCTTTGCTCATATGTGATCAAAGCCTGCTTAAATTTACAAGCACCTCATCAGACAACTGATTTATGTTTCAGAAAAAGTGACAAAAACTGATATTCCTCCACATTTAAAATATTATCATATGACAAGCCAGACTCTTGTTAATAATAATTGATAATGCTTTATCATAGAAATTCAAACACTCATCTGTATAATTGATGGAATAATGGTAATACCTAATTTCAGATTAGTTATAATTAATTTGAAATAGAATTCATTTAAATAAATTGTGTTAATAGAAAATCAATTTTGAGTAGATTGATGAATAAATAAATAAATAAATGGCAACATGTGTTATTTTTTTAAGCAGAATGTAAACTAAGAGAAAAGAAACAATATTTTACATGGTTTTATGTTGTTAATATGAAGTTTTAAAATCTTTTTCTTTCTTTCCCCCACCAAACAGGGCTTGTTTGCCCGTGGAGCTGAGTACACTGCAAGAGATGTAACACCAACCATGGAGAATCCTAACATAACAGAACATAACGAGAAACCCCATACTCTGGAGAGTTTCTCATATGATCATTTCAGGTGAGAATATTTTAGTTTTCATTCTTAGAGCTGATTGGTTGATTAATTACACCCAAATCCTAATTTGGAATAATAAGAATTAAAATGGCTTCTGGGCACTTTTTTTCTCTTTTATTACAATGTTTTGACCTCACTACTCTCCAACTTCCTCAGCTGTCTATCATATTCAGTAATTTTCCAGAAATGTAAAATTAAACCCTTAATTTGATCCATAGATGTATGTGCTCATTCTCTGTCCTTTTCAAGGAATTTCAGAATTCACAATATGAGGCTGATCTCTCTCTACACTGAGCCAGTGTTTATTACCATACTGCCTGCCTCAAAGATTGAACATATGATCTCTAGCAATATAATTTACTTTGGATTTATGTTAAAGGATTTGCAAAATTTATTGAACCTTAAATATAGTGTCTAACAAAATGCCTTAATTTCTGTTGTCTTGTAGGCAGAGTGCTGTTATTATTCAACTAGCATTGTTACATTTGTTGTTTTCATCACTATATTTTGACCTGTGGGATCTCTAGCCTTCTTTAGTCAGTTAGAATAGAGTATATGAAATAGTATTTAAAAACCAAGAATAGAATATTTGAAAGTGAAAAATACTGAAAAGTTCCTGACTTGACTCATTTTCCAAAATCTGGCCAACCATCAAACTTTTTTTTTTTTTTTTTTTTTTTTTTTTTTTTAAAGGGCTTCTTGGTTGTGCTGAGATCTTTTCAGCACTACCCACTTGTTTGTGGGTATGAAGACAGGCATAAATATAATCACAACTGGAGGATCCATATCTCAGACACTCATAAATAATTTTGGCAAATTGAAAATGATTCACCAATTCAGGATCAAATTGGGATTGAGTACAGGAAACAAAAATCCCCAAATACTGTTAATTTTTTTAAAATTTAAATTTCATTTGTTATTCTTATGATACAGCTTTTGTAAATGTGGAGCAGTGTCAAGTTAAAATTTATTTTATATTTTTATACTATTGTTCCTTCAATACAAGGGCCAAAAGTCACTCAAGATAGAGGGTGAATGAATGAGGTTTAAAGTGTAGAAGTATATATTAAGGGGATTGTGATGTAATTGGTCATGGTTAAAAGTAACTGACAAAATTCTCAACAGAATTGACAATGTTCTCAAACAATAAGAAAGAAAAGAAAAAGAACAGGGCAAAATAATATTAAGCAAACAATATATATATATATATATATATATATATATATATATATATATATATATATATATATATAAAACTAGGCAAAGCAATATTAATAACGCAAAATGTTCACAAAGTAAGAATTGTGTTCACACACAAAAGGGTTACAGTCAAGTGATTATAGCATTCTGATTTCAAGAAAACCTTTTACACATCTTTTCTGTCAACTTTAATTTCAATTGATTTTAATATTTAATACTTTTTTTAAATAATTCATAATCACTTTTTTGTTGGAAACCAGCAGCCACTGATAATATAGGTTGTTTTTTGCATACATATGGAAATGCAATTAATAACATTTCTGTTTTGATATTATAAAGAAATGAAAATTATGGTTTTGTTAAATGTTTTTGTTAAATGTTAAATGTTTTCTTCCAAGTACTTTAATATTAAAAGTGTGAAAGCAACACAATTTTCTTTGGGGTAACACTTAATTATTATTGTGATTACCAGTTAAAAATGAATACATGTATTCCTTATACTCTGAAACAGAATGTCTATTTATTTGTGCTTTTAGAAAATAAAGAGTAGTTGTTTGAATTTGTTCAAGCATTTGTTAACTATTGGTTTGTTTGCAGACCCCCACCAAAGAGGACAATGACAAAAACTCTTTCCACGGCAAAAAGGCGACGTCAGGATGATTTGTGGCGCTATTCAAAGGAACCCATCAAGCAACCACTACTTAAGAAGCTTAATGGTAGAGATGACATGAACCAAGAGGCTTGCATGTGTTTCTTATATATCCTTTATTTAAAACAAATATATATTGTCATTTAAGTAATACATGTACCTTTTATTTAAATGTCTATATGGTTTATATTCTTTATTGAAAACAAATATATAGATAATTTATATATCCTTTGTTTATATGCATAAAGAGGCTACTGAAAAATGACCAGCTCAAGCAAGAAGAGAATCCCTCAAGAAAATCAAGATTTTAGGAAGTGGTTTGGGCTATGAAATTTTCAGAAAGTATCTATCATATATATATATATATATATATATATATATATATATATATATATAATCAATAACAAAGTGATAAATTTTTATGTGTGATACATTTTTGATATTTATGTTGATGTAACTGGACATGCTCACAAAGGAACACTGAAATTTTAAGCTTTTAAATTAAGCTAATTTCATTTAGTTACTTTTTCTTTTCTTTATGTTTTTATCACTTTTGGTATTAAGTATTCCACATTGTGATAATAGAAGATCTGCCAAAAATAGTGAAATGTTGTGAGAACTTGGATTCCAATTTAATGTGGATGATCTACTGATTAAAGCACTTTCTATACATTTTTGTCTTAGTAAATTGCTTGCTCTTTTAATTAAAGCAGAAATTTTTAATTCAAAATTTTATATATATATATATATGTGTGTGTGTGTGAAAATATATAGAAAATAGAAAATAACTCGTTAGGTAAATAATCCAAAGTTCTTTAGTATTTTTGTTATTATTTTAAAAAAACAGTGCTTGATACAAAAGTAGAGCCTAAATATAATTATTTATTTAAAAATATGATTCCATCGCTACATAAGAGTTCTCATGTTTCAAAACAAGAGCCGAAAACTTCACTATAATTATTTGAATTAAAGTACCGAGCTCTGTTCCATCTTCAAGCGAAAATTTTTTTTTGAATAACTAATTCTTGAAATTTACACGTTTTTATAAGCATATTCATTATTAAAATTAAAATTACTATGGTAACAGCTAGAGCAGTTATTTAAAAAAAAGGAGTGTAAGGGTTAATAATTTGTATCAATATCTCAATTACATTCAGAGAGGTCAAGTCAGGGTAAGGTTGGGGTGTCTAAATTTAAAGCGGAAGATGACATTGTCTAGTCTGGTGAATTGTCTATGGAGATTTATTTATTTTTTTTATTTTATTTTCTTTCCTGAAAGGGTTTTGTGTATATAAAAAACTGTCATAATTAGCTAACATTTGTTTTTTTTTTGTTTTTTTTTGACGACTTCATAAAGGTTTTTTTTTTATTATTATTATTGAGTAGGGCTTTTAAACTTTTTATTTAGACTATGGTTTGAAACGTGAGAACTCTTATGTAGCGATGGAATCATATTTTTAAATAAATAATTATATATATATATAGAGAGAGAGAGCACATTCAAACTTCTACACTACCCATACTACTTCATACTAAACACACAAAAAATGAGCTAACAAAATCCATGAAACCAAACAAATGCTTCCAACAAAAATAATACAAAATTCATAATCCTACTCTCCAACACGTCAACTAAACTTGAAAATGAATTAGTCATCCTTAATATGAGGATTGTTACAATCACCTCCAAAACTATCAAAGATATAATCAGGATGAAAAATAAAATAAAAAAAACAATTCAAATGCTGGAGTTTATCAAATAAAATGTCTTCAGTGCAATGATCTAAAAACCTGCATCCAGGAATACAAAAGAGATTTGTATTTAGATAAGCATTCAAATTCTCTTGTATTACACTGCAACAACATAGGACATAACTTTAATTTCACCAATGCCAGCCTTATCAAAAAAAGAACATAACCCTTTAAAGAGAAAAACTACATTATATCACCATTTTTCTACAGATTATTCATGAATCTAACTTATCACTTCCAAATGCATAAAAATCAATATATATACAAAATATGCACAAAATATATTTTAATGAATTTTTTTTCAAAAGATCCTGCAGTGTCTCACTAACCTTTACACACTTTAGCATCCACAATGTTTTCTTACTTATTTGAATATTATCTGTTACACATGACATGTATCCAGTCAAAACATCCTACCACATCTTACTTTTACACACTTTGTTGAGAATGTTTGCCACACATATTTGAATATTATCTGTTACTTCATTACACACAACACATATCCAATAAATAGTTAAACACAACATACCATTAATCTACGTCTCTTTGCTTGTTATCATTTCTATCTTGATCTCTGATGAAGCTTTAATAAAGGGAAACGTGTTACATTAAGATCAGTTTCCTACTTGTTCTTTATCCTATCATATATATATATATATATATATATATATATATATATATATATATTATAAAAACATTATTTTTAGTGGATACCTGTATTTGCACCGTCTGGTAGAATTTGAACCTGCATCCTCCTTTGTAAGAGGAACCACCATCTGATCAGGTGTGCTTAAGTCTTTGAATGAAGTCTGTGATTAGTTCATTTTGCTGTTCCCCACAATCATTCCAAAGATCCCATTACAATTGGTTTAAAAAGAAAGAAAATATTTGAATTATGTTTCAGTACCAAATCACATGAAAATACATTCTGAAAGTTTTGTTTTCTTACTTATATTATGTAGCAGTTACTCATCAAAGTGACTAACATAACTAAAGTGATACAAATGATTTTCAGTGTGCGATTTGGATATTTTGAGTATCATGACTATGATTTGCATTACATAGCATTGGTTATTCACAAATAATTTCTTCATGTGATTGCAATCATCATTAAGATTCAAACAAAGAATTTGCAAACCACTTTTGACATATTTAATTATTCATTGTACCTTCTTCATGAACTTCCTAAATCTTTTATTTTCTTTGCATTTAAGTTTAATTTTTACCTTTTTTAAAATTCAAAAATACATAATATAGTAAAAATATTGCTTAATTTACTATTAAAATCAGTAAATAAAAATGTACCAGTTTTGAAAAATTTTTATAAAAATTCATACTGATATTATAGCTATCATGGCACAGTCAAAAGTGACTCTTTTGAATGTAGTTAAAAATAAATGCTTCTAATACTATGTGACAAAAACAAAGCAAACATTCTGGCCAGTCATCTCTGTTTATGTAAATGTTTGATATTTGTTAACACTCAGTTATTTATAAATACCTCATATTAATTTTTTATAAAGATTCCCTTGTGTTCACCTTCAAATGTTTTTTTTTATCTTTGAAAATAAATTATTAGTTTTTGTTCCTTAATTCAATTCACCCATCCTCAAGTACATGGGTGATCACCCTTGCCGACGAGGAAGGGCACTGAATGAATTAACAGATGAAATTTTCAAGCCAGCATTAAAAACCGTAAGTAATTTTTAGAAGACTAAGTTTACAAAACTCAATAATGGAATTTCTCAAATTCAGTGACAAAAATAATTTTCAGTTTTATTTTTGCATTTATTAAAGGCAAAGAAATGGTAAAAAATTAATATTTTATTTTTATTATATTCTTTTCATTTTATTGTTGCTTTTTATCAGAATGTTTTAAATGAAATACCCTCCAAGTTTGTAAAACAAAGTAGAAATAAAAAAAATAGCTTCTGCTAAAAGTTGATAGGGGTCAATTTTTTGTCAAAAGATATTCCTTTGTTCCTACTTGATGTTATTTTAATGGCCTGAGGGAATATTGTGATCAAAAGTAACAATAAAATGAAGAGAGCTAATCAAAAGTAACAATAAAATGAAGAGAGCTAATCAAAAATGAATAAGGAAAATACTTGATCTCTAAATTCAAATGAATTAAGTTTAATAAATTGCTTTTTCTATTTCAGGAAATCCTCCGTGATGAAGTCTATTGTCAGATTATTAAACAACTAACTGATAACAAAAACAAGTAAGTCTTTGGTTTCAGTTAATATTCATTTGAAAACAACTTTAGATTAAAACTATTTGATTTTTATACTATTTATTTTCATTCCAAGAAGAAAAACATAAAAATCTCATATGTTTATTTTTATACATTTTGATGTGTAGTATAGTTTTCTTTTTTTTCTCAAACATTGATCCATTTACTGTTAATTAAAATCTGTCCAATTATGGGATATTCAGGATTGTTTGGGCATATTTAAGTATATTTGATATACATTATTTTTAAAAATCTTTTTAGAAGTTAATCATTGTTTATTAGTCAATTAAATCTACATTGCTTTCCTAACAGACATACTCACTTCAAATCCTGCAAAACTCATTCTGTCTTATAAACAACAATTGTGTGAACAAAATAATTTATCAAGGTGAACATTTTTTTGATTTGTGAATTAATTATTAAATTTCTAGGTTTGTATTTAAAATGTTATTTTTTAGAGGGATAACCTTAATTTTTCAATAAAAAAAATAATATATAAATAATAACCATAAAAAGTAAGATGCAAAAGTTCAAAGCATCCAAGGTCAAATATGAAGTGTGAAAAGATTGTATTGTACCAGTTTTGCAATTGGGAATGGCTTCACTTGATATTTACAAAGTTAATTCATTATATTCTGTGCCCAGTTAAGAGAAGTAGCAGGTAGGAAAATTACATTGCCCTAGTCTTTGAAATGTAGAGGACATGCCTGAATTGATGTTCATGAAGCTTAGCTTGATACAACACAAAACCAAATAAAAAGTAGAAAGATTATATTACACCAATCTTTTAAATGAGAAGGGACTCCCTACTTAGAAAATCTTCAAAATTACAATCTTTTATCTAGGTTGAAACACTGACTTCTGGCACCTGTGGAAAATAGGTAATCTTACCACCCACCCTCCTTGAACATATCCTACTGTTAATATTCCACATATTTTCAAGTAGCCTCTAAATTTTCAAATCAAAATTCCATCACCTTTCACATCTAAGCTTAGCCTAGTCTGACAAAAGGCTAAATAAGAGCAAAAAGTTTGTTATGCTTATGTTCCACTCTACTGCTTGCCTTGAAAATCAACATTCAAAATCTTGGCTTTTAGTTTGACTTAAACACTGACCACTGATGTAAGATTTACAGTCATCTCAGCCACCAAGCAGGCCTACATTTATTCACATATATAGTTATTTTTTAATACTAAAATTCACAATACAAGGCTTGACAACTACTCAAGATAGAGGGTTAATGTTAAGATGATAATGATGAATGAAATGTATGATATGAATGAAAGAGGAGCTGAAGATATGGAGGATAGATAATAATTGATCCTTGACTGGAAGATGTTAAGATTGTAGTGTTCAGGGAAACACCCACACGAGTGTCTATTCTACAAATTGCCCATTCTGTGGAAAATGCTGTTTGAGTGGAAATTTCTTTTTACATTTGGAATGTGGAAGAAATGGAAATGATTCAATTCTATGGAAGTAGCATGGTATCTTAGCAGTAAGGATTTGAACTGGTGGAACTAAAGACTGGAGCTCATCTGAACATTTACCATGGAAATAGTGATAGGTGGGAAGGGGGCTGCAGAACAGAGAATAAGTCTTCATCACAATACTGCATAAATGATTTTGAACTCTATCAAAAACTGAAAAAGTAAAGATTGTGCAGCTCTAACCCAGATATGGCGGCAATACTTTATTTTTGGTCTAGTCTAACTCTTGTAAAGATAAAACAGGACAGGAGTCAAGCACTTCCTGAGTAATAGAATGAACTGACCATTTTTGCAACAACTTCAGCAATAGATTGTATACACAAGTTCCACTTGAGGTTTTAATTTGGCACAAAGATAAAATGGTTGGGAGAATCAGGATAGGAAAATTGAGCTGTATCAACTTTAATATGTGAGGAGGACTCAATTGTCTTGAAATTCAGCATTCAAAATCCTGGTTTTTTTCGTTGGTTCAAACACTTATCACTGGTACCAGTGTAACTACTTTAGACATACATATGACAGATCTCAGTTTTTTTTTGTTGTTTTGATATGTATTGATTTGTATACAATTGTTAATGACTTATTTTATTCTTATGAACAGGTTGAGTGAAGAAAGGGGTTGGGAGCTGATGTGGCTGGCAACTGGCTGTTTTGCCCCCAGTAATGTACTGCTGAAAGAACTTACCCAGTTCTTAAGGTCCAGACTTAATCCTCTAGCCAATGACTGTCTGCAGCGGCTCCAGAAAACCCTCAGGTAAAACAGTTGACAAATTTATTTGAGTTTTGATTTAAAAATCTGTTTATGCTTTAAATATTACTACAATTACATTTGAACAATATGTCTGGACTGAAATAATCATATTTTTCGCTTGGTTTCAATTCAATTTTTTGATTTAAAAATCTGTTTATGCTTTAAATATTACTACAATTACATTTGAACAATATGTCTGGACTGAAATAATCATATTTTTCGCTTGGTTTCAATTCCTTAATACATTTATTCATAATTAATATTTGGTTAGCAAAAATTAATTTGTTTTTGTTATTTTAACCTGAGCAAAAATGATATTGCTGAAGTTTTATAAAAAAAATCTTGGCAAATAAGTCAGAAAAGAAATAAAAGTATACAACATTAATATCAGTCTTAGAAGTGACAAAATATTTCTATTTGAAAAATAAAAAAAATTTAACACACTAAAGAAAGTGCATACGACAACTGAGTTTATCAAAAGTTGAGATTAATTTTTTTCATTATTAATATTTAATTAGCTTTCTTCATCTTATTTTTATCTGAACATTGTATGGTTTAATATCTGATTGTTAAAATAAGTAACAGGAATTAGAATGAGGTAATAGCTTCTGATAAGACTTGAACCTTCATCCTATATCTCAAAAGCTCATCTTTCTTCATGAGGAGTTGATAAGTCATAAAACAAAACAACCAACTCTTCTTTCTTCTGCTGCTACTTTATTCTGATTCATCCTGTTTATTTACAACATATCTACAGAATATTGTGATAAAATGCAACAATAAGAGGAATAAATACTAAAAAATGAATGAATGTGCAGTCTTCTTTTAATTCAGAAAAGAGTTAAAAAAAATTAATAAAGGAAGGAATTAAAGATAAAAAAAAAGAAGCAGATTTTATTCATAAACCCATTTTAATCTTAAGGATTTAAAGGTTAAGACTTCTTGTTAAGAATTTAAATATATATATTTTTATGGGGATATTTCTAGTAATGTACTTTTCAATCGTCATTTCATATATATATATATATATATATATATATATATATTATGTCCATTCAGGGCATGATCAATTGTGGCTTTCCACAGATTCCTTTTCTTTATCTCTGAATTTCCATGACTTTTTCAGAAAGATAGTTGAATGTTTTCCCATTGTCTTTTTCACGGTTTTGAATTCTCCTAGACTACCTGCTACTCAAGACTAGAAAAGCTAGTCTACCTTGGTATTTAACACATAGCTTAGTTGGGAGACCTGATGGATTCATGCCTTTTACCTAGAACTTAGAGAGAAATGAATGTAACAGACTAGGCCAGAATTTGAACTCAGCCTACCAATTCTTTCTATTATTTAACCCACACCTATCTCTTTGATAAATATATATATATATATATATATAAAAAGTGAACATTGAAGTCAACACTCAGAGGCAACAGGCTGTTTCATGCTGGACACAATCATCAGGCAAATGCTGCATTTTTCCTCAGCTATCTATATATGTGTGTCAGTGGTGCATTGTGGGTAATCTATTCTGGTGGTTATTTTGGCGGGAATGGCTTGTTTGGTTATTTATTTATTTGGGTTAATTTATTTTACTTGTTTTTCATTTTGTATTATTTATTCTTTTTGCTTTTTGATGTTTTATTAATGTAGTAAAAAATTTGGTTGGGTTGATTTGCTGAGGTCACTTATTTAATAGTTTGTTTTGGTCTGGGAAGATAATTAAAGCTATTTATTCGTCCAATGTTTAGATTGCTTGCTGTAGTCTATTCTCTTATTTTAATGGGTGGACAGTTTTTAATTTATTTATTTCAATTGATTATTTTTACTTTGGCTTATTTATGCTTATTTTTATTAGTTCTAACAATTATTTTAGTGGGGATGATTTGTTAATTTGTTCATTTATTTGGATTAATTTTTATTAGTATTTTTATTTATTTACTTATTTTTTATTTTGCATATTTTTATTTATTCTATAATCACCCCAAGCAAACAAGTCCACAAAATAACCACCAGTATAGATTACGCACAATGAACCACTGACCCACATATATAAATAGCCAAGGAAAAATTCAGCATTCGCAGCCTGATGATTGTGTCCAGCATGAAACAGCCTGTCACTTCTGAGTGTTGACTTCAATGTTCACTTTTATATTTGTTTACATACGCTCTATCTCTGATACTGAGCACTTTATCCCATAAATATAGCACACCTTAAAACTATATTTTTTCATATATATATATATATATATATATATATATATATATATATAACAACAACTCATCTGCAAGATCAAAATTACAGAGGACTAATATTATTTATGAATTTACATGTCCCTTAAGGAACTTGTATAAAAGAGTGATTTTTTTTTTTCCCCAAATACACAATTTTACATATATATATATATATATATATATATATATATATATATATATGTGATTTAAGTTTTTATTCCATGTGGCTCCAGCTCTTTATGTCTGACTATCATGGTTAACTTGCTATAAATTTATCTTATGACATTGTAGTTTATATGAACACTACCAAACTTGAGTGATAAATTAAAGATCTTCTCTATTCTTGGACTTTCAGATTATTAATAATAATGTTTAGTTAATAAAATCTCTCCTATCATCATTATCATCACCATAAAAGTCATTTTATTAACTAATCATTATTATGAATTACTGGTCATAATGTTCTGAAAGTCGAAGAATATATAATATGCAATATATCTTATTTAATGCACTGAATATGTAACTTATTTGTAATAATTATGAAATTATCATGCTTTAGATTTATATTTATTTTTATAGTAACTCATTCTAACTAAAATAAAAAAGTAAATAAGTAAAAAATACAGAACAATCTTTTGATTGCTTTTTTATTGTTTTGTTTCTCTCTGTAAAAACATAACAAATATTTTAAATCCAAAATATGAATATTTGCCTATATAAATTAATAACTCAAATAAATAATAAATTTTCAGCAATATTTTATCATAAATTGTAACTGTTTATCTCACTCTAAATTCTTTTTCAGAAATGGAACTCGCAAATATCCCCCCCACCATGTTGAAGTAGAAGCAATAAGACATAAAACAACTCAGATTTTGCACAAAGTTTATTTCCCAGATGATACTGATCAGGTAAGTGGCCAGTGTTTAAGCCTACATAAAAATTCATGATCTTGAATGTTGATTTTTGTGAGTCAATCAACTTGGATTAATGTTGGACACAGATTCAGTTCCTATTTTACTTTCTTATGACTTACAACAAATTAAGCAAAGTTTAGTAAATCTCAAGAAATGGATAATCTACAATATTCTTATCAGATAGATCTATCAAATGGAAACACTAGCAACTAATTTGTACTTGATCTTCTCACAAAATCATAGTGTAATGATTTCTAATTTCTTTTATTAAATTCAAAGAATTTTCTATTTATATATATATATATATATATATATATATATATATATATATATGCACAGTTCTTATTTGAAAGTGCTCAATATCAGTGATAGAGCTAACATATTTAATTGAATGGATATGAGTTTGTAACAAATTCATATTCAACTAATATATATATTAAAGATATGATAAAGTGGAACATGTTTTTGTGTGACACATTTTGTCCTTTAAGACTTCAGCAGACTAAAGTGATGTTTACATTGATGTGATTACATATGTGGATGAAATAAAAGGGATACTGAGAATTTCAAATCTTTTTTTTTTAAATGTTTTGGGTATATAGTCTAACTGATTTCATTTAATTTTTTTTTTTTTGTTCATGTTTCCATCACTTTTGTTATTAAATATCATGCATTGTGATAGAAGATCTGCCAAGAAAGGTGAAATGTTGTTTTTATATATATATATATAGTGGATACACAGGTTTGATTTAATCTGTTGGACTTAATCCATATTTTCCACTTATCTTCAATGTTATAAAAACACTAGAATAGTCCTTGAAATTTTTTGAGAGGGGAAGCTCAGATTTTACTCATATTCTCAAATCGAAAATACTTGAAATTGAAAGAGAATATTAAAGTAATGATCACTCTTTCAAATAACTGACCATGCTTGCATTGCTTAACTTTGAGAAATCTGAAATATCTGAACTCAAAGCAAAAACTTATTATTGTAAGTCAAAAAATAAATTTAACATGTGATTAAATGTTTACATTTGATTTATCATTGAAGTTTAAATTGTTAATGTCTTTCATAGTTTCAAGTCAAAAACTTTATTAATGTAAAATCTATTTCAGGCTTTCGAAGTTGATTCTAGCACAAGAGCCAAAGATTTCTGCCAAAACATTGCCCAAAAATTACGCCTTAAATCTTCAGAAGGCTTCAGCTTATTTGTTAAAATTGCTGATAAAGGTAAGCCAGGCTTTGTTTGCTTCAATATTGCCTAGAAAAGTTTTTCTTCATTAGAATTCTACTCAAATGAACTGGATCAAGTAGAGATAACTCTTTAGAGGAAATTTAAAAATCAGTCACCATTATGTTTATTTGAATATACCTTGCAATTTATGTAATAATATTTTTACTCTTTTAATAATGTTTAAATGTTAATGTTTATTTCTTGGAAAATAGGAATAGTTGATTGACATTTTGCTGTATAGAATACAGTAAAGAATTGATACAAATAATTTTAGATTAAGATATTTTTTTCTATTAACAAAAATCTGTTTTGAAGAACTTATGTTCATGGTTGATTCATGCTGTGGACAAAAAACTTGATTCATTTGCAATTTGAATAAATCCCAACTTCTGTGAACAATAAATATCTGTGGGAATAATGTAAAAGTCCACTGTGTATTGGACATTAGAAAAAGGCATGGCTCTATCATCTTTTGCCTATGGGTTAAATAAAAGTGCAGACTGGACTCTCTTGCTTTGATATGGCAACCAGAAAAACTCTGAATTCAAAATCAACCTGAAGAGGATTGGGCTCTGTCACTCTTGCCCAAGACACACCACTGATGCTACAATTGCAGTATATGTAGTGCTCTTACAATCCTAATGTGTTATGGGTTTTGTGACATGTTAGGTTTAAATAGTGGAAATGGCATTTAAATTTTGTCATTTTAATAGACAAAAGCTTGCAGTGTACTTTGACTGGAAATATGCTCTTATTATTATTTTCTTTGACAAGGTTTTTATACCAGAGATTTTGTATTATGGGTACATTCTGTCAAGTTATATAACCTCAGACAGAGAGCACCTTTTGTCGAATATTTGCAGGACAAAGCAACACACACTTTTGAAATTATGAGATACTCTTTATTCCAATTTTCTTAATGTAGGCTTATAATTTTGATGGTATAAACCCAAATGATAACTGAGACAGTAATGGCTTGAGCATCTCACCTTCTGGCAACTTTAATCTGGAGGTTGGTGTATCTTGAGGATTTGTGAAAATACAGATTAGCAGGATTATTCTATGATTTGCTAGTAGCAGGTTAAAAACCAGTAGGAACCAGGCTTTTCACTCCAAACTTGCCATAGAGGTTGATATATCATTAAACTAAAACAATCTGAATTTGCCATGACTAACCATGGCTCTTCCAGTTGCTCTCATAGCTTGTTTTAACAGACTTGCAGTTATGACAATTTACTTTTTTATTATTTATTTCCGTCATTGCAAAAATGGGTTTATTGATATAAGGTTGTTCCTTCTCTAGTGTATTTTGTCATTTGTTATTATTTATGTTTTAAACTATTTCCTTAATAAAATCTGAATTATGAAGACATATGTGAAATTTAAAAATAAGCTTTTTAATTTAGATTTGGTATTGTTTTCTGTTGCAGTTATCAGTGTTCCAGAAGGAGATTTCTTCTTTGATTTTGTCAGATATTTGACTGATTGGATAAGAAAAGCAAGACCATCAAGGGAAGGTAAGAAGAACCACCATTTTTATTTTTTATTCTAACTTTGTTTAAATTTATTTTGCCCTGTTTAGAGCCATTTTGATTCATTTCTTTTAATTTTTTTTCTTGTAGGCTCTGTATCTCCATTCACATATCAGGTCTTCTTCATGAAGAAACTGTGGACTAATACTGTTCCAGGAACAGATATCAATGCTGATACTATTTTCCATTACTTCCAGGTCAGTTCTTTCTCTTTGTTTTTTTTGTTTTGTTATAAAGTGATTTCTCTCTTCTTAGAGATATTGTTTCCTCTCACTTTTCTGCCCTCCCTTGCACTACTAGACTACCTGCACCCCCAAGTATTTTCATGTGTATTCACGGTGCAATGGGTAAATTGTTGCCAGTTTAGATTTTTAATTTCATGTTTGTTTTTGATTTTGTCAACTGCACAATATAGTAGGGTTAGTTGGGCACTGTCTGTGAGAACAAGCACTCTGCTAGAAATTTGGAAACAGCATGTTCTATTGCTTGGCATTCATGCTGGAAGTGCCAATATGAATATTTCAGAGTGTTTGGGTGTCAATCTGAGAACAGTGCAGAGGATTAAACAAAAGTTTTCGATGATATATGTTTGAACCAGATATAAGTAAAATTATTAGCTGATCTTTTATCATCTTGTATTAATGTGGGAATGTTGATGTCCTTTAAATTATTTTAAAGCTGTATATTTTACATAACCTTCTAATTTGAGTGGTGCTTAGGCCTTGTACCAAGTGAATATGATTGTGTAAGAATATATGTGTGTGTGTGTGTATAATATATATAAACATTATTATATATCTAAGCCAAAACAACCACTACTTCTACTTAAAGAGGGATGACTGGCAGGACTTAATATAAATTAACTCTTAAATCTTCAAGTGAAACTCAGAGTGAGCTTTACTCAATAACATCTTGGTTATAGAACCAAGCCCATTGATGGTTGTTCAATAAATGTTCAGCTAGTGTCAAATCAGTAGTGTTAATGCACTTATGCGGATTGTCCAAATTTAATTTAAAAATTTTTAACATCATGCACCAGTTTTGGAAATAAAAAAAAATGGAGAAGGGAAAAAACACAGTTTTTGGATGCACCTTCTTGAGTAAAAGTAGAAAAACTACTAAGGGCAACAAGGGATAGGAAATTTTGGCGAGCTATGATTGCCTATGACCTGAAGGAATATGGCACATAGAAGAAGTGATATAAAAATTGATTTGTTTACATTAGCTGTTTTAACACTGACAGAAATTTGTCAAAACTGAATGCATTTAAAATTTTTTTTAAATTAAATTTACTTTTCTTTATTTTTTTCACTGCAGGAATTGCCAAAATATCTACGAGGTTACCACAAGTGCAGTAAGGAAGATGCTGCCATTTTAGGTGGTCTTATCTATCGTGTGAAATATGGAGATGATAAATCACAGCTTCAGAACATTCCGTCAGTTTAATTTCTTTTTTACTTAAATGTATTGTTTTTATCATTAATCAAGAGAAATTAAAATATTTCTCTCATAAGTTTAAATTAGATTCTTTTATATATGATTTATTATTTTACATTTTCAGTCCACAACTTTTATTATTATTTATTTTCATTTATAAAAAGAAATGGAAGGGGCAAAGTAGACTTGATAGACTTGTTGCTATATCTGGTCTGGTTCTCCTGCTACATATTTAGAGATTCTTGATAAAATCCAAGGAAGAATCTGCAGTGTTACTGGTCCTGACCTGGCACCTCCACTTCAGTCACTTTCGCACCACCATAACATAGCTTCACTATGCCTTTGCTAAAAATACATTCATGGTAATTGTTCTGATGAACTTTCCTTTTTGGTACCTAAACTTTATTAATTTAAGCATAGTACTAAATTGATGCCAAGGGACCATCATTTTACAGTTGAAATAGCTAGATGTAACCATAAGTTCTATGCTAACAGTTTCTTCTGTCATGCTTCTCACTTGTGGAACTCTCTTCTAGCTTCTTGCTCCCTAGTCAACTTTGGTCTTCAAAAGTTAAATGCAATGTCAATCATTATTTTCTATTGTCTTAACTTCTGTTCTTTTATTGTTTTCTCTCCTTAATAGTTTTTTCTTCTTCTTATATTCTCTAACACTCAGTAACAGCAAAAAGTTTTCAATTTTATTAAACCCTTACAAAGAGATATCTGTGATCTAAGTAAGTCAGGTGTATATCAACATATGACTGTATATGAGAAGGTGATATAGTGTGAGGTTACGGTTGAGTCCTAATCTAATACTTATAATTGCATTGTGCTCAAATTTCTCCCTGGAAAAAACCAAAAGGACCACTCAAGGTGTCTAAAATTAGTAGTTTGTATCTATGATGGTTGTTTTCAATAGTAAAAAAAAAAAAAAAAGAAAAGAAATTTTTTTTTTTTTTTTTTTTAAATATTGGTTCAGAAGAGAATAGTCAATTCCTTCCTCTTATCTTTCAAATATTTTTAACAACAACAATAATAAAAAAAATGTTCTCATATATTTGATGATAATTTTATACTTTTATTATTTTCTTATCTATTTTTTGCTTTCTAAAGTAATAATAATAAGCAGTCCATGTTTGTTAATGTGTGGCTTCTCCTTGTCATAGTGAAGGGGATTCAGAGCGATGCCGTCAGTAGTTCTAAAGGGCCACCTTTGTTGACTAAGTCAAAGATGAGGACCCAGATTAAGTGCAACCAACCCCAAAGCCCCTAACAAGCAGATAATGAGTACTACAGATCTCAATGGCTCAGCCAGCAGATGAAGAGGGCTACACATGATGGACATGCTACAGAAGGTGCCACTTAAAATTATAATACAGTGGCAGTCTGCTACAGCTTCATAACTGAATTCTACATGTCTCATTCATATGGTAATGATATCAAGTCTGTAGGTCACTTCCTGTCAAATTGAAGTCCACCTTAAATAAATACATGCCATCAGCACTTTCTTCTACTCTGATTTTTTTTTTTCACCTCTGACCAATGCTTGCAAAGCCAAACAGTGACAGGGAATGGATGATGGCAGCAGGTTTCAGTGAAACTGGAAACTTCTAATCTTGAACCTGCATGTTGGCATCAAATTTAGTCATCAACTCCATCATCATAAAGGAAGAGATCAGCAATGAAGAAATTAAATTCTTGGATATGAGATAAAGCCAACAATGATGATTATTTTCATCAATTCTTTCCACAATGTCATTAAAACAGGAAAATAATGTTATAAAATTAAAGCACAAAGCAATTTGTTTTCAGTGCAGAATTTTTTCAAAAAATATAAATCATTCTTCAATAATTTATCACTTTATTCACAGTATATTTTATAAAATTTGACAGCTGCCAATATTAAGTCTAAATAAATGAAGGTCTAGAATATTTTGTCAAATTTAAGCCTATTTGATTTGAAAGTTTTAATATTTGATTAATTATTGGTAAATATTTTGATGATGATCCTTTCTCAGCAACTTGATTTTCGAACTTCAATAAATCAAAATTATATTTGATTGATTTTAATCTTGTGTTTTGATTTCCATTTCAGGAGAGTCTTAAAGGAATATGTTTCTGCTGACCTCATAAAGACACAATCTGCCGAAGACTGGAAGAGAGTAAATTTCAGATTTTCTTTCATTTTATTTTGAATTTGAATTTTTCTATATATTTTTTTTTCAGTTTAAAATAGTCATTCTTGATTTTAAAAAATGGGGCCAAATAGAACCACAGTATCATGATAAAAAGAAACAATAATAAAATGAACTAAAATTCTAAAACTGGTAAATAATATTTTTCCTTTATATTAACTATATGTTTCAACATTTTAGAGTTTTTAATATCAAAGTAGTTTTTGCAGTAATTATTCCATATTTCCACAAAAACAAATGAATAAAGAAAACAAATAATAATGAAAAGTCCCAACCGCATTTTAGGGTGGTTAATCCAAATCATTGTTTTAATGAAATATGATTTTCATATGCAAAACATTTATTAAGAAGAGTAATGAATCCAGATGAATTTGTATCACATTCAAAATGGCTATTTTGTTTTATCTCAGCAAATTATTACACAGTACAATGAGGTTGTAGGGAAGACAGATCAAGAAGCCAAGATTGAATTCCTGAAAAGGATTGCAACATGGCCCACATTTGGATCAGCTTTCTTTGAAGTGAAAGTAAGTAAACATGTTTTTTCCTTTTTATTCTTGTTATTCTGCTCTTACTTTTGAGTGAGAAAAAATTTGAAGAATAGAAAAATGTTTTATTTCATTTAATTTTGGTAAAGTATCTCTAGATATTGTTATTTATAGGTTTGAATAGTTTATTTGTTTACTATCTCCTCAACTGGGTTTTGTAGAAAATGTATCTGCTTGTTAAGGGGTTAAATAGTAAATTGAATTTATTTACAGATATATAATTAAAAGATGTTGCTTAAATTTATCTAAAAAGTTATTAATTTTTTACATCAACTTTTTCTTTTAAAAATTGTTTTCTTTCTTAAAGATGCTATTAAATGACATAATCTAATTACATATTCCATCCATAATAGAAATGTTTTGATTATATAAGAATTATCTAACATACACAAATGTAGTACTTCAAAGTATATTGTTAGTCAGTACCATCTTTAAGAAAAAATGAATTTGACATTAAAATATTAATATATTTTTAGAGAGATTTAAGAAAATTCTAACATTATATCATATTTGTAAATAAATTCAGCTTACTATCTAACCTGATGAATGCATAATGTATACCATTTCTGCAAAAATGTTTAAATAGTTAACATAATTATTTATATTTTTATATATATATATATATATATATATTATTTTTTTTTAAATATGATTCCTTTGCTACATAAGACTTTTTTTTATATATTTACACACACACACACATATATATATATATATATATATATATATATATAATTTGTAGGCAGTGTAAAATAAATCTGTGAAAAATTGAGTAAATATTATTCCTATTCTAACCTTTTAATTTAACAAAATGATGCATTACATGAATTATATAAAGGTTGCACCAAATGTAATGCCTCTTAATTATATTTACCCACCCACATCACAAGTGGATGTTGGTGTTAAAGGTTGAACCTTGCCAATAAGATTTAATGTTTTTGTTGTTTTGTTATAGTTTTCTTGCAAAATAACATGTAAAGTGTATATGAAGCAGAAGTGTATCATTGAATTTCTCAGTGTAAAAAGTTGCACCCATTAAGATTGATGCCTGCTGTATGTTTTCGAGATCAGACAATGGGTATGAGCACAGTTGGGTCATAGGTAATACATTTCAACATTGGTGACAGGGATTGCTGTGACAAGCTGTTTTCCAGCTCCCAGTCCATAAAATGGAGAGGGTCTCAAAAATGCATAGTCAATGATGGTAGCTATATGGAAAAAAAAAGTGTTTTGCTCCCTGTAGCTGTAATGGAAATAAGAGGCATTACTTTCAGAGCATCCTTGCATGTCTATATTTAAGCTTATTAATCAATTTACTTATCTAGATTTTACATTTTTGTATATATAGTGTAAAATCTAAGGAAACATTTAATCAATTATGTTTCCCATGCAAAGTTTGAGAGTTCATTATTGTTTTCTATTTCAGCAAACAACTGAAACTCATTATCCAGAAATTCTACTTATTGCCATCAATAAGAATGGTGTGAATTTAATTCATCCACAAACAAAGGTAAGTGTTCCCTTGTTGTGTAAAACTGACAATTTCTCTAACCAACTAAACAAAAACATTTCTGTTGATATATTTTGATCCTGTAACAAAAGTCTTCTCAAAAGAACAAATCTATTTCAGAATGAATCAGGCCTACCTACTCTGTCTAAACCAATGAAAATTTTTGTTTCCCTGTCCTCTATTTTCATATGTATTCATTATAAAAGGGAATTCATGATCATCATCAGTCAAATGTCATATAGTTACTTGTGCAGCTTGGGTACCTGAGCAGTTCCCTCCACATAACTGGGTTGAAAGCCAGAGTAGTATTCATTTATGTGTATTATGTTGTGGGCAAGTACACCTGGCGGAGTCCATCCCTCTCCCAGTTAAACCACAGCCACTTGAAGGCTTGACTTGGTCACAGACACATGGTTGCTAATTCCATCAGGGAAATCCTCTACTGTGGGCATTGACTTCTGTCTAGGAAGCCCTCTAGCCAATAATGCTAGGTCATCATTACACTAACTGCATACATAACTATGAAGCCCAGGGCACTTTGACGTGGTGTAATGGTTAGCAAGCATGTCTTGCTAGAACAATTATAGCTTAGTAGTGAGTTTGATTCTCACTAGGTGTGTTGTATAGGAAACCTACCACCCCTCTTGAAGATGAACTTGTCTACAAACAAAGACGTTAAATAGTGGCATGTCAAAAGACAGACAGAGTCGGAGAAGTTCTTGGCTGAGCTAGTTATAGACTACTCAGGCGATTGCTGTACCTACTTACCAACCGAATAAACCCCTTTTTATTGTTACATGTTATTTGGCGTTTGTCTTTACTAACCCCAAATCAACATCATAACAAGGTGCCTCATCGTTTTGGCCTTGTGCCACATCTAAACTATAAAGCCCAGTCTACCTTGTTGTGCTTCATGGTCACTGACCCTACAAGAAGGTTCATCTGCCCTTTGACAGGTCTTGTTTTTTACCCTGTTGTGACCACTGTCCTCACCAGAAAAGCCTGGTGGTGGAACCAGTTTAGTCACAAATGACCTGGCTATATGGCAGGTAGTACTGGGTTACATAGTATCAGAAACACTCATAGAGTGACCTGACATAAAGTTGACAATTATCAAAATTAAAGGCTTTTCTCTGTTTTTTCTAAAGTCAGAAATATCTGTGGTCAATGGCTTGTTACTCTATGGTTACAGATGCAATCAAAAGAGAACTTTTTTAAACAACTGAATATTGAATCTTTCTTTTTTTAATATTAAAAATGTATTAGCACTTAAAAATATATTTTTCATCTAACAAAAAATTTGGTAATGATTAAAAATTTATTAAAGAAATATCTTTAGACAGATTTTTTTTAGCCACTATCAGAAGAAAATTATTTTCTTTTTGGCACAAGATTTGAAATTAAATATTATACAAATGAAAAATACTCAGTGAAAAATATCCATTCAACTAGCCATATTTTTTAAATTAAGAATTCTATTAAAATTATTCAGTGACTAGATTTAAAGAATTATTTTACAAAAACTCTCCTATGAATTTTAAAGAATTAAAAAAAATATCCAATCAAATATTAAAAGAATTTTTTCATTTGGAGGGAATGGGAGAAGAGAGGATGTCCCCTCTTTTATACCAAACATTAATAAAGGCACATAAACACAAGACTCATAACTACAATGTGAAACTTAAAAGAACAAACATTTTAACAAGTTACAATATTTTACAGGATGAGCTTGCACAAAAATTTCCTTTTGTGGGACATATAATATATCAAAAATATACAAGTTATTTTAAAAGATTTCAAAAAAATCTTCAAAAATTGGGAAAAAAAATTTGAGAAGTTAAAGCAAAATTTAGATAAGACAGAAAATACTTTTTGAATAAAAGAGTTGCATCCATTTAATAGAAAAACAAAAAAAAATCAGAGAATGAAGAGAGCTTTGACAATTAAAACCACCAGTGTCACAAGGACATTTTATAATTTGTCTTTTATAAAACACAGTTCTATTAACAGGTTTGAGTTCCTTCTTTGAGTATGCTTCTCTGGTTGCATATTGCTTTCCCTTATGGATCCTTATTCTTCAGGATGAAATTTTTGTGTCCCTTCATCTTCTGCCATGGTTGAAACATTCAGTTCTTCGTTAAATATTTGATTACATTTTTCCTTAAAAAAATATTCCTTCAAATTTGAATACCTTCTGAAGTTTATCTGCTGGCCCTTCTCTTTATATAAGAAATGAAGGGGCTCCAGACAGAACTTCAAATTTATGTAGCTGTAAGCCCACACTTTTGATTGGATAATAAATAGAAATTTTACATTTTTTAAAAACAATCCACTTTGACTGAAATATCTTTGGTGCTTCTTTAGCAGTTATTAATAAAAATATTCATTTTTACAAACACAAATGTAGTAAATTTTTATAAACTCTATGACACAGTGAGCTACTCTCCTCAAGGTTAGCATTAGCCATTGTTGTGGAGTAAAGAGTACACCTCTGGTGACTCTATGAACTTGTCCAATACTATAAAGAGCTCCATGTTATGAGGTTGGTAGTAGGTCTTTATACTAACTATACAGGTGTTGCAGCCATAGCCTAAGCATTACATATAGAGAATACTTAATGAATTACATTATACCAAGTACAAGTGTGTGTTATAACAATAACACTACAATAGGAAGTTATTATAGCCATGTTGATGGAAAAGAAAGAAGAAAGAACCTAAAGCTGATTAACAGGGAGCAGTTTTGTTTTAGATGCATTAAAATTAACTAACTACTTCTTGCCTCAGTTCACAACAGATTGTAGGTCATTTTCATGATCTGCTGCAAATTTGATTTTATCAAACCTATTAAATAGGAGTTGACATGCCGTTAAATCCAACATCCATCCAACATCCAAACCTATTAGACTATTAAGACAGGAATAAATAGTTGTCATCCACATTGACATAGTTTGGAAATGGTGACATTAGGAAGGTTATTGATGAAAATAAGGAGCAGAGTGAGTCCATAAAGATATTTGATGCCAGCATTAAAGCAAAAAGATCTAGAGGATTGGCCATTCAAAAGGATCTAGAGGATTGGCCATAAGAAAGATTAAATCAAAGAAATTGCCAGAAAAACCATAACTTGTGAAGAAGACCAACATGCTAACCCCTGTCAAATGATTGAAATATCTAAAAGAGCATGTGGTTTGGCAGTCTTATCAAAAGCTTGACAGACTCTTTCAGCAATAAACATCAACACGTTAGCAGTTGAGCTAGAAAATCAAAGGCTGTAGTGTTTTTTTGAAAGAAGACCCTGTAAGGTGAGATTCTTAACCTATTTGAAGTTGATTAGTACTTAGCCAAAGAGAGGTAGAAGACTAATAGGTCAATAGTTCAAAGGATCAGATGGTTTCCAGAATTCTTAAAAATAGGAATTCAGAAGATGATTTCCAACAATCTAAAAAGCAAGAAGCAGCAAAATATCTATTATGGAGCTTGGAGAGAACAGAAATCAGTCCAGGAGCACATTTCTTAGGGACATTTGCAGGGATACTATCATGTCCATATGCTTTGTAGGGATCAAGTTTAGAGATGGTAGCAGAAATTAGAATAATATGTATATCACTCACTTAGAAGTAAGTCTCTAAGTGGAAAGTCAGGCAAAGGAACTTAATTGGTCAAGAGTAGAATTGGAAGGGAATACGTTCTAATAATGTGCCTGCTATAATTTGAATCTGTCTATTTTGTTCAATTTAACAAATCTTAATTTGTATAGATTTTTTTTCAGTTTTTCTTCACAGATACTACAAAATCCTCTTAGAATGAAGAAGGCCAAAAAATGCATAAGGCCAAAATGTGATAACACCAATGACGATGGGAGTATTTACCTTAACAGCTTGTGGAGAAGAATTTTAGACAATTTTTATTAATTCAGATTTTTGTTTCATTTTCTCTCATTTTACTTAATTAACTGCTAATAATGTGTACCCTCCCTGACACACAATCTTGGAAAGAGACTTTATCAAGATATAGTTAATATCTGTGCATGCATTTTTGTGTGTGTGTATATGTGTATATATATATATATATATATATATACACACACACACATACGCACACACAATTAAATATTGTTAATGGTAAAAGGGATAATGAAACAATGAATGATAATGATCAATACAAAACTGAGAACAAAGCAGATAAGAAAGCAGAAATAATGATAATAAAATACAGCTTTTATAATTCTATAAAATTATTTTCCCATCCTCAAGACTCTCTTATATGATTTAACTTGCCTGTATTTAAATAAGGCTCTCCATTTTAGCAATCCAAAATCTTCCTTTAATAGACAATCTGTATGGTGTGTCTTCCCTATTGATGATAGAGAAACAATTAAATTTTAAATGTTTACACTGATCATTATTTGACAAATGTTTGAAAATTGAGAACTTTATCCACAGTCAAATATTCCATGTTTCATGTTTGTGGAAAAAATGAGACATCTCACCAATATAACTAACTTTGCAGTTAGCCCTTATTAATCTTCTCTTTTCAATAGACCAGTTGAATATTATTATAATCATCTATTTTCCCCTTTCTCTAGGATGTGCTGGCCACCCATCCTTTCACAAAGATATCCAACTGGAGCAGTGGCAACAGTTACTTCCACATGACAATTGGCAACCTGATCAGAGGAAGCAAACTCCTCTGTGAAACACAACTGGTAAATACTTTTTTTATTTATATTATGGAATATTTGAAGTAAAATTGTCATATCCCCCACTCTCTCTAACATTGGTTCGATTCAATATTTAAAAAAAAAAGTTATTTTTCAAAGTCATTTTTTCTTGAGGTATTTGTGCAAAGTAAAATATCTTTATTTTAAAATTAAATTTACACATATTTTCAATCTTTATTTTCATTTGTTGATAACCCCGCCTACCATTTATGTAAGAGTTTTATTGTCAGTATCTGAGATGATGCATCCCTACGCAATTGATTCAGAACATCCACAGAGTAAAGTGGGCTGTGAATGATTTTATATTGGGTTGAAGCATAGTAGATAGTAGAATAAAAAAAAAATGAAGGCTTCAAAGCAGCCAATAGCTGGCCAAAAGGAAATAGAGAAAATAAAGAAGTGTAAACTTTTGGGATCAAGCATTACTTGTCTGGATGGAAGTTAGGAAGTTCTGTTCACAGGCTTATCTAAGCAGAGACACAGTTAGAATTGAGTAGTTCCAGGCCATCCATTAGTAAACAAAAAACAAACAAACATTGATTGTAAAACAATATTTACCATACCTATCTTGCAAGCTTTTCTTGCTAAGTTTATTTCTCTATTTCATAAAACAAATCTCAATATAGAACTCTCATTCTCACAGTTTCACAGTTTGCAAGCTACTGACAGTGAGTTCAGAATGTGTCACATTAAAGTTAACCTTGTCCAATCAATATTTACATACATACATCAGTCAGCCCATAGTCTAATGACGGAAAAAAAGCATTTATTTTACACAACAAATCTCCTTTCTTGTTAATGCACTTAATTCAGTAGTGAATATTATTCACATAGATTAAACATTATCTAATGAAAATGTCACATCAAAATTGACAACCTCTTAGGCTGCAAACTTATTGAAATCTAAGTATTATTACTTGTGAATGCAATTAAAAAAAACTAAATTTCTTAACAGAAATCTGTTGCTTTTATTTTTTAGGGTTACAAGATGGATGACCTTCTGACCTCTTACATCAGTTTGATGCTGACTACAATGAACCGTATGAAACCCAAAAAATAGAGGCAGCCAATTCGACTCACGGACCTTTGTTACTCATTGCTCATGTTAACACTTAATGGCCTTATGCAACAAAATATTTCCTTGGGTGTGTATGGGGGGTGGCTTTCTCTTTTCCATTTTGTAAATGGAGATAAAAGAAAGCATCTAACATGTTTACAAGAAAGCATTCAGTGGAAATTAAGGGGTTTTCTTTTTTGTTTTGTTTTTAACCTTTTTATGATTTGATTTTATATCTTCCTGATAACTGCCATTTTTATATGAAACAAATTTTGCTTCATTTAATTAGAATTTTTTTATTTAAAGATATTTAGCTTTTGAGGTAACAAAGAAAAAATGTATACAAAATTTTGAAAATTTTTTTTTTAACAGCAATGTATTTTCTTCCAATATTTTTTATCCATTTGCCCTCAAAATATTTAAATTTCTGTACATCTGATATTTAATCATTTAATTATAAAAAAAACAAACTTTTTGCTTATTTCTCTTGATTTTCTTTCTTTTTGGCACAAAGTAAGAATAAAAAGAATCAATGTGAACTTTTGATGCAAATAAAAATGAATCAAATCATCTGGTGAAAATAATTAGATACTATGGACAATAAATACTATTTTTCTTTTTTTAAGAAATATTTGGCAATATATATATACATATATATTTTTAAGTGAACTAGACATATTTTTTGTTTTGAATTTTTTGTATAAATTTTAAAAATGTTAACTTGACTGGAAAATTCAGTTGTAATCTGTTGTTCCCGTCTATATGAGGTGTTGGTTACAATTCAGTTACATCAATTTTTTTAATGGAGAATTAGCACTATTCATGAAATACAAATTATTTTAAAAGTCACTTTTTTACCTATAGCTAAATTTTTAATTTTTTTATGGAGGCATTCAATTTTTTACCCATTCTCAACTGCTGGAATTTTAAAAATAAGTTTTACTATATAAAAAATACATATCATTTTTTTTTTTTTTTTTGCCCTCAATTTTTTTTTTTTCTTTTTGGCTGGCATGAATGTTTTTTAAATTGAAAAAATTCAGGACAAAATTATTTTGATAAAAAAAATTATTCTTTGTAATTTTTTAAAAAGAATTTCATAGAATTCTTTAGAAAATGTATTCATAGTCCTTCATAAAACATTTTTGGTATGTATTATGATTTGTTAAACTAATTTCAGAATGTTTACAGAAAGGTACCAACTACTTATGAAATACAATTTTTTTTTTTGTTTTTCTTTTTTTGCTTCTTTTAGAGAAGCTAAGAAAAATGGACTTATAGCTTGAAGCTACTGAGTTTTCCCCACTTAGGTGGGAAGGTTGCAGGTATTAGAATTATTAAAAAAAATATATGTAAGAAATGAAAAAAAAAATGAAAAACCTGCATTAATTTTTTTTTTTGTATTTTATTTAAAAAAAAAAAAACAACAAAAACTGATTGATCTTTTTGTACACTAAATAGGTCTGCAGAAAAGTGCTTTTAGAAAATGTCTTCATGTAGCACTCTCTTATTCTTACCATTCTGTATAATACTCTACCTTCTCTGACAGAACAACAGCCAAATAAAAATAATGATGTTACTGCTTCCTCCATTTCTGATGATCCCATTCTGGCTGTTACTCTCCACTATTGTATGTAAACAGAAGTTTGGATCCAAGTATTCTGTTGTACATCATGTGTAAATTTAGTCACAAATAAATATTTGGCTATTGGTTATCCTCTTTTTGTGTGTGTTTGTTTCTATTTTCTCTAAACTCTAAACAGACCAGAATTATTATTAGGGTGTTTCAAAAGTATTTTTTACTCCAAAACCTGTATTTCCTGAATACATCTAAAAACTATCACTCAACTATATTAATAATATAATTATATTTATAATATTCTTATCAATACTTTTTAGCTGTACCATTTGTTTCAGATGTTATAATGGCAAATACTATTAACCAGATTCTGGCAATTCTGTGTCATTATACCGAGTGCAGCAGAAATATCGCCCACATATACTTCCCAGAAATACCTCTTACTGTCTTACTATTATGTGGGAGGTATTTCTGGGAGGTATATGTGGGAAGTATTTCTACCACACCATGTATAATGGCAATATTTTTTATTTCCTTATAAGGAAATGTTTGATATTTATTGACTAAGTCATTTTTTTTTTTTTTTTCAGTTGAAATTTATAAAATCTTTCTCTTAAAACAATTTCTTCAAGAAAATAAGTTTCTCAAGTCTAGTAGCTGCCATTGTTCTTTTCAATATTGTTGGGGATTTCCTTCCTAATGTTTTGTTGATGAAGTTGTAGTTGGAGAACTGAAGGAAAAAGCAAATAAAAAAAAAAATGACTTACCACCACCACAAAACTTTGCATGTGCATTGAATGTAAAGAAATCCAGAGGAAAAAAAAAAAGATGATGGCTCAAAAGGTAAATATTTAAGAAAATTACATTCTCGCAAATACAAGATTTTGCTAGTAACATGCAAATTTCCAACCATTGAAAAGAATATAAAAATTGTATTACCAAAGGGAGAAGGGGAAATTGTTTTAGATCTTACAATTGTTGCATATTTGAGTGTGGTTTTCTGCAGTGGAAGAATAGAGCATGAGAGATTGAGAAGAGAACAAGAGGAAAGAAGAGATGTATTGTAGTCAAAGAAAACACCAATGAGAAAAACAGTGTGTAATGTCAACATCTTGAATGTTATTATTTTCTCTTTGAGTTACATGTGCTATCCATTTTGACTGTTGCTGCTGTTGAAAGTCCCCAAGTGAGGTGGTTTCTGTTCTTTGTTTGTGATTCTGTAGCACCAGTTCACAAGATTAAGCTGGATCTTAAAGCAATGGAAACCACTTGCAGAATTCAGTAAGTAGAAGAAAACAGAACACTATCTGACCATACTGTCGAAAAATGATTTAAGCATTTTTAAGGTAACTTCGTCACGGGATTATTGGTATGCTTGCGTAAATATTTAGTTACCATGATGTTGCCGGAATCAACACTTTGGATAGAATATATTATGGGCTTCTGGAAAATTTATCCCCAAAACAATGTTGGCTGACTCTATATGAGTAACAAAATAATATCTGTCTATATTTCTGAGATGAGATATTGTAATTATTTACACTATTTACATTGTTTGGACTGTTGTCCTCATCTTGGTTGCCATATTCACAATGTTTTGGCCAGTGCATGTTCCAGCCTTCTGCAGGTGTAGTATGGTCCAATTGATAAAAGTATTGCTTAAATCCAGTGACTTGATTCAATAAGTTATGAGTTCAATACCTGGCTACAGCAGAGGTGAACAAAAACTTGGAAAGTTGAGTTAAAAGGGAGATAACTGACACTGAGACATCCAGAAGAGGCATAGCACATAGAACTAGAACAATCTACCCTGGTGGACAAAATAAAGGATTCAGTTCAAAATTCCACTCCCTTGACAAAGGCCAGAGAATACAATGGTTGAACTGTTATGAAGATGTGGGCAACAGTCCGAACAATATAAATGGTATAAATAACACAAAACAATATAAAACAACCAACCAATTCCATGTATTGACAAAAGGAATTATAATTACAATAAAAAAAGAAAATATTTAAAGACTAAATTCATAGAAAACATTTAAACTAGAGAATGCATTTTTTGTGTGTGAAAGTCAAGAGTGAAAAGTAAAACCATGAAAATGAATATTCCCCCAGTGAAGGACAGTTTTTTTTTCATCATGTGCAACTACATCTTATAGCTAGAAGCTGTAAAAGAGACTAGTGAGAAAAATGCATGCATTTTATAAAGGCTTATAACCTGCTAGAGATGGGTTTTTAGCAAAGTCAAGTGGGATAACCACTTGGAATAATACTTAGAAGTTAATGACCATCAGCTGTCAATTATGATGTTTTAAAATACAAGAGAAAGGAGAACTAACTACAAACATTTAAAAATTTTTCTACACTCACTGAATGAAACCATATGTAAAGCATTGCATGAACTCCAACAGAGCATACAGGAGCATTCAAAAAGTTTTTCTATGCTTAAAAGCAAAAATACCACTAATGTTTTGAAATATGAAAATATCACCATAATTACACAGAAATGCACTGTTTGACGAAGACAATTAGTACTAGATTGGTGGCAAGGTCCCATTTTACCGTTCAAATGGCTAGATATAACTAAGTTCTATGCTAAAGTTTCTTCTTGTGCACTTCTTGCTTGTGGAACTCTCTTTCAGTTTCTTGCTTTCCAGTCAACTTCAGTCTTCAAAATATTATTGAATTGTTATCTTCTGCCTTCTTATTTCCTGTTCTTTTATTGTTCTCTTAATAGTGTTTTCTAAAACTCTGTAAGTCCTTGCTTCTTAGTGGCTTTATTGCCTTGCTTGGGGTGAAATAATTAAAAAAAAATATCCATACAACTGGAACAAGATTTCAAGTGGTAAAATTTGCATCTGTATCCAGATATTGGTATGATAGTTACCAAGTTTAACTTAGTGTGACATAAGGTTAAATCGGTGGGTGTGGAAAGGATGGAGTTAGTAAAATTGTGTTACACCATTCTTCCAAGTGAAGAGAGAATTCCTTGAAAATCAGTATTCAAAATTCTGTTTTGACTCAGGATTTGGAACATCAACTTCTGGAATATGCAACTATCTCGGCTTAAAATACCTTAACTAATTAGCACCCCCCACCCCGCTGAAAAGCTGGGTTTACATTTCTATTTTTCCAACCTCTGTTGTATTTATTTTTGATAGCAAGGCCTAATTAATGTCAATTGATTCTAAGTAAGTGTCCTTTTTCTTTCCAAAGAAAGCCCTCCTATATGACAGTAAATACTGGATAACTTACAGATGAAAAAGGCACAGCCCAACAATTGTACCCACTTGGTCCATCCTAAATAACAACTAGATGTCTAGAAAGAGTTCTTTTTTTATGTGCTGTGTCCCTTCAAAATGTAGTTGATCATGGCTCTTCACAATTTCCTATGCTTTGTAGCT